ATAGAGCAATAGATTAGAAGCAAAGTAGTGTGCGGTCTGGGCGTTGCACCGAGTTACCATTTTGATTAAATTGTTTCTTTATGAAATATATTATTATCTTTTTTGACATAATGTGATATATTATCATCGATTATGTATGTTATGCATAAATGTTAGTATAAATTATGTTATTAATTGATAGACTTTTTTTTATTTATTTTTATTTTTTTATTGTTTGTGATTTTTTTTTTCAAACTGCTTATCTCATATTTCCTTTTTTATTGATGCATGTCATTTATAATTATATTTATATGTATTGATGACATCAATTGTTATTGGCTAAGATGGTAAGGAAGTAGATCTTGTTTCTTTGAGGTCTAGTAGGAACGCTTTTTAATATATAAGTATAAATGTGGGTCATGTAGTTAGCGATAATATGAATATTTATAATAACTCTCCAATGTCCTCCTAATGTTTTTCTTTTTTCTTAGAGCAAGATTAGCCATGTCTGGTCTTAAGATTTTAATTAATTGCCACATCAGATTATATATTAAATATAATTATTTTTTTAATTTTAATTATGTTAAGACTCCTTAAGACTCAATCAAATTTATCTCTTCAATCCTAAGAATTATTTTAGATTTCTTAAATTATTTATTACTTTTTTTTGTCTTTTAACATATATATTTCAAATTTTTTTTTTTTGAAATACATATATAATTTTAATATGATAAAAATAAATAGTGGGATAACAATTTTTAACCCAATTTAGATGTATGTCATAGTTGAAAAATAATAGCAAAATAGATCAAGAAAAAAAAAATCAATTATAATGGAACTACATGAATTTAATTGATTTAAAAATGCATGAAATTTTATAATTACTATACACATATTGCATCAAATAGTTGTAAATGTAAAATAAAAATGACTAATGTAAAATTGATCTGAATTTAAATATCACTTCCCCCAAAACGACTCCACAAATGTTCAACCAAATCATGTTCAGAAAAAAAACTATAATATTGTACGTTCTTTATATTTTTAGTAGGCTTTTAAAGAACACAAATAAATGATAATAAAATCAATAGGATATTTAGCTTTAATAAAACATATATAGTGTAGTTTTATTATGACTAGGTACATACATAATAAATATTAAAAACCAACAAACAATAACAAAAAAATAGGATAATTAAAATACAAGATAATTTAAATTTATAATTGTTGTTGAGTCATGATTAGTATGTATTTTTATTTTTTTTTGCAACAAGATAAGTACATAATTAAGATAAAATAAAACAAACAATATGATCTTTGTATATAAAAAATTAAAACCAACGTACATATCTATAAAAAAAAATTTGAAACAACGTACATACATTTTTTTTTTAAATAACGTAACAATTTTTTTTTTAAGAAATGTACATAGATTTTAATGTATTTAAGAAATAAAAAAAATGGGTTTTTTTTATCATCAAAACACTGTGTTTTGATGTATATATAGGGAAAACACTGTGTATAGTATATAGAGTTGAGTCTTAAGTTGAGTCTTGAGTTTTCAAGATTCCACTTCAGATTTTGTTAAGATTTAGCTTCTTAAATGCATTATAAAAAAAAAAAAAAAAAAAAAGTCTTGTCTTAAGATCACAAAATCAAAAAACGATGATGTCATCCTAGTCTTAGGGCTAATCTTGCTCTTAGAGCAAGTTTTGCCCTAAGTGGGATGACATCATCATTTTGAGTTTTAAGATTTATACTTAAAATTTTTCCCATTTTTTCTTCAAAAATCTCAAGCAAGTCTCAAGTTGAGTTTATAAATTCCATAACTCAACTTAAGACTTGAGATTGGGACCCACTTCACCCACCTTAAGTTGAGTTTATCCTTTTTTTTTTACACATTTTCTACATTCTAGTTATTGGCCCGCGCGCTACGCGCGCGGTCCCCCAATGTGATTTCGTCTCGGTAAGTAGTGTATAATTAGTCGTAGTTTATATGTTAACGTAATTGCTTGCATTTTGTTTGTCGATTTTCTTTTTCTCTTATTGGTTAGTGTATTATTATATAATGATCACTTTAGGTATAGTAAATAGTAAAGCAGGCATAGAGGCCAGAGTGGGTAGGGAGATTGCTTTTTTTACTATTACATTGGATGGCACGCAGAAGGCACATGATGTGAGTATTGCTGAGAATGCTGCTAATTGTACTGATGAACTAGATAAATCTCAACAGAATTTACAACTAACTGCCAGTTTGGAAGATGGTAGTTTGGGAATAGCTGTTAAGGGGAATGATTGTCGAGATATTTAGATTCTGCTATAACAGAAAGATTGTAAGAAATGAGCTATTAATATAGTCTCAGTATTGTAATGGTTTTATCATCAATTAATCAAATCATTACAATTTTCCCATAATTTTCTCTTAAATACAGTCTTGTTTTTTTGTGGTGAACACCCTCGAGTATTCCTTTCTTTTTGTGTGGATATTCTCTGGGATCATCAAGCTTGATCCTCATTACCTAGAGTGGTTGGATTAGCATAGGAATTCAACAGGTAGTGACAAATAAATAATTGTATATCACTAATGCTTCAACTAAAACTAGAACGACTTACAATATAATGTCAAAGAAATGTGTTTAGATCATAGAATTTAGCTTATTCATTATTAGAAAAAAGTGTGATTTTGAAGCCTGTAACTATATGAATAGAAACTGACAAATTGATGTATAAAATCTAGAAATGGATTAAGTAAATTAAATTAACAATTTAAAAGAATTAGGTATAAAACTAAAGTTTTCAATGTCTAAATTGTAGACAAATTGTAAAGTAATTCAATACAACAAAGCACCACAAAATATTTTTGATATGGACAATAATTGTAGGAAGTAAGTCTTAGATGATATATGTTTTGGAAAAAAAATTATAAAGTATTATTTTATCATTATGTAAAATGCACTAATTATAGAATACAAATTTCTATTGAACATCACGCAATATGCTAAATCTCTGAAATTAGAATTGAAATTCAATGATTGAATAATAAACTTCAATTATTGATTAACCTTGTAACTTTAAAAGTTTTACCAATTATTGTTACTCTATGTCACTTTTGTTGTAGTGTACACTTGGTCCCTTTCCTCCCCCGATTTTTCCCTCTCTCAAGTTCCCTCTATTTCTCTTGGCTTTTCTCTATATCCCTCTTTCTTTTGTCCTCTCAATCTCTCTCTCTCTCTCGGGCCTGCTCTATCTCTAACGACCTATCTTTCTCGATCTCTAACCCCTCTCTCCTTGTATTGCTCTATTTCTTTCTCTTTTGATTCTTATGTCTCTTTTGTGGCCGCCAGTCTCCTAGTCTCTTTATTTTGCTCTCTTTTTCTCTCATCTCCTCTTTCTTTCTTTCTTTGTCTCTTCTTGCGGCTCCTCTCTCCGGACTCCTTTTCACACTCCCTATCTCTCTCATGTCCACTCTTCCTTTCTCTCTCTCTTGACCCCTCTCTTTTCCTAACATGCCTTCTTCTTTCCTCTCCTCTTCTAGCCTACCCTTTATACGTTAGCCCTTTTCTTTCTCCTGACCCCTTTTCTTTCTCTCGGCCCCTCTCTCTTCCACATCCTTTCTCTAACTTGGATTCTTCTCCAATAACGCATCCCTATATCCCGCCCTTCTCTTGCTCTCTCCCATGTCCCTTATTTTTCTCTCGCTCTCCCTCACCCCCCCCCCCCTATCTCTCCTACTCTTTCTCCCCCTCTATCATGATTTTACATTAAGGTTGATTTTTTTCCTAAACATATTATTAATCAATTTTCATTAGTATTGAGCACATAAAGTTGGAAATTAAGTGACCACATCTCTCTTTCTCGGTCATTTCTCCTATCACTCCATCCTTCCTTACTTTATAATTTTACAAAATTCATAAAGTTAATCTTTACTTGCATTCATACCACCTTTCCAACCCTCACTTGCTCTCCTCTCTCTTTTCATCTTCCTTTATATTTTTACACTTAATCAGTATGGTTTATTAAATTTTAGAATGTTTTCAAAAAGTACTTTCTATCACTTTTTAGATTACATTGTAAAAAAAAAAAAAAAAAAAAAAAAAAAAAAAAAAAAATCTTCTAATTAAAGTGATCTTCATCACATTCTTCTTTTTTGAACCCCCTCCTTGTTTTTCTTTTTTTCATTTTCATTTTCACATTTCTAATTTCTCTCATTTATCTCCTTTATAACAGTTGTATCTAAATTAAATACTAAAAATGGTCTCTTAAAGTGTTTTGTTATCACCTACTCCTATTGTCCCAAAGCTCTCCTCTCTTTCTCTATTTTTCTTCCCCTGACCTTGTCTACTTACTCATTCTTTGAAAATTTTAGGTATATACTTGCTTACTTTTCACAACTTCCTTCTTTTATTAAACCAAACTCCCTCTTTTTTTTAAAAAAAAATTATAGGTAAATTATAGGTAGTACTTGTTCCCCCTTCCCTCTGCCTCCCCACCCCCCCTAATTTAGCACAAAACCTTTGTTAAAAGTGCTTATGATTCTTACTGATTACGAGCCAATCAATAAGCTTATCATAATTATAAGTTTTACTTGTTGAACAATTATCTTAAAGGTTTTCTCTTATTATAACATAAATAGCTTGTTCTTGTGTTATTTTACGTAAGAGGTCTTTGGGCTATAATACTAATAGAGTAAAAATCTTCTATGTATCTTACTTACTTACTTGTACCCTATTTACCTTCTCTAGTAATCTCTTTTATTTAGGAATCTCTCTTTTAAGTGGTTTATATTCCATCCTCTTAATTTCTCTTTTTATTTGTTAACAATTTGCAGAGTTTATAGTAAAGTTCTACTTGCAGATGTACTTTCTTCATTGGGTTTCAACTTCATAAGAATATTTATCCATCTCAATCTAATTATAGTTTGTACTCTCTTCCCCTCTCTTTTCATAAACCACTCACCAGCTTTAATCATGATTACCAATCATCAGTAGCACAGAGCATATAAGTTTATACTAATAATCCAATAGATTCAATACAAAGGTCATCATCTACTCAAGATGCAAATGACCTTTAATAATGCTGCATCATTTTTTTTATATATTTATGACCTAAGTACATATTATGCATAGTAACAATACCCAAACTATGCATCTAAAAGAAGTTAATTTCAACAAATTTGCTTGGAAATGGAGACTAAAAGGTACAGATATGAGACACTTCTATCTCAATGTAATTGTCCACAACCTAGTACTCTCTCACACCTGTAATCCAAAGCAGCAAATAGTACTGTACCAGTTATAATTTCTTAACAAGTAAGTTGGACACATGAGTGACAAGCAATAGAATTATTGAGCCATGCAAGACAAGGGAGGTTGTAACACTACAAGCAAAGGAGAATTAAACTCTAGGGATTATCAAATATGCATAAAAATCTACATTTAGAATAGACGGTTCTGGCAATGGGAAATGGACGGGTTTATCATTGCCAAGAGGCTCAACTGGATGTTCAACAGGTTTAAACTCTGCACCTACATCTATACCATGAACAACAGATGGTTGTGCAACGTCAGCCCCCTATATGCTCTGGAATTGGGGTTGAGACCTCCCTTAAATCCTGTGTCCATTCACATGAGAAAACCACAAAAATAAAATCACAATCAGCAATCAATAGTCATTGAATTACAACAATTAACTACAAACAGCGTGAACTTGAAGAGCAAAACCAATAACAATGAAGCACACCAATCCTTGGCAAAAGCAGGTTCTAGCCATGATTAAAGACAACCCCATAATGATTTTGGACACAATTTCGGATACTATATGACTCAATGACCTCAAAAGACAATAATATACATGACTATTTTTATTTGATGGCTTTTCTCCAAAGACATCATACGGAGCCTCAAAGCCCTAGAAATCATGCACCAGCAAGTACAATTAGACCATTTACCAAAAAGCACAAAAGACCACTCCTTCTATCAACTTAAATATAATTTGGTTAATCCTGCTTACAACATCTTTCATGTTAGCACATTTTTCCAAATTTCTGACAAGGCTCCTATTATCACATTGGGAGAGAAGCTGACCACTTCCCTCATTCCCTGCGCTCTATTTTTTATGGTTGGAAATTTGCTGCAAAAAAACAAGATATTAAAGAGCAGAAATACAGACAAACTTAAGTTATCAGATGATCTGAACAAATCACACCTTGTTGAAATTCCAACGCCCTTTACGGGGGAAAAAAATCTTTTCCTTTTCAACATTTAAGCTGAAACCAAGCCAGAAAGAAATGTGTGAAAAATCCATCTATGGACAGTTGTTATTTCAATAAGTCATAAAACATAAATTGTTAAATATGCAATTAGAAATTTAGAAGGCACCTTAGGAGCGGGAAGGACACGGCCGTTGATTTGAGTAAACGAACTACAGATAGTGATTCCACAAAAATGAAGCATAGGTTCTCATAATTACTGACCTTCAGAGCCTACATCAATATTACAAATATAATAATGACCAGAGCCAATCAAAATACAAAAGTATCATCACTTATGCATAATGGGAACCTACATGAAAAAGCTCAAATCCTCAAGGAAAAAAGGAAGAATGAAAAACGAACTCTTTGACTTGCAATTGTGTTCTTTTTTTTTAAGAAGAAATTGGTATTTAACCATCTAACTTTCGGCAATTTAAAAAACCCAACAACCTGAACCTCAAATTTGTCCATCTTAACATCTTCAAATCATCTAATTATTGTTTTTAGGCTAAATAATGAGTTCCCCACTTAAAAAAGAATGACAGAGGAGGCTTGGATCGGCATATCATCAAACAAAAAATTTGGTGTGGCAATTTAAGCAAGGGATAATCAGCCATGGTAGCAAAACACCCATCACATTGCTGTCAAACCAAATGGTAGATTACCCAAAACAAGAAAAGCCCACAAAAACCAAACTGAAAATTAATTACAATTAAACAATTATTTATCATCATAGCCTTCAAGTAGTTCTCTGAGCATATATAAAAGTCACAAGCTTTTAATCACCACTGTAAGGTATTATTACATTTCAAGCTTGTAAATTATGGTTTTACATGCGCTCAGTGCACTAAAAATTGATGATCCTCTCACAATAGATAGTTACAATAGTAATCCTTTATTGTGCGTGAATCATGAATTTTTTACACAAGGTTTAATTTTTAGTGATCTCGATCAAGATTTAGACATGCAGTAAATATGGTAATTTATAATGACTCGGATAATTAACGACAAACCCTAGCTTTTGAAATGCAAAATTTGATAATTGAAAAACAAATAACCTCACAAGCTGCTTCAATGGAGGGGAAAGCTCAGATTTTTCCTTCAATGGAGGATCGGAGAAAACTTTGAAGTGAAAACAAGCAGCCTGGCTATTTTGACAAATAAAACACACACACACACACACACACTCTCTCTCTCTCTCTCTCTCTCTCTCTCTCTCTCTCTCTCTCACACACACACACACACACACAAACCAAATCGAAATTACCAATAATGGTGCAAAATACTACGAAGAGAAAAAGAAATTGAAAAAATGAAGAGAGTGAAATATTGAAACTGCTCCAACTAAACAAAATGACCTAGAAAATTAAAACGTCAGATCAATAAAAAAAACAATCATGCCCACATAAAATTAAACCCAAACTAAATCCAAAAAACCCACCAAAAAAAAATAAAAAACAAAAATAAAAAGCAAAAAAATTCAACCCGAGGGAAAGTAGAACTCTGAGCCCAAACACTTCCATCAATACCCAGAATTGCAGCAGCAATAAGATAGTGGTCATTTAGAATAAATTGTAACTGTGAGCATAAATACAGCTGATTTCCCTCTTTTACAAAATCCACAATCATGCAGATACTAAACAAAATCCATTAATTAGAGATATTTTTTTACACCTCCAAGTCAGCAAACCATGTTACTAGTGTGCATAATAATTTCCTCTATTCTTTTTTGGTTGCGTTACCCTAAACTCCTGGATTCCTTATACCCAATCTCTCTCCTCAAGGATTATAAATTTCTACCAGTTTCTCTACCACATCACTCAAGGCCATGAAGGCATGATCCAATCCTTAGTACTACCATAATCACCATCCTAACCCACCTGCACCATCAAAGACTAAGAAAATAAATAATCCTCATCACTACCATTATCACCATCCTAACCCACTTGCAAAATCAAGAACTGAGAAAAAAACAAACATTTCAAAGGATCAATCTCAACTCTTATGAATCATACTAAGGCCTACCTCTAATCAATCATTAAACATAGCAAATTAAAGGATAATCAACTATCATCAAACACTAACATCAACCACAGTCAACAGTTTGACGCCCCAAAATTAAACTAATCAAAAAAATTCAAATGCATAAAGAAATGAGTACCACATTCAATATACAGAACATATGCTTTTTTATTAGATAAATATCAAGTGTGTTTAGATTTTATTGCTATTTTGGCTTTCATTTTATTTATTAAAAGGAACAATCACAATTCTAAATACTATAAATTTTCAGCTAAGAAAAACAAAAATTTGCTGTAAGTTGTAATCAAAGATCCAAATTATACAACCCAAATCAAGTTTCTTTCAATTTTTCCCCAAAATCCCATAACCTAAAATTAAAAAGAAAAAGGGCATAAATTCTCCAAATTGGAAACCAACATGTTGACAGCAAAGAAACCATGGATAGAAACAGAAACAAATAGCCGTATGTCATTCCCAACATCACCAAAATGATGTACGAATCAGCATATCAATGAAAATACAAACATACCTCAGTTAGCTGGTCCAGCCAAGAAACTCAGGTCCATATCATATGCTACATCCAGAGTCCTTGAATCCTCAACTTTGAAAAGTGATGTTACAGAGCAATTGTATTGCAAAAACCTAACTGTGTATCCATAGAGAGCAAGGTCAGAAGCTTAAATTGACTTTTCTAACACAATTGGACTGAGAAATTGATATTCGCTAACATTATAAATAAATAAAAACATTACCACAGCTCATCTGATGACATTTGGCCCACTGGCATCTGGCAAGGGGTGCTCATTGCTGGGTAGCTGCTGCTGTTCCGACACGGCTGAGATTCTATATTCAAATATGCAAACAACTTGTAAATTTAACAAAATAAATATCAAAAATCAAATTATGTTTACTTCTATTAAAGCTAAAACCCTGTAAAATTAACTAAACCAACATTGCAGTACAAACTTGTAAACCACACGATGCTATCAACATCACATTGTAAAGAAGATTCAACAATCTACTTCTGCTTGTTAGCTAGTCCAAGGCATTCGTTTCAAATTTAAAGTTAAAGTCAGAAATAAAAATAGGTATCTTCATATTTGGTAAAAAAATTAAATTTAATTATGAACAATCAGTTTTCATCAGTAATAATCAACAAAACTCAGATGTAATCATTAAATCAGTAAAGCTTAATTAGTTCAGTAGAGATTATTGAAAGGAAAAAAAAAAAGACATGAAAGCCCTTATGCAAGCTAATACAACAAATATTGAGATCTTTCCTATTTTCACTTAATTAAATGTGCATAACACAAATTCCAAAGTTTCATGCACTCATTTTGCAAGCTACGTTGTAAGGTGAAGATTGTTGTTTAAAATATCGAAAGAAAGTTGGCTTTTAATGTTTGAAACAACTCTTATAAAGAACAATAACATCTTTCCTCAAAATACCCTCCAAGTTTATAAGAAAACTTTAAATTATTATGAAAATCAATGGCTGAGATTTTTATATTGTCATTCTTTGTTACCACAGATAAAAACCTTTACCAGCAATGATACACCATTCTTTCAAATTTCACGGTAAGACTCCTACTACAAAATATCCACCAATTGCCCTTAGCACAAAACCATACAGTATGCGGATAAGATTACAAAAGGTGGAGCAGAGAAATGTGACTGAGAGTGACAAGACTTACGCTATTTTTATCAACTTCTCTGATAACATCTTCAAGGTAAAGGCCCTGTTCTTAACAGGCTTGTTGGAGTTCATCAATGGTAATAGATCCACTGCCATCCTTGTCAAAGTACTGAAGGGCAGCAACAAGATGTCCTTCACGCTCGAGCTTGTTGAGATAAATTGTAGCAACTATAAATTCCCCATAGTCAATCGTTCCACTATTGTCAATATCAGCCTGCACAATATAACATGGTTTAGAAGAATGTAGCATACTATCATGTCTAAGAAATAGAAGCTTGAACAAGAAAAGTGATGTCATAATTAAGAACTTGCCTCTCTTCATCGTATCTCAAGCTAAACAAAAGATATGATTTAGGATAACTTTGTTGATAATACATACAAATATATTGGACAACCATTGAAAGGTAGGAGTAATCTTTAAGATTATACACTTATATAGTCAAAATATTATTTTAAGGGATGCCCATGTGAGAGAGCCCGAAGAGTAGCTAATTACACCAGGCTCACCGCTCACACAAAGTAACAAAAAAAGAGTTTTGACCATAGTCTTAACTCTTCAACACAACATATTTATCAACAGTAGCATCGTTTAACAATACTATTTCTACTACAACTTGTCTTCCGACAATATAACAACAAACTTGTCTTCCGACAATATAACAACAATTTAAGAAATTAATGACAAAATAACAACAATAACCATGAAATCAAATTATACCAAATTTTCAATTAATTAAACTAAAATAAAACAAAACAATCAATTTAATTGCAAAAAATACAGAAAATCTCACCCATACCCAGATCTTTGACACTTTAGAGCCCCCATATACAGATACCAATCGGAAACCCTCGAATTTTTAATCAAATCGAATTGAAAAATTCCCCAAACTGAATAAAGGAAACCATGGGAATGAAGAGATACCTTAGTAGCAAGTTGTTAAGTAAATTTCCCCAATTAAAATCAAAATTCAGTAAAAATAAAACCCCAAAAACCCAGAAAAATCAGAACAACAAGTAAAACATTTACAAAACCCACATCTCTTCAGGCATCCCAACCATTGTTGGACCCATCATTGTCTTCTTACTCTAAATTCCAAAATCCACAATCTACAAAATTACACAGCAAAAAAAATGCAGAAATTAAAGAATCTCAACAATTTTCACACAAAAAATAACGATCAAAGCATTATCTCAAATTGGGAAGAAATAGGGAGAATAGAAACTTGGGTTTTTCGGGCTGAGAATACACTGTGAGCCTTGCTTGAGCTATCACAGGTTTCGATCTGCAGCAAAAAAGAAAAATGCAGCACAATGACACAACACACAAACCCACATAAATCAAATTATATCAATCTAAATGCTACCTGATAAATTATTCTAATATGAAATCAAACAAATGAGGGAAGGATACCTGAAGACCAGCTGAAGGAACAGCAAGAAATGTGAACCAAAAATTCGTCGGAATTTCACTACTCTTTCATCAAAAATAGTCCAAAAATTACATGAAATCCACCTAAGAAGAACCCTAATTTGACTAAATCAACAATAGAGTGAAATGAAACCCTAGATGGTGAAAATTATATACGATTATTGAAAAAAAAAAAAAAAAACATTATACCTCAGAAACTGATTCAATGGAGGAGAGAAAACTCAAAGTAGGCTTCAATAGAGAACTCAAAGTGCGCTTTAATGGAGAACTCAGAGTGCGCTTCAATGGAGGAGAGAGAGAAATTTGAGGATGTTTATTAGGAGAAGAGTGAGGATGAGAGGACTCAGAGGAGCAAAAGCAGGAGAGAGAAATGGGACAATCCGAAAAGACCAAAATAGCCTTGGAAATTGGTCAATCAGGGAAGGGTGCTAAGGGTAGGGGAGGGCATAAGCGTCAATTTCTTGTTCATAAGGAACAGTAAAATGTGAATAGTCCTGGTGCTTGGGGCTTTTATAAGGGTTATAGATAATAGGGTGAATATTTAAGTATTACGGCTAAAGTGATAAATTTGTATAACTCTTAGTCAGTCTTAACAAGAATTTAATAACATCATTTTTAATAGGAACCACAAAAAATGATGTCATATAAGGGTCTGTTCCGATTGACTGAACTCAGCTGAACTGAACTGAACTTATTAATTAGTGATTTTTAACTACGGATTAGTGATCTTTGATTATTTATTGATTATTTATTACTATACATATGTGTATATACAAATGTACATATTATTATTATTATTATTATTATTAATTATTGATGATGATGATTATTATTATTATTATTATTATTATTATTATTATTATTTATTTATTATTATTATTATTGTTATTATTATTATTTATTGATGATTATTATTATTATTATTTATTACTTATTGATTATTATTATTATTGTTATTATTATTATTATTATTATTATTATTATTATTGTTGTTGTTGTTGTTGTTGTTGTCGTCGCCGTTGCAATAAGAGCTTAAAAGAATGAAATTTGGCTTTATATCATTAGCAATATCATTAGACGTAAATTAAGAGCTGAACTGAACTGAGCTGAACTAAACTGAACTGAGCTGAACTAAACTGAGCTGAGCTGAACTAAACTGAATTGAATTTCAACGGAAGAGAACAGGCCCTAAGACTTGGGGCTAAACTTGCTCCTACCTTCAAAGTTTTTATAAATTATCAATGGTACACCCGAGGTATGGCCCTTTATCAGTGGTATACCAACTTACCTTTTGTTTATCAGTGGTACACCTAAGGTTTACTAGACTCATCTACAATAAGCCTGGCGTTAATTAAACGTTAATTATAGGTTTAATCTATGTTTTTTAACTAAAAAAATTACTTTCCCTCCTTTTTTTCCCTCTTTACTTTCCCTCCTTTATTTAATCTACCCTGTGCTTTCCCTCCCTCCTTATTTTTTCCGTTCTATCTTTCTCTCGAATATCACTCTGTTTTTTTCATTTTTTTTTTTGTTATCAATGTCTTCTTCTAGCAACAGAAATGGGAGGGGTTTGTGGTTCAAAATGGTTAATTGCAACTGTGACCCATCATGATATGCGGAAATCAGATTCTCAAGCTCTTTATCAAACCCAGGAATACCCTACTACAAGTGTAGATTATGTGAATTCTTTATGTGGGTGAAAGAGGATCAAATGGTTAGTGACACAGCAAGTAGAGTGGCTAGTACATCTGAATCTACAAGTGTGCAACTGTTAAGGAGAGAATTTACCGAGTTTATGCTAAGAACAAATAAATTTGCTGACTTTGTTCATTTGGTCGTCAAAATAGCAGTTGTTATGTACTTTGTGTTATTAGTAGTATCTCTAAAATAATGTAATGCTGTTGTACTTTGGTTAATGAATATTAATAAAAGCTAAGTCACTCATGACTTTTTATGTCAATATTGCTGTACTTATTTTCAAACTACTAAGCATGTCAAAAGCTTATACTACCATATTCATAACTAAATAAATCCAAATGCATAACTTAACACACAAATGACAAAAGTAAATTGAAGAGGTGTCATTCATTGCATATGTCAAAAGCTTATAGCACCAGTTGCATTGTCAAAAAACATAGTTCAAAAATCTAAAATTAAAAGTGATTGTTAAAAAGCTATTACAGACAAAAAAACAACCCAAAGTATTAAGCCATCAAGCAAAAAACATCAAAGTACTAAGTTTTGTACTTTTTTTTAACCAGAACCATCACTGACTAAGCTTTGCATCTAAGGTTGGGGTTGTGACTGACTGAGAGGGGGCTGACTCTGCAGTTGTGAAGCATCCAGCAGTGTTGCTATCTGTTGTGCAGCCTCTTTGTTGGTGGGACCTCCCTTACATGTCCTAGAATTATGACCAAAGGAGCCACAGTTGCCACACTTGACTGTCCTTGATCTTTTCCCAGGTTGCTCCTCCCCTTCTTCCCTTCTTCTATTCCTCCTGGGCCTACCAATCCCTCTTTTCATCTTTGGAGGGTCAATGTGAGGGAATGCATCCATGCTTGGCCACTGACTCATATCAGGCACTGGATTTATGCAATGGTTGTACAGTTGCTTGTATGTTTTCACTGAATACCAAGAGATGGTGTAATTGTATGGATCAACCTTTGCATGGAACATTGCCCTGATGGCATGTCTGCAAGGTATCCCAGATAGCTGCCAAGCACCACAAGAGCATATCTTGTTGTTCAAGCTCAATGGGAACTGAGATTTACCCTCATGTATCTCATACTCTCCTGGACTAGATGGGTATGCCTTGCAAGATGTGGTTGCCTTGCTGATGTCCTTCACCTTCTTAGCTATTTTAGGACAGACATCATCATCATTCCAAGTCTTGGATTTCTCATGCCTAGTTGCCATCCTAACCATACACACCCTTCTAATTCCTATGACAAAAAACATGAATAAGTTAGCATATGTGTGTAATTTCAAAGCTAAATCAGTCAATGGTATTGAGCTATTCCTTCTAGCAGATTTAACACAAGTCTGCACCCGTCAACCCCAAGAGTGGAGTTAAAACTCTCCACAAAGTTTGATGTGTTTGAGTCATTACAAACATTTGGGTCAAACTTATGCTTAGACCATCTTGACTGATCCCCAATGTCTGCAAACCATTTCATAACATCATCACCTCCCTCCTTTTGCAACTTCTCCATGGCTTTTCTAAAGCTGAATTTGCTTGTTGCATTACAGGCCCTCCATAACAGGATATACATCATTGGACCTGGGAAGAGCTTCTTGAAATTTCTGCTTAGATGTCTGCAGCAATATCTTCTCTTTGCTTCAGGCCACTGTTCTTTCAAAGCTATGTCAACACCCTACAAGAACAAGTTAAAATCTATAAGTCAACATATCTGGCTCTTTTCATATCATATAAATAACTGATTTCAAAAATACAAGTGCATACCTTTTGTCTATCAGATATTATAGTCCAATCTTTCCTTGGTGAGTCTTTGACAAGGTTGTGCAGATGCCAAAAGAAGTATGTCCGGCTATCCTTATCTTCAGCACTGACTACAGCATAAGCCACTGGGAAAATCTCATTGTTTGGGTCAATAGCAATAGCAGACAGCAGTATACCACCATAGTTGCCTGTCAAATGTGCCCCATCAACACCAATTAGTGGCCTGCAACTGCTTAATAGACCCTTCCATTGCCCAGCAAAAGAAATGAAGATGCTGCTAAATAGATTCACCCTTGGAATGTTGTCACTCAAATTCCAAGCCACAAATGCAGCTAACTCTGGACTAGTACTCTTGATCATTTCTGCATATGTTGGAAGATGAGTGTAAGACTCATCATGCCCCCCAAACAGGACATCTTTCACAAACCTCTTCATTCTGTAAAGAGAAGCTTGCTTCATATATATGCCATACCTCTGGAACAACAGCTCATTCAAGGCTTTCCCGGGGATTAGCCTTGATATCCTCCATCACTTTGTTTGCAGCCCACTTGACAGTACACATTGGGTTGTATGTCTCCAAACCCCTACATGTGTGCACATCAGGCCATATCTTCTTTATAGCCCATGTCATGTAATCTCCACCCACAACACTCAACATAGCAGGTGACTGTATACCTCCCATTGTCTGCAAACACAACATTCATTGCAAACCCCTCTTGAACAACATAGTCCTTCAGTGTATCTCTCAAATGACCCTTGTCAATGAACAACATCCAAGGTTTCAAATGAATCTTCCCAAAATCTTTTTCTTCATACATTTCTCCATTTTTGTACAACTTGTTTATGTAACTGTCATCATCATCAGAATCAATAAACCCATGCCAATTTTCAGCCTCCCAATTGTCCTCAACATCTGGAACATCACTTATATCTTCCATTTCATCAGGTTGAATGTCACCAGAATTGATGAATTCATTTTCAGAATCATCATTTTCAGACCCTCCATTCCCAGAACCTTCCTCACTTGCACCATTCCCAGAACCTTCCTCACTTGCACCATCAGAACCATCACTGTCATCATCAAAGTCGACCTTTCTGTAAACAGCACTGACACTGCAACTCTCTAGTATCTTGCCCTTTTTGTAGGTTTTTCCCAAATACCCTTTCTCAAAGCTGTGGTTTTTGGCATCTTCCTATCAAACAAGGTTGTTTAGGGTAAAGAAATAGTTGGGTTAGATTGAGGGACTGTGAATCTAGGACTCCTTCTTAAAGGCAAGGACTTGAATAAGGTGTGTGGGGATTCTGGAGAAGGTGGGATTTTTTTACCAAGTGCATTAGTAATAGCTAACCCTGAATTCTCACCCTTGCCCTTACCCCTCCCTTTACCCTTCTTTCCCTTACTTCCAGCAGAAGTCTCACCCTTTCCCCTACCCTTAGAAGCTGCAGTTTTTGCCTCTGCCTTCTCAAATGCCTTCCTTCCCTTGGTGTATTCCTTACTAGACATATCAGCACCAATATCCTCAAGTTCAATTTGCAAATCAGCAGCAGTTACACTTGGATCATAGTTAAACTGTGGAGGAAACATCTCATCTACCAAGGGGTCAGTAGGAATATCATCTACCAAGGGGTCAATAGGAATATAATCTACCAAGGGGTCAGTAGGAATATCATCTACCAAGGGGTCAGTAGGAGCATCATTGGTATCCTAATATTTCTTAACCAATCTCCTCTTAGGTTTGAGTTTTGTCAATGGTTCTTTTGAAAGTTGCTCAAATTGTGGTACATTCAAAGGCTAGTCAAGGTTTGGTTCATTCAAAGGTTGGTTAAGATTTGGATCAACCACAGAATCTTCAGTGCTAGGTGTAATTATGTGTTGAACCACTTGTGGAGGTGAGTTTTTTTCATTCACAGGTGGAGGTGGAGGTGGAGGTGGAGGTGGAGGTGAAGGTGGAGGTGAAGGTGCGTGATTCTGGTTCATCCAAATGAGGTGCTTGATTAGGTAGTTCAGGGCCTACTTTTCTTCTCCTAAACTCAGACACTAGGTCATTCATGTAACTAGATTTCAATGGGTTTGTTCCAACTATAATCTCAAACACATTAGCCCTAGGAAATGTCCTAAACATCCTTTGTATACCCCCATCATCATTTATAGGCCAATGCTTCCCCTTATATGCATATGCAAAGATAGGGTTCACTATCACTACACCTTTCTTTTGTAGCCTATCTTCAAACTCAATCATTAAGTCCATCATATTGCATAAATCAGGATCCACTTCAATATCAATAATATGAACCTTATACTTAAATCTAAACAAAATCTTGTCATCCATTCTGCAAAATTAGGTCAAAACACCACATTTCAATCCCAATTTCAATTTAACATGCCATGCAACAATACTTAACAAATGATCAGACCTAGGGTTACCTATCACACACAAACATACATATACAAACTCATACACACCCAATTCGAATTATTTGTTCAACATATACAACAATTAACCAACAAATGATAATCACAAGCATGTTGTGCATAATTTAAACCAAAATTCGCATAGAATTATACATGGAAACCATAATTCAACCATTTACACCACAAACACATATACTCACAATTCGAATTATTTGTGCAACATATACAACAATTAAGCAACAAATGATAATTACAGGCATAATGTGCATAATTTAAACCAAAATTCGAACACAATTGTACATGGAAACCATATTTCAACCCTTTACACCACAAACTCATATACTCACAAAACTCATCCAATTGTAAGTGAAATTCAAAAATTTTAAGGCTTAGATGTGCACTTACCTTACCGATCAACAATGCAGAGCAGGATTCCCATGAATTTTGCTTCCAAATTCGTGTCAAGCAATCAGCTCAGAGTAGCAGAACAGGGGAGAGAAGAGAGTTAGAACGAAGAAGATGAATGATCTTCTGAACGTTTTAGGGTACTATTAATTTGGTAGTTGAAGTTTGGAGGGAGCAATTTAATGTTTTGTGGGGTAGGGGGGCATAGTAGTCATTTCAGTTTCATCAGTTTAACCTAGATTAAACCTATAATTAATGCCAAACTTACTGTAGATGAGTCTAGTAAACCTTAGGTGTACCACTGATAAACAAAAGGTAAGTTAGAGTACCACTAATAAAGGGTCATAACTTAGGTGTACCATTGATAATTTTTTATTTTATTTTAATTTTCTTAAAAGCAGCTCAAAAATATTGGACAAAAGCTGAAACCCCATCACTCCTTTCTCCATTGCTGTTGAGCTTCATTCGAACATGGATTCCGACGACGATCAAACCATTCCGCTGAGCCAAAGACCCGAATGGTCCGACGTTAATCCAGTACCCCAGAATGACGGCCCGAACCCGGTTGTTCCGATCGCATACACTGACGAATTCAGAGAAACTATGGATTATTTTCGAGCTGTTTATCTCTCTGATGAGCGTTCTTCTCGTTCACTTCAACTTACTTCTGAAGCTATCAAATTAAACGCCGGAAATTACACTGTAATTTTTCAAAACCCCACTTTTTTCTCTTTAATGGGTATTTTTATTTGTATATTTTTGTTGCTGTTGTTTGATTTTGGTGTATAAGGGACTGCTGATGGTAGTGATGTAGACGGGATTTGATCCGAGGTCTTGAGTACTTTGTTAGTTGACATTTAATTGCAATTGGGGTTGATGTTTTATTATGTGGGTATTGATAATTTAGTTGCACTTGTTAATTGAATTGCTTTTATTGGAATATTGGTCTATGTAAAAGGTATGAAATGGGTTTTGATTGTTTGATAGTAGTAGCTTTGCTGAATTAATTAATTTGGAGTGTAATTACTCTGTATTTCGATTGTGATTCTTGAGTTTGGTAATGATTTTGATATTAGTTGGACAAAGTTTAGGGTGTTTTGCTGTTTTTGTGTCTAGGATTAGTGATTGGAGAAAGTATTTTGATGGTTTTGTTGGGCTTGTTGGATGAATAAATAAAAGGGTTGAGAAAAAAAGATTGATTTTCCCTAAATCGGTTGTTTGTATTTGCTGAATAATCACTCTTGATCTGTTTAGGGAGTTTTGCTGTTTTTGTGTGTAATCGATTTTCCATATTGTTCCAAAATGAAGTGTGAAAGTGCCCTGCCCATGTCATAGTGTCGAGGATATGTACTTGAGGTGGTTTAGGGAGTCTGACATAGCTCTTGATTGCACCTTCTATATTCTTCTCTCTATGTAGTATGCATTGCACATTGGAATTAACTTTTCTTTGAAATATACTTTGCTGTAATTTATTTATATTGCATTCGAAAGGGTAGTACTTAATTCTTTTTTACAGGTTTGGCATTTCAGGCGGCTTATTCTTGAGTCCCTGAATGCTGATTTGCACGAGGAACTGGATTATGTAGAAAATGCTGCGAAGAAGAATTCAAAGAATTACCAGATATGGTAAGTGGCGTTATCTTTTATTTATTTTAATTTTAAGTTTTTAACCCTTCGTGAAGTGATGATCTATTTCATATGGCTCGTATAACATATCCACAATCACTTGTGTCATTAACATTGTTTGGTACAGTTGGTTCTCTTTTTCTGCTTATATTATTTGAGAAGCTATAACCAGAGATGAATAAATTGATTAGGACCATCATTTTAGAAACAATTGTTATGAACTAATGCTCAATAAGTTCTGGCTTATCGTGTAACCATTTTGCAGTCCAGGAGAAGAGTTTTTGATAGTATAAAAATTTCACCAAGTTGATATTCTTTATACTCTGTACTGGCTGTTTCATCTTATTATAGTTTTGTGTAGGCATCATAGGCGGTGGCTTGCCGAGAAGCTAGGACCAGATGCTGCTTTTAGAGAAATTGAATTTACAAAGAAAATACTTTCTCTTGATGCTAAAAATTACCATGCCTGGTCTCATAGACAGGTGAGCTTAGAATTCAATTGTTTGGCTTGTTGTTTTTCTTATGAATCGTATTATTCCATTCCTTGATGCTATTACATGAATAAGCACGTTCATATATTATTTCTCGTGCAGTGGGTTCTGAAAACATTAGGCGGTTGGGATGATGAACTCGAGTACTGTAATCAGCTTCTTAAGGATGACATCTTTAACAACTCTGCTTGGAACCAGGTATGCCACTAGTTTTGAAGATTTTTCTGAGTTATTTTTTAAGTTCAGTAAAAAAAAATGCATGAAAGGCGCTAAGGGGGTAATTTTCTGAAATCTATCACACTGATCTGCTTGTAGATTATCCTGTGTATTTATTCTGTGCAAATTAGTCAACAATGTACGAGCTATATAATCAGTATTTCCAGGACAAAGCATGCACAAATTCATCACTTCATATGTGAAAACATTCTCGGAGATTAAATAAAATTGCAAACTACAAAGGTGAGTATATTCACTAAAGGCTTTCATGTAATCAAGTTTGAAGAAGTTTTCTAAGCATGGTATACATATTAACCACTGAAAGGGGGGAGGGGGTGCTAAAAGATCGACACCTCTCTTCTCTCATGCTATGTTCTGAAAAGGAGTATCCAGATAGAGCTGCCATTGTTTGTAACAGGGGTGCTGAGAGATCTGCACTAAGTCGAAATACTGCTCAACTGGGGGGTGGGTGGACTGTATAAAGAAGTAGGTGAGCATAATGTAGGTCTCTTGGTTGCTGATACCATTGAAGAAATAGCTCTTGTTCTTTTCTCTTCTAATAAAAATGTTGAAAAGGGCCAAGCCTCATAAACAAAGAGTTGACTAGTACTTACAAGTTACAACTTCTGTTTGAAATTTTGACATTAGCTATCAGTTGTGATGACCTATATATAGTCTATAAATATGGGGGCTTAAGAAAGGTTTTCATATGGTTCTATTGTTCTAAAAGGCTACAACCAGTTGTTGTAGGCTTCTTTAAGATTTTATAATAATAATTGTGGAAGGTAGAGGATCGGAGGGTAGGAGGACTAGGGAAATGAAAGGAGAAGTGGATGACACAAAAATGAATGAGGAAGAAAAGAGACAGGAGGTGATTTCCCTACCAATATATCCAACTATGTAAAGGATAATGGATCCCCTTATTCTTTTAATTTATTCCTAATTTTCATCCAAGTAAAAGAAATAGATTTCTCACTCTTCCAAAGTTTTTATCATCCTATTCCCTCCCAACTTCTTTCACCCAATCACTCATTTTGCATTTAGGGCTTTTTCCCCTCTAGGACCTTTCTCTAATCCTACATTGGAGAAGTTCTTTTGGTAATGCTTATAAGATGTTTCAGATGGAATCATAGTGAGACTGTGAGATCTTGTCGTTCTCTTTTGAGGTTTGCAGTTCACAAGGGTAATTGAAATGCACCTTTGACATATCTGCGGCCTGGAGATCTATTACTTGGATAATTGTGGTGTCTAGAAGTTGGGTATAGTTTACACATTTGACTTTATCCTAGTAGGAACTGAAAGAAGAATTCAGTTACCATTCATAACTTGAATGTTATATTTGATTCTAAAATTTACTGGATTGCCTAAACTGGTATCTAAATTTTCATTGATGTAGTAAAGCGGAACTTATAAATGACAAGAAAATATAGTGTTCCCGAGGTAGGTTAGGAAATTCTTTTGATGTCATTCATTAAAATTACTAAAAACTATCAAAATATTCATCGTAAGATGGAATGTTGAAAATGATACTGTAGTTATCTTTGCCCACTAGTCCTGACTCCTGATGTCGTAGGTGAAATCCAATTTCCAGGTTGGAACCTTCAAAAAGAGTCCATACTTCTGTGTATGTAATATTTCTTTTTCTGTTTTTCTTAAAGAAAAAAGTTAACGAATTCAGATGTATATTGTGTAAAAAAAATAAATAAAATAAAAAATAACTTAAGTACTAAAAAAATTGGGATGTAATTGTGTTTGATGAGGGGGTGTAATAAAAAATGCGGAGAGCGGAGTGTTCAAAAGAATTTGGAGTAAAAGCCAGCAATCTGGTAACTGCCTCTACTTATAAACTGATGGATGACTTTACCTTTTCCTGCTACTGTGAGAGCTGCATTTGTCTAATTTGCTTCAGGAGCTAAGTACTTGTATGCTTGGCAGTTGGCACTTTAATTGAAAGCACAAAAGACAGATCGATCTCGCTTCTGCACTGATCATTGTAGCTTCATGTGAGATAAGGATCCCGCTATAGTTTGTATTTTTGCCACAGCAATCATTTTGCTAAATTTTTTATTCTGCTCTGTTCTATACCTTTCACCTTCACTGTGTTCCATCATATTCTACTTGCTTCATCTTACAAAGTGATTTTCTTATACATCTTAAGTACATCCTTGTCTGTGTATGCTTTCTTCTGATTCCAGGGTGTCACCACTTTATGTTTGTTCTCGTTAATCTTACAAAGTTATTTTGTTATAATCTTTAAGTACTTCCTCTGTGTATGCATTATTCTGAATCCAGGGTGTTGCCACTTTATGGTTTTTCTTATTTTGCTATGGGACTGACAAAAGATTGCTATATCGTTGGATGTGCAAAATCTCTTTCTTGATGTTCATTTTATGAAAATGTGGTGAGATCTTAAATTGTGCAGTTCATTATGAAAAATTCTTGTTCTGATGCTAATAATGTCCGTGCTGTAGATTTATCCAACAAGTGTGCTTATATGCTTTACTCCTTATTTTGCTACGATACAATTCTAACTCACTCCTCTGTTACATGTGATACAGAGGCATTTTGTTGTCACAAGATCTCCTTTGCTTGGAGGCCTAGATGCCATGAGAGACTCTGAAGTGAATTACACTATTGAAGCCATTGTACAACATCCCGAGAATGAAAGCTCATGGAGGTACCTTCGGGGCCTTTACAAAAACGACTTGAAGTCTTGGGTAAATGATCCTCGAGTTTCGTCTGTATGCTTAAAGATCTTGAGCGCCAAAAGTAGATGTATTTTTGCCTTAAGTACACTTTTGGACCTCATCTGCCAAGGTCTTCAACCAAGCTCTGAGTTAAAAGAAGCAGTTGATTCTCTAAAGAGTTCAAATGTAGAATCAAGCAGTTCTGGCTTAGCAGAAACAATATGCTCAGTTTTGGAAAGCATGGATCCCTTGAGAGTGAATTATTGGAGTTGGCGCAAGGAACACATCCCTACTTTAACACCTTGATGTCGATAATTAAGTTTAAGTTTATCATCCTATATATGTTGTGGTCCTTGTGGATTGAACCATTTGATTCGGCATTTTACTTTTACCCATGAAAATTTAAAAACGTTGTGGAATTTGATTGAACATCAATAGATATTATAGAGAGATTGATTTCTGAACTGAGTTCTTTTGCATATACTAAATGCAGCTAATTAGTACTGTACATCCTTATGTCTCACGAAGTCATGAATCGCACTCAAATTACAGTTTACAATGATTCTTCCCCTCAAAAGCAAAAATAGCAACAAGTAGGGGGCCACCAAACTTTGTTTTGACAGCATAAAGAATCAGAATGAAGCCACAAAGTAAATGACAGCAGAGTGCAGGCTGCTTGAGTCTTTCAGGCCTAGCAATTGGTAGCAAATTTACAAGAATCTGGACATCCACAATGAAATACTTCTGTTACTATAGCTTTTCACGTACTGGTTTCTTCGACTTTGATGATGGACTAGGTGCCTCCTTGAAAGCAGATGGGCAGAGACTATTAATCTGACAGACACCACATCGTGGTCTCAACGGTGCACATATGGTCTGCCCGAATCCTACCTGTTTAACATCCACCAAAAGTAACAAAAGGTAACTTGGTTAGAATAAATAACTCGGGCACACAAAATCTAGTACAGTGAAGAAAAATACTGTACACAACATCATATCAAGTACAATGAAGAAAAATACTGTACACAACAGCATCCAGGAATAAATTCAATGCATATAGATTCAAAATCGCCACAAACATACTGTATCAGACATCTCAGATAGTCAGATCCTTGACATGACAGAGTCAAGCTTGGTAAATAACATCTCATTTGCAAACTAACAAAATATACACAGGAACATGAGAAGAGTCTTGAAATAAAAATGTTATTGATTTTCCATATACAGTACTACTAAATGGCTAATAAGCTTTAATTTATGATTTCCAGACCTGGTAAAGAAAATATATGACGCCTCATTAGCAATTATAAAATATTTCATATAAATAAGGTCTCCCGGGAGGCGGGAGGCCAAGATATGTGAAGGATCTTCTTAAACATTGTTTTATTCAGCAAATATTTGATTCAAAAACATTCCAGATTAAGTATAAATGAGAGATGCAGTCATACCAAAAGTGGATTTATGGAAACCCATTCTTCCTTGGGAAGCCATTTCTGCAATGCCTCTCTAGTTTCCTCTGGTGATTTAGTTTTCTATAACATGAACAAAAATATTAAAATATATACTTGCAAACAAATAACGGTTAGAAGAAAGTTCATCATACAATATAAGTAGAAGGAAGAGTATGAGTATAATCACAATTGTTGGCTATGCAGGGGACAACGAAAGAAGGACGCAACTGTGTAAAAGACTACAAATGCAACATGAATATTTTATACCATCTTAACTTCTTAAGTATTACATTGACAATGCCGGGCTTTCAGATTTAGTTCAAAATAGCTGAACTATGGCAACATTCAAGGAGCACAGAAATACAGAATAACACGGAATTTTCTGCATAGGTGTGACGTACTGACGTGTAGCGGTGTAGGCAAGCCACTATGGCAACATTTTCGGTTCGGGGGGAAGGAGGGGGGGGGGCATTTCACATAAACTATTCATCTGATTTGTCCATAATTAAAATTGAAATCCCAGACATAAAGCCTTCATAGAAAAAAGGTGATAAATAATAACATTGCTGTCTGGCAATGTGATATAATATGACAAAAAAGGAAAATTAAATGAAAATATAAAATAAATAATTAAATAATAAAGCTAAGGATGAAAAAGGGGGAGAGGAAAATAGCCAGTGTTGCTGATGCAGAATATATGAAGAGTTTACCTGATTCGTGCCAGCTCGTGTCACCCATCCTAGTCTGTTGCAGATGCGATGGACATGAGTGTCAACACATATTCCTTGGACATCATTCCAGGCAATGTGCAAAACCTACATTGTGGCATGAATTTAGCAATCAAAGCAACTTTTGAAATGAAAGTATTCAAGTTCAAAGACGCACCAGATGAGCAATTTTAGGACCTATCCCAGGGAGTTCAAGTAATTGTTCCAGTGAGCTGGGAATATCTCCATTATACTTCTCAATACAGATATTTGCTACTTTTTTCAAGTTACTGGCCTTCCTAGTGTAGAACCCCACCTACAATGAATCAAGTGATATATAAAAATTTGTTCACGTAACTACATATCAGACAGAATTGGTTAGAGTAAGATAAATATTCTTGCTTTATACTTTTCATGCCCCAGACATCACCAGACCAATATCAATTCAAAATTGCAGTATAAAGCAGGAATATTTATCTTATTCATCAGCTTACCGGGTAGATCAAGTTCTTGATTGTATCCTCATCAGCCTTCTCAATGGAGTAGGGATCAAGAAGTCCATTTTCCAAGAGACGCTGCACTGCTCCTGCAATGCCAAGAAGCCAGTCATATATGAAGAAAAGAGTAAGGTAATACGGGAAACCCTTTTATATACTAGGTAAATTGGCTTACAACAATTTTGAAGATTTATTAGATCAAACAAAATCTGTGAGAAATATGACCTCACAGCATTCTCACTAAGCCAGCCGTGAAAACCACATAAATTTCACATTGATTCCATTCCTAAAAATTTCTATTCACAAATGAAAACAGTATCTCCCTCCAATTTCGAGAACTGCAGAAAATTTGTTCACACGTGCAAAAGAATAAATGAGCAAGCCAAGGTAAAGACTATAAACAAGGAGTATATTAATGTACATTATAAATTGTTTAAAATCACAAAAAACCATAAATAAATGTAAGGGCGTCAAATCCTCAATACACCAAATGAGGTATAAACTAGATGTATATTAAAGAATAATAAGACAACCAGGATGCAGGCTTTGGAGTGTCTGTGTTTCCAACACTTGATAGTCAACTTTGACATTTTAGAATGAAAACAAGCAAGTAACTACAAGAAGGGTGTTCACTGGAGAATAATCACCTCTTTTCCTCTAGAGTAGCAAAGAGAGAGAGAGAGAGAGAGAGAGAGAGAGGGGGGGAGAGAGAGAGAGAGAGAGAGAGAAAGAGAGAGAGCCTTCATACCAAGTGGGTATGTAGACCTTTTCTTTTAAAGGTATAGGATTGAAAAAGAGATTGGAAAACCTTTGTTGTTGTTAAGTAAAATTTTGACATCTTCAACCACTCATAATGCCTTCATTATTATAAAAACAATGTTAAAAAAACAGATAAGTTTTTAGATAGGAACAAGAACTTGCCATGAGTAACATGATCTTTGGTTTGGCTTGAAAGAAGTGTACCAGCTAGTACAGCAAATCTTCTTTCCTGGAAGAAAAGCAATATAATTAGTCTTTTGAAGCTCCACATTTCAACATGCTTGTCATGATTATCATTCTATCTCAGTATGCACTAATCCATTAATACTTATTGCTATAAAATATTATCGACATTATTACTATTAGTGATAAGTCAACTATGACCATCACGAGAAATAAAGGGAATACAAATTAGCAAGTCAATGGAACATAACTTTGACATACTATAATAGGTTATCAGCTCTCCAGAAATTCTAAAGAACTAACTTTTAATCTTCAACTCGTCACTCAGAGAGTGGTGGGTGACAAGATGAAAATTGCATCCGAATTAATAAAAAATCATCCAAAAATTGTGATATTGCAGATGAACAGGCGGTCATCACCCGTATGTTGGTCATCTAAATTAGATAAAAATTTGGGAATGAAAATTGAAATTATATCATTGAAGGTTTCCAAAGTAAAGAGCATCAGGAAGGCGTTGTACCTTTGGGGGAAGAGAACTACCAGCCTTCTCACATCCAACAGAGTCTACTGGTGCATCTTCAGAAGATCTCATGTGACGGATTCCTTCAAGAACTTTCTCCCAGTTTTCTGGAGATTCACTCGAAGTAAATGATCCCAGAGTAACACTTTCTGTTGAAAATGGACTTTATCAACAAAACCTTGAAAAATGAGTTCATCTGTAAGCAAAAGTTTCCTACTTGTAATAAAGGGTCTAACAAACACAGAGCCACAGAGGGAGAGCAATAGAGATATGATTCAGAGAGATAATTCATGATTAGAGTCTATTCAGAAAAACTCAAATACATAATTAGGCAATTTTCATGTCAATCATTAATACAATGATTCCTTCAATATTCATGAATCCATGATGACACACCTACCACGCTTCAAAGTAACAACATTAGTTCTTGTAGGATGTGTTGGAGGCATAGGCTTTGACTTTCCTGAAACAAACGTAGTCATTATAAATTTGAAAAAGAATCAATTTATAGAAGTCAGGACTTATGACAAATAACTTATGTGAAAAGTTTGCAAAGTAAGAAACTCTAGCAACAAACAGCTCTACACAGCACTTAAGCACTTGCCTTTTGTAGATGATTTAGCAATGCGCTTTTGAAAGGTGAAATCTTCAATATCAGGTAGGCCAGAATTCTACATCATGAGGAGTGAATTAACATAGATTGTCTTTTGCTATGCAGGACAAGAAATTATCAGAAAACATGATTCGAGCACTGCTCTATTCAGATCAGAATAACAAGAAAATGCAATCTAATATTCTCAACTAAAGGGGTTATAAAATTGAAAGCCTTCAGTCCTCAGTGGCCAAATATTTAAAGCCATTAATTCAAGATCATAGTCCATTAAAACACATACAAATGAATAAGTGATACAACTATATAAGGTTGCATTTGCATGTAACCTACTTAGAACTCAGAAAAGCACAATGTGTCTATTAAAAACATAGCCTAGCGATGAGTGGAGTATAAACACGACCGAATATCCTAAAATTACACTTTATAATTCTACTCAAATCGTTCCATATTACTCCAATAGGTTAAGCTTAGCCAAACTTGACTACTTGAGACCATATATGCACATTATATCAACAACAATATAGCACAGTAGCACCTCTTCTACTAACTAATTCAACCTTCTATATTAACATTAATTAATACTCCCTCCATCTCTTAAACTTCTTCATGTTTTGAATTTTTGTGATAACTTTTAGAGACAAAGGAAGTACTACCTACAAAACAAACAATTTGGGTATAAAGATAAAGGGCATGCCCAAACACCCACTTAACTATTACTAGTATATCAAACACAAGATTAAACGAAAAGACACGAACTTTAAGGGTATTCATACTCACTCTATCACTACGACTATTTTCTTCATCTGCTTCTCTTTTTACCCTCTTTTTCCTAACAAAAACTTGAGTTTCTGATCCAGAAACTGCGGTTATTAACTCAGAACCTGTACACAAATCATGAACCCATTAAAATTCAGAAACAAACAGATAAAATGCAAAAAAAAAGTGTGCAAAAAATTCAAAAGGGTATGTAAATATTTGCTCATATTTCTTGTATTTTGTTTGCCATAACTCAAAAGGTCATACCTTGATTTGGGACTGCCTCTAAATTTGGGGGTTCTTGCTTAATATTGAGGGCAAGAGCCTTTGAAGAATATCTAGTGATGGGCATTATCAAACTGATTTCTGCGTAACGAAGAGGATTTAGCTGCCCAATTGGGAATTTAACCAACATTTTTGGGGTTTTATTACTTGTTTAATTTTTTGGAACACCATAATTTTTGGGTATATGAGAAGACACTGAAGTGGTGTTTATTTGGTGATCGCTCATAGTTATGTTGTTGAATGCACCACGTTGTAAACTAATGTTGTTCAATTTAATAAATCGTGTTGTTGGATTTTTTAGAACCGTGTAAGAACCTAAATTATATTGCTAATACGTAAACCGATTCAATTAATGTGTTGGTTTAAAAAATACTTTCCACCATACTATAGTATTGGTAGAAATTTTTATTTTAAAAACTATCCGAGGTTAAAAACCGCTAATAACCATAGCGATTTTCTAAAATAAAAGCTACTTCGTAATTATTAGCGATTCACTGAATGAAACTGATAGTGACATTATTGATTAATTTCATAAAATCGCTAACAAATATTTTCACATAGAGAAAATCCTCGTTCATAAGCCATATGAACGAATTTCGTTTATAAGAGGCTATTTGCGTCATTTTGCCAGGTATAGTTAGGGTAAAGTCGTCCAAATGAAATTTGTCTCTTAACTTCAAACTACCGCTGTTAGCGAACGTCAGTTTTGGAAATGTGACATCCCGTTATTGAAGAATTATGATCCCGTAGCTCACCCATCCTACTTCAGTAAGCTTTAGCAAGCTTCTGCAACTGAGGGGACTGTCGATTGGAGTTTGTCTGAAATTTCTTGGCCTTTACAAATTACACATTTGCTGTATACGAATGATAAAGTGTGGAGGAGGTGGTGGCGGCGCGTCGACTTGGCGGCGACTATAATCCCGTTAATAAATGCATTTAAGTTGGCCATGAATGAGGAATGTATACTGAATTCCAATTACAACAAGTTCAAGCAATAAAAACCCCAATTAACCCCATCAATCAATTGCCTTTTCCGATTATTTTGAATAAAATTCAATAAAAAAAAAACTTCAATTCAACCACACAATAACCCTTTACATGCATATATTTACCAATTGCAACAAACGAGATCACCAATTTCACAAATTAACACTAATTAAACGAATTGGGGTTTTTATTGCTGATCAATTGGGGTTTTTACTTCTGGAAAAGGGAAGAAAGATAAGTTAATGGCGGAAGCTTCTAGAAAGCTTGATACTGCTAATACTCGTCTTGCTATTATTGAAATGAAGCTTGATTCTAAACCTGGTTATCCTGAAAGTGTCGCCATTGGTGTTACTTCTACCGTTGCCTTTCGCGATGTCGCTGCTGTTTGGCCTCAGCTTGTTTTTGCTGCTTCTAGTCTTTGGAACTCTGTTAGAGGCTAAGGACATCAATTCGGAATCTCGCTATCTTCAAACCTTGAAAAAAAATCGAGTGCAGAAGTAGAGAAGACAACTTCATGATCGTGTTCTCCAGACAACTGGTGAGGCAGAGCTTAGCCAAAGAGAAGACAAAACGAGATGGGAATTGGAGAACTGTTAATTATGCGGTAACGGCCAAGTTAAGTGCCATGCCAGCTAAAAAGAACGAAAACAATAAAATAATGAAAGATGTTTCAATATTTTCAAAAATGCCATCTTATGAACGAATTTTGTTCATATGGCTTATGAACTGGGGGAAGCTCTTTTCACATATAATTGCTCAATCACTACTATTTAAAGTCTCCTTCCCAACTTCATGATGCTCCATTCCTTTAAAACTGCTCATGGTGATTGGCGATTTTATGTACATAACCGCTATACCATTAGAAGTTCTATAAATAGAACCGCTAATGTTGTTAGGGGTTCCGTATAAAATAGCATTAATTGTTGGAAATAAGTAATGCAAACGGATGCTCGCGCCCGATCGGGCGGTGTTCGCCCGATCGTGCGAGCATCTAGCACGATTGGGCGATGTGCTGGATAGGAACGCGAGGAAAAAGGCGCGCCTGATCGGGTGGCCCTTCGCCCGATCGGGCGCGTGTTTCTGGAGGACCTGATTAAGTTTAGTTTTAATTCTTGTTTTAGGAAAGGTTTAAATACGATTATGTACGAAATTTTTAGTTACCTTCTTTCTTAGACTTTCTCTCTCTACTTAGTGTTTTTCTCTCTCTATTTTTCTCTCTAAACATTTGTTCTTAATTCTACTCTTAATTCCAGATTTATTTTGGTAACGATTTCTCTTCCCTTAATCTTAGTTGTTTATTTTATTCCTTTCATCATGATTTATTTTATTACTTTGTTTAGTTTAGTTTTTAATATGTGTGAGTAGTTTCATTTCTAGGGTTTATGGGGATCCATAAATAATATGAAGGGGTAAATTATTGTTGTTGATTATCAATGCTAGATTAATATCCTATTGATTGGTTTAATGCTCTGTGACTAGATTAGGCCTATTTTTTATGCATGAGTTTGACAATATTGATTCAAGATTCGAGAGATGAGAATTAATGTTTAGGTCTAGTTTCAATAGGCAGATTAATTTATGAATGGTTAAGTCGAGATTCGAGAGATGAGATTTAATACCGGTAGATTAATTGTGTGATTTTAATACGTAGCGAAAGCCCTTTACAATCTGGTTAATTGATGCATTGATGATTGACTATTATTGATTGTTGGTATTGCATGATAATTTCTTATTGGATTGTTTTAATGTTTTACAATTGCGGCTTGTAAAAGTATAGCAATATTAAATTGATGAATCGAGCAGATGTTAATTTGATATTAAAGACTATTTTCAATAAGAAGTTAGATCTAGTAAATTGCGAGAACCTATTAGATCTATGTTGATTAATAAATTGCGAGAGCCTGTTAATCATGTTATTTATGCAATGTCAATGATTGATTACTATGTTTTACCCTGGAGTATTATTTATTGATGAACCTATGCCCTAGATCCTTTTATATATTGTTTTCTCCCTATTCCTATCCTTTGTAGTTTAGTTTCATACTCAATTATAAATATTGGTTACTTAGATAATTTAGATTATAATAATTAATTATTAGGAGTAAAAAGACTTGTTTCCCTGTGGATATCGACCCTACTTCCCTATCTACTTTAGTTAGAGGACTTAGGAATTATTTTTGATTAGGGGATACGACTTTACCCTGTCACGCCCGATCGGGCCCGCCTTTTTTCCTAGGTCGATTTGCTTTGCATGTTTCCTTTTTTCCGGGACTCATATAAATACGAGCCTTGCCTTTTCATGAGTTTCATTCACTTTCTAGCCGAAAACACAAACCTACCTTTTGAGATCTGAACAGTTCTTGAGCAATTCCACTCTTCGAGTTCGGGTGCACGGATTACAGAGAGAGTTGCGTTAAACTTGGGGGGCGTGCGTCACTAGGAAACTTGCACCGGTGGTGGCGTATTTCGCTTCTAAAGCAGTGGATTTTGTTCCACGGCGCGACTGTGAGTTTGAGATCTTCAATCCAGGAAAGTTCTAATCTTTTTTGTTTGTTATTGATTTCAACAGTTATTTTACCAACAATTTAGAAGCGAAATATTTTGATTTATTCTGTTGATATCATGACTAGCAATTCTCAAACTCGTTTATACCTAGATCTGTCTAAGGTTGAGTCTCTTGATAGAATTAATTATAAGAGATGGTCACAAAGGATGTTGATTGCTTTTGAACAAGTAGAAATTGATTATGTTTTGTTTAGGGATGCTCCAAAACCTATTGAGCAAACCAATACCATGATTGAAATTCCTAGTACTCCTGTTCCTGGGAATAAAGAATCTAGCTCTAGTCAAAGGACCACTACTGTTATTGCTAATGAATCTGAAATCAAGAAATTTGATCGTGATAATAAATTTGTTAGAGGTCATCTTTTGAACAGCATGAAAAACAACATATTTGATTTGTATGTTAATATGAAATTTGCTAAGGAGATGTGGGAGTCTTTAGAGAAGAAATATGGTGCTGATGATGCTGGGAAAAAGAAGTATGTGACTGGAAATTGGTTGAATTTCAAATTGGTTGATACAAAGCCTATTATGGACCAAGTCCATGTGTATGAAAATTATGTTGCTGAAATTCTTGCTCAGGGTATGAAGATGTGTGAAATCCTTCAGGCTAATGTTTTGATTGAAAAATTACCTGATTCCTGGTCTGATTATAGAAATCACCTGAAGCATAAAAAGAGGGATTTAACCCTAGAAGAACTTGTGAGCCACATGAAGATTGAGGAAGCCAACAGGCTTAAGGATGTTTCCTCTAAGCCAAAGAATGTGTTAGAAATCAAGGCTAACCTTGTTGAATCTGGTGCTGACTCTCACAAGAAAGCAGGTGATAATCGTGCCAAGAAGGGGAGCTCTGAGAAGAAGGGAAATCTCCAAGCTAAGGGCAAGATTGGGAAGAAAGTCACTATCAAGTGTTGGTCATGTGGTGAAGTGGGGCACTTTGCTTCACAATGCAAAAACAAGAAGAAGAAAAATCTGAAATCGAGTGGAGGAATCAAGGGTCATGCTCATCTGGTTGAGAATGAGGATGAAGATGTCATTGTTGCAGTTGTTTCTGAAGTCAACCTGGTTGAGAACAATAGTGAATGGATCGTGGACACTGGTGCATCTAAACACTTCTGTGCTAACAAGGACTTGTTTGTCAGTATGGAAGATGCAAAGGAAGGTGAACAAGTCTACATGGGAAATTCAAGCAGCTCTGAGGTACTTGGAAAGGGCAAAGTGGTTCTGAAGCTGACTTCAGGGAAGACCTTGACTCTTCACAATGTGCTGTATGTTCCTTCTCTTCGTAGAAATTTAATTTCTGGTGCTTTATTGAACAAAGTAGAAGTTAAGTTAGTTTTTATGCTAATAATAAACTTGTGTTAACCCGTAATGGGGAGTATGTTGGAAAGGGTTACCTTAGTGGGGGCCTATTTGTTCTTGAGATTGTAACTGTTCCTTCAATGAATAAGATTTCTACTTCTACTTATATTGTTGAGTCGTTTGAATTATGGCATAGTAGATTGGGTCATGTTGGTGCAACAAAATTGAAACAAATGAAAAGTTTAAAGTTGCTCCCAAATATGTCATTAGATGGATTTGAAAAATGTGAAGTGTGTGCGGAGTCTAAATTCGTGAAGAAACCCTACAAATCTGTCACGAAGAGAGAGACCACACCACTTGAGCTAATTCATTCAGATTTAGCAGCTAAGAACTTGGAAAGTAGAGGCGGGAAACGCTACTATATCACCTTCGTTGATGATTGTTCGAGATATAGCAAGGTGTATCTTTTAAGGACGAAGTATGAAGTTGAGTCCAAGTTTCTTGTGTATAAGGCAGAGGTAGAAAATCAATTGGAGCGGAAAATAAAGAAGGTTTGCTCAGATAGGGATGGAGAATATGACTCCGATTTCCTCAAGGACTTATGTGAAAGTGAGGGAGTCATTCACGAAGTATCGGCCTCGTATACTCCGCAGCAAAATGGTGTGGCAGAGAGGAAAAATAGGACCTTGAAGGAAATGATGAATGCAATGCTCCTAAGTTCCGGGTTGCCAGACAATTTGTGGGGTGAAGCGGTTCTATCAGCTAATTATGTACAGAACAGAGTAACTCACAAGAAGTTAGACAAGACTCCATATGAAATATGGAAGGGTTATGCCCCAAACTTGAATCACATGAAAGTGTGGGGGTGTCTATCTAAGGTGGGTTATCCATCGTTCAAGCGCTCAACTATAGGTTCTAGGACCTATGATAAAGTATTCATTGGCTATGCTGAGAATAGTGTCACATATAGGTTTATGAGTCTGGAAGATCGCTTTATATCTGAATCTTGTGATGCAGAGTTCTTTGAACGGGTATTTCCTTTGAAGAAAAACTTAGTTACTAACGATGTTTCTTCAGTTCCTTCATCTGCAGAGCCAGAAGATGCTTCCCCTAGGATTCAAAGTGAGATTCAACCTAGGAGAAGTAAAAAGCAAAGAGTGGAGACAAGCTTTGGACCTGATTTCCTAACAGCCTTTATAGCAGAGTGCGGAAATCTAGGTGAGTTCGAAGATGATCTAGAAGAGATCATGCTGTGTCTACAGGTTGTGGATGAAGATCCGAAATCGTTTGAAGATGCTATGAGTTTAGTAGATGAAACCTTCTGGAAGGAAGCTGTAAACAATGAGCTTGACTCAATCATGTCAAATGGAACCTGCAAGCTTGTGGACCTGCCAAAAGGGAGCAGAGCTATTGGGTGCAAGTGGATTTTCAATAGAAAAATGAGAACCGACGGCACCGTGGAAAGGTTCAAAGCTAGATTGGTGATAAGAGGATTCACTCAAAAATTTGGCCTTGATTATTTTTATACTTATTCTCTTGTGACTAAAATTGCCACTATTCGTGTTTTGTTTGCCTTAGATTCATCTTACAACTTGATTGTGTATCAGATGGATGTTAAGAAAACTTTTCTGAATGGCGATTTGGAGGAGGAGATCTACATGGAGCAACCTCCGGGTTTTGTAGTTCCTGGGATGGAAATAAGGTGTGCAGACTAAAGAAATCCTTGTATGGCTTGAAACAAGCTCCGAAGCAATGGTACGAAAAATTTCATAAAACTGTTCTTAGTTTTGGTTTTGCCGTCAATGGTAGTGATGCATGTGTGTACTCTAAGATGTTTGGTGCGCAATGTGTGATATCATGCCTGTACGTTGACGACATGCTCCTGTTTGGCACAAAAATGTATGTCATAAATGAAACTAAGAAGTATTTAAATTCAAAGTTCGAGATGAAGGATTTGGGAGAGGTAGATGTGATCCTTGGTGTTAAAGTTACTAAAACCAAGAAAGGGTATTTTCTGTCTCAGTCTCATTATGTGGAGAAAATTCTGAAGAACTTTAATTGTTTTGATTTGCCTCCATTGAGAACTCCCTTTGACCCTTCTGGAACTTTGGTGAAAAATGTGGGGGACGGTGTGTCTCAAACTGAATATGCTAAGGTGCTTGGTAGTCTGATGTTTTTGATGAACTGCACTCGCCCTGATATTGCTTTTGCAGTTAGTAGGCTTAGTCGGTATACTCATTGTCCTTGTGAGCAACATTGGGTTGCTTTGAGGCGTGTGCTCAGATATCTATGTGGAACCGTGTCTTGGGGATTGAATTTTGTTGGTCATCCTTCGGTTCTTGAAGGGTATTGTGATGCAAATTGGGTAACAGATAGTGATGAAACAAGCTCTACAAGTGGCTATGTGTTTACCCTTAGTGAGGGTGCAGTTTCATGGAAGTCTGGTAAGCAGACGTGTATAGCTAGATCAACAATGGAAGCTGAGTTCATCGCATTGGATCTTGCTACACAAGAGGCAGATTGGTTGAGAAATTTGCTTATTGATATTCCCTTGTGGGGGAAGCCATCACCACCTGTGTCGATGCATTGTGATTCACAAGCTGCTATATGTGTTGCTAAAAACATCGTTTACAATGGTAAGAAAAGGCACATAAGAGTCAGACACGAGTCTGTGAGGCAGTTTATTGTGAATGGAGTTATTTCGTTGGACTATGTTCAAACAGAGAAAAACCTGACAGACCCTTTTACTAAGGGATTAAGTCGTAGACTAGTGGTGGAGTCATCAACTGGTATGGGTTTAGGTTCTTTGTTGTAATGACTTGAAATGGTAGCTATTCTAGCTATGTGACATGATACATTGGTTTTAATAAATCTGGAACCTGTTTTGGTTTATTTGTTTCATTGGCATGAATCATGTGGATTTGTTATATATGTATCATGTGTTTGAATCTATTACTCTATAAGAGTGGTAAGTTTTACCAGTTAGATTCTGCTAGGATGAGTTTGTCTCTTAATGTCATTAGTCCAGTTGTTTTCTGAGCAGGGATAGATTGAGGTTCTTAAGAGAGTTAAGGCCTTTGTCCCAGTAGTTCTTAAAACAGGATAGATAATGACACCGAAAGTTGAAGGGTTGAACTTATGTTCTTAATGTTCTAGTTCCATTGCATGTAATTCTCTGGTTTGCAAGGTGCTTAAACATGTTTAAGCCTGCAGGGAAAGACCTTTGAATTTGCTGGGAACGTGTGTGAATAACACATAGGATGAACACCTACATGAGTACGAGAGGTGGCCTCTCTCAAGGGAAGACTGGAGTATTGTTTTCCTGAAGTACTCATGAGAGCCCAAGTGTTGGCCAAGATTGGCGGAGTTGCTTAAGCTCTAAAGTTAAGGTATGTGTATTCAAGGTCCCATCCTCGCTCCTAGGAGTTCAAATCTTAGGATACTCACTAGGGAAGTGTTGAAAACCTTGTGCACTAATGTGTTAGTTCAAACCTTTGGATACTAGCATTTAAGTACTAAGACTTTCATTTACTGTTTAGATTTCATGTTGAAGATCCGCTCGCATTAGTGGGAGATTGTTGGAAATAGGTAATGCAAACGGATGCTCGCGCCCGATCGGGCGGTGTTCGCCCGGCCGGGTGTGTTCGCCCGATCGGGCGGAGGTGGCCAAGGAAAATAGGAGAACTCTCGCTCCCGATCGGGCGGCCCTCGCTCGACCGAGTGGCGGACTCGAGTTTTTGACGAGCCCTATCGAGTGGGTTCGCCCGATGGCTCGCCCGGGATGGGGTTTCTAGATCACCCGACCGGGCGCACGACCGGGCGCCCGATCGGGCGATCGGGCGACTTCGCCCGATCGGGCCTGCCTTTTTTCCTAGGTCGGTTTGCTTTGCATGTTTCCTTTTTTTCGGGACTCATATAAATACGAGCATTGTCTTTTCATGAGTTTCATTCACTTTCTAGCCGAAAACACAAACCTACCTTTTGAGATCTGAACAGTTCTTGAGCAATTCCACTCTTCGAGTTCGGGTGCACGGATTATGGAGAGAGTTGCGTAAAACTTGGGGGGCGTGCGTCACTAGGAAACTTGTACCGGTGGTGGCGTATTTCGCTTCTAAGGTAGTGGATTTTGTTCCACGGCGCGACTGTGAGTTTGAGATCTTCAATCTAGGAAAGTTCTAATCTTTTTTGTTTGTTATTGATTTCAACAGTTATTTTACCAACATTGATGATATTGAAGGCTCCATCTTACTTAAAACCGTCATCACTATTAGCAGTTTACACATTCATAAAATAAAAATAAATAAAGCTAGAAACCATCCTACGTGAACGTTATGCACGAAGTATGTTTTTAAACTGACACATATAAGAAATTGGCTTATGTTTTTAGCATTATTCGTAGAAACTGTTGTATTGTTTCAACGAATAATTATCTAACGACATTAATGGTTTCATGTTAATTACATGTATTAGTAAAGATGGTTGTGGATTATGTCATGTTTTTATGTCAAACTCGGTGCATTTGAGTTCATAAGTCCTCGTATACGAGTAATATGACCCAACTCACTAGCTCGTGTCACGCTACAATATTCATAACGGTGGCAAGTCAAGTATGACTTAAACCTACTTGCCCCCTGCGTCATGTGTACCATGTGACCATATGTGCCAAGAGTATTTCCGCTCATTTTTATTATTACTAGATGAAGCCCGTGCGATGCACGATTTGTTAGTATTTTTTTAATTTTTTTTTTCATATTTATGTTATTAAAATTGTTATTATATTATTTTTAAAATATTAGAATAAAATTCCTAATCTCAAAAGATAATATTTTGTATTTAATTAATTTAAACTTTAAAATCTCATTCGTCAATTTTGTTTACGTGACATTTGAATTATTTAATTGTAAAAGAAATTATTAATCTCTTATTTAATTGGTTACAACTTAAATTTACAATCTTACGTGGCGCGCTAAGAAAATTAAATTCTACGTGGCTCTCTAAAAACTCGGGGAAAAACTCCCCTTTATACGTGGCTCTCTAAAAACTCTGGGAAAAACTCCCCTTTATATATATATATATGAGTAACTTTTGTATACACCCGGTTTTCAGTAATTTACTGTACATCGGGTACACTTTTGTCAGATTTAATGTCACTTTTGTCAAATTTATCAATGAAGCATAAATAACTCATATATATCAGGGTAACTTTTATGCGTTTTAGTGTAACTTTTGCGTATTTTATTGTCATTTTATAACGGATGTTCAGTAATTACTGAACATCCGTTTTATTTAAAAGTTTGTGTATATATATAGAGTAACTTAGATTGCTTATTTAATCATTAAATGAGTAAAAATTAAAATCAAATACAACTTATAGCAACAAGTTTAAAATAATTTTCAAAAAATCTGATACAATAATCCAACTTATTTTCAAAGAATATGACGCATCATTTATCCGACATTCATCTTAGCTACATGTTGTGAATCAAATCTCACAAGACACCACCTTGAACTACGGAAACAAGACACCACCTTGAACTAATTCCGTAGTTCATAATTTAACTTTATCTCCCAAGTACACCCAAAAGAATCAGCTCTAAATAACACAGAAAACACAGAGATTATCAAAAAAAAAAAAAAAAAAAAAAAAAACAATTAAATTATTAATCCATAAAACCCCATTTGAAAAACCCAGAAAACAATAAAAAAAAAGAAGATATCTTTAACACTTTAACAACTACCCAACACTATCTCTCTTCTTCTTCTTCTTCTTCTTCTTCTTCTTCAAAACACTGCTTGCGCTACTAAATATAACCACCCCCAATTCAGCTACATGACGGGAATGCCAACGCGCCACCTAATCCATACTCACGCGCCGTCGTTTGTTTCTCACGCGCGTCCTCCTCCTCTTTCCGATTTTGCCGCTTCTCAATCTTTTCCGGCTACACCCACCTCCCAGTAAGTTTAATCTTAATTTCCCTTTTTTTTTTTTTTTTTTTTTTTGCTGAATTTCCCAAATTTTTGCTTGCTTTAAAGTAGTTTATTGTTAAACTGCTACTATTGAACATATTTGGTGATAGAGAACAAATGTAGGAGGTGAATTTTATGTTTAATTGTACATAATTTTTGTGGGTTATGCTTATTTTTTTGATTATATGTATATTTGTGACATTATGAACTTACAATTAAACAAAGTGTATTCAGACAAGGTTTTCATTAATTAGATGAGAGTAAGAAATTGAGTGGCATAAACTTCACTTCAAAGGGGTCTGCTTGGTGATATTAGTTGTTGTAGTAGCTGTTAGTTGTTGCTGTAGAGGCAGCTGGTAGGCGAAAAATGAAATTTATATCTTCTTTCTGGTATCATGAAGGTAGGGTAAGAGGATATAGTGGTGTAGTAGAAGAACATGTAGGCACAATAATGATAAATGATTAGTATACTGAAGGACCTGGATGTGCATCCCTCTCTGGGGTTTGTGATATATGAGTTGAAGACTTGAAGTAATGCTTGGATTGCAATGGAGTCGACAATATAAAACAATAATTTGTAGGCCGTTAAAGAGGAGTTAATTTCCATTCGTTTCCTTTGATGCTTTTTGGGGTATGCTAGGATAGTTGTTCATTTATTTGTCATCTCCTTATATAATGGAGAAGGGTAAAAATATACTTAGTTTAGTTTTAATACTTGCAACACACCTCTTTAGCACCCTGTAAAAATCATGTGAATAGAAGACGCCCTAAGAAAGTGATTAGAGAAGGTAAACAAACATTATAATATAAGTTTAACCATAATAATCCAAACCTCTTCTCTTATCGGTGAAGGGGTGTGTTACAAGTAAAAGTTATTGGTGAAAGTATAAATAAAATGAAAAATGTAACTTTACTAGTGGCTGTAAGACTGTAACCTTTACTCTTTAAGATTGGAATTAGTTTATTTGTTGTTCTTGTTTTGTGTGGTGTATGGGGGTTTGTTCTTGTTTTGTGTGGTGTATGGGGGTTTTGCAATACTTGACATATACGTGCTTTTGATGTTTCTGCTTCAGAAGACAGATGGCATTTTCAAACTTGTGTTATATCAACTTTAATAACCATAGAAGACTGGAGGTTGTTTGTTTTGGTATGTTATCACCAAGAAAGTTCATGCAAAAGAGGAAAAAAATAGAATTATTCAAAGATGCAGCCCATGAAGCAGATCAAAAAAACTGGAGGAAATTGATGCTGGAAATTGATGAAACTGGTTCTGCAGTTCCTGTTCTGAGAAGTCGAAAGGCTTCCAATGATTCTCTTCCAAAAGATCTTGTACTCGGGACTTTGGTTAGATTGAAGCAGTTAAAGAAATGGAATCTTGTTAGTGAGGTGATTTATCCTCCTGTCCTCCACCCTGTGTTCTTATTCACCTGGCCTTTTGCCAGAAGTGCAGTTGGAAATACTAAATTATACTACAATGACCTGAACTTTTTTAAGTTCACCAGTAAATCGAGATCTTAGAGATAAGACAGTGAATAGTGCTTGAGAATTAAAAGGTTCTATCATAACTTGCTAACTGGAGAGTGATTAAAACTTGTAGACTTCAGTGAACATCCTGAATAATTTATGTACTTCAAATGAAATTGAACTCTCGATTGAAGCATTATATGTCTCGTAGACATTTTATGTCCACATGGTAACCTAAAGTTAGGGTATACCAATAGAGCTCTGTCTTATCGTGTGTGTGTGTGCGAGTGCGTTGGGGGGGGGGGAGTCTACTTTATTTGGTTAAAAGCTTATAATCCTTCGCTTTCTCTGTCAAAATTGCTTGCTTGTAAATCTTAACTTTATATGCTTTCAAAGTAAATGTGCGTTATGTTGCAACTTACAATTTAGCATCCCTTCTGCTTTCAAGATTCTTGAATGGCTAAGGACTCAGCAGTGGTGGGACTTCAATGAAATGGATTTTGTGATGCTTATCACGGCTTATGGGAAGCAAGGGGACTTTGTAAAAGCTGAGAACATATTTAGCTTCATGAATAAGAAGGGATACACTCCAAATGTGGTATCCTACACTGCTCTCATGGAAGCATATGGAAAAGGAGGCCAATACAGTAAAGCCGAGTCTGTGTTTCGGAGAATGCAGACTTCAGGTCCCGAACCCTCTGCTTTGACATATCAAATAATCCTCAAGATATTTGTTGAGGTAATGCATGCTCCTAAAGTAATGCTTCTTTGTTTATCCCTGCCTGTTGGCTTATTGCGTGATCTGTTGTGTCTTGATTTGAGAAAGGTAACACTGCAGTATAAGCCTACTGATCGATGTAGTATTTAATTAGCATGCAAAACTATGCCAAATGGTTCTCAAATGGAAGACTATGCTTGTGCAGTCACATCTTTCCATCATATCAAGTCATTCTAGGCTTGCGGTCAGTTAAATTTCTTTTGTTAATTTAGAAAAATAATAGGATCTTAAGAGGAGCTTGTTTGTATTATATTATAGTGTTTATGGTGTTTGATGAAGATTTTTTAGTGTATCTTTAGATCTAAAAGCGTTCCTGTTCCTGTTCCTGTTCATATTTATGTATACAGGGAAACAAGTTCGAGGAAGCTGAACAAATTTTTGAGAATTTGACAAATGATGAGAAATCTCCTTTGAAACCAGATCAGAAGATGTTCCATATGATGATTTACATGCATAAGAAGGCTGGAAGCTATGAGAAGGCCCATAAACTCTTCTGTCTGATGGCTGAACGGGGGATTCAACGATCCACAGTTACATTCAATAGTCTTATGTCGTTTGAAACCAACTATAAGGAAGTTTCTCGTATTTATGACCAGGTAAAGTTGAAGAACTAGTCATCATAGTGTTCATTAGATATCTTTTTTTGAGTTGTTACTAAGTAGATCGTGTTCATGATTTGCATTCTTCTCAGTCTTCAAATTTTTTGCTGTGCATGTGTCAGTCTGTCAGATACATTCTTATTGTTTTGTGTCCTTTGCTGTGCATCAAATTGGATTATGTCTAATAATATACTGTAGATAACTAGAGGGAAATGGGGCACGATATCATATGACATGGTCTTGGGGTAATTTTGCACCCAAAAAAAAAAAAGGTCTTGGCGCCTTGGGGTGATGGGGTTACTCCACTTTTCTTTTTTCCTCTCGTGTTTTTAGTTGATAATTATGCCCGGGCCTCTGATGGCGACTTATCAAAATATACAAGTATGCCTTAGGTGGCGATGCGTCAAAAATCAAAATCTTATAAAAATCATTATAGAGATTTTTCAAATAAATATTTTTAAAAGTGAGGTTTTCATTTTTATTTGGTGAAGAAAATTCTTTTGAAGTATCCGTATCACGCTTAAATAGAACTGAAGACAATACTTGCATGATAAAAATTGAGAAATAGATTTATCTGATGTATGTCCCACATTTTTTCCCTGCAGGATTTTGCTTTTGTTGTTGTTGTTGTGTTTTTTTTTTTTTAATTTTATTTTTAATTATTATTATTATTATTATTATTTTATTTTTTAACAATGATGTTTCTTATTTTTTCGTTAAATAATAATTTTAAATTTTTTTGGTGGTAAATAGATGCAAAAGGCAGGTCTCAGACCTGATGTTGTTAGCTATGCTTTACTCATCCATGCCTATGGGAAAGCTAGACGTGAGGAGGAAGCTTTAGCTGTTTTTGAGGAAATGCTGGATGCAGGTGTCAGGTATTGTGAATGAAATCATCTTTTGGCTTCTGTCAGCGAATTTACACTTTGTTTGGATAAGAGGATATAGAGAGAAAGGGAGGAAAGGGATAGGAAGAAGAATAAGTTCTCTTATTTAGAAGAAAGGTTGGGGAAGGAAGGGGAGTTATCCATCTTCAGTGGGATTTAATTTCTTCTTTGTCACTTGAAGTGTAGTCTGATTCTAGGGTTCCTTGGAATGAAGGATTTGGACTTTTGAGGGTAGTGGAAGGGATCCATTTTCCACTGTTTAAATAACAATTTTGTTGAGCTATTAGTCTAATAAATCGAGTATCAACCTCAGATTCACAACCATATCTTACTTTTCAATTCATTAAATTGCACCTTCTCTCTCTCTCTGTTCAATGTCTACCTGGGGATCCTGGACGCTTTCTCATATATTCCCGTGAAAATTGACTTACATTAGCAAAATTAGTTCTAACTTGTGACAATAGTTCAAATTGGAAAGTCTAGGCACATGGACAAGAGCCTGTAACTATGCTTTTTCTCCTCAAAATTAGGCTAGAAGTAGTTAATTTTTTTTTTAAAAAAAATAATAAAAATTTGAAAAAGTGCTAAAATGGGCTTCTTCATGCCCAGTGGCGCAACATTACTGCAATAAGAGGTTCGACATAACTTTGAGGAGGTGCATACAGCCATGCAGAGCTTTGTCTGACCATAAGTGGATGGTCTAATGAGCTCCAAGTGGTTCTTTGATAATACTCCGTGTAACTTTTCCGGCCCCACATATTACTTGTCTTGTTTCATAGTGCCTACAGGAATAATCTAAATCAAAGCGGTACCAGAATTTAAAGATTGAGGATCATATAAATCTGCTAGTGCTAAATGTTGAAAGGGAAAGTAAGCTGAAACCTTATTAAGGTAAAAAATGCCGTTAAAAAGGGAAGATATCTAGGTGGAATCCGAGACACTGGAGTTCTAGAATAAGTAATAATAAAAAAAATTATTGTTCTGTTCATTGATGCTGAATGCTAGTCTTTCTATTTTATAACACATTCTCCTTGCTGTCTTTTTTTTTTTTTTTTTTTCTTCTTTTCCCAGGCCGACTCATAAAGCTTACAATATATTGCTTGATGCTTTTGCTATCTCCGGGATGGTGGAGCAAGCTCGAAATGTCTTTAAGTGCATGAGGCGAGATAGGTTGGTTTAATTTCTGATTTTGGGAACCCATATCTGATTATGCCATCATATCTTTTCGGCCATTAGATAGGATTTTGTGGTTTTGTTTTGCCTTCATGCAAACAGAAGTATTGCCCCATTGCCCCGTTTATATTTTATTAGCTTCAAAATAGAAGAGTACTATGTCCACCAAAATAAAGAAAAAAAATCATTGTTAGTAAAGCATCAAGTTCTTGAAACAATTTTGCATATGTACTACGTTCTGGTTCAGCTATATGTACCTGGAATACACGTTCATATGCCTCTTCAGTTTTAGCTCATATTAACAGTGAGTTGTGCATGGACTTGTTGTTAATATGGTGCATCTTCTGTAAGCCCTTTAGTCAATATAACTTTCATGTTGCAGCTACTAAGTTTGTGTCTCCACTTTTCTCTCATATGACTACAGGTTTACCCCTGATCTATGCTCCTATACAAGTATGCTTTCAGCATATATAAACGCCTCTGACATGGATGGCGCTGAGAAATTTTTTAAGAGACTGAGAGTCGACAAACTTGAGCCCAACGTTGTTACTTATGGGACATTGCTGAAAGGCTATGCTAAAGTAAATAATCTTGAGAAGATGATGGAAACATATGAAGATATGATAACACATGGGATCAAAGCAAACCAAACAATTTTTACCACAATAATGGATGCGTATGGAAAGAATAAAGATTTTGCAAGTGCTGTGCATTGGTATAAGGAGATGGACAATCGTGGATGTCCTCCTGATCAAAAGGCAAAGAACATCCTCCTGTCACTGGCTAAAACAGAAGAAGAACAAGAGGAAGCTAATCAACTTGTGGGAAGTAATGCAAGCTATCAAACCCCCCGGTTCTCTAATTACAGCAGTGACGATATAAATGAAGTCAGTGATGAGTCTGATGACGACTATTCTGATGACGAAACAGAAGTGAATATTAACTCTGCATCTTCTGAAATACAGGATGAGTTGATAGCTAACAAAAGTTCATGACATTGAGGCATGCTGATGCTATAGTTATTAACACAGGTCCCAACTGTATGTGACAACATATAAATCAGTGTCAACAATTTTGTTTGTATATTTCCAACCCATATTTTAGTTTGGTTTAGAAGGAACCATTTCCAGGAATGTATTCAGATAGTGAAAGAATTGTTACACATAGCAATATAATTATATTATGGAGTAATTATTTCCAGCTTCCTAGTTAATTAGTTACAGAGATTGGGAACAATATGTACTCCGTTTTTTAGTGGATGTATCATTTTAACTTAATACACTTGCCAATGCATGAGTTCGAGTCATTTGACTATTAATATCTTTAACTATCGTAAAACGCACAAAAACTTAAAATATTTGGAAATAATTATACTACGTGTGTTTGTGGTTAATGAAAGCATAAAAAATTGAACAATGAAGTTGTTTGACTGAAGTCTAAAACATAAGAACATGTACTTTTTGTAAGGTCCCACTACCCAAATGGAAGAGTTTATTTACCTAAGCAACTTAGTTAAATGGTATTTTCCATGAAAGTTGAACACTTTTTGTTATGACCAATTAAGCAAACTGGTGAATTCTATAGGAAATGAAAATTCATGGACAAACATATACAAGTATCCAAGAAGATGGTACTTCATCTGGTCAACCAGATGACTAATTACTCTATCTTCTATGAAATACGCGTAATTATTTAATGTTTGACTTAGTTGTAGATGTTAGCTAGCTTAGTTGGTTGAACTAGCCTTGAAGTCATTTAAATTAACAATCTAAAATGTCAAAATTTGTTAGTATTTAAATCTCGGCTTACCATTTGCCCTTAGTGTGAAAATATTACTTTACATTATGTAAAATTATTGAATATTATTTTCCTACTACTAATTTTCATAAATTAAAATTGTTGTATTTTCCTAAAAGTATGTTTTTAACTAAATTTGTACTCTGTAATGAGTCTTATTGATCAATCATAATTCATAACTACCATTATCCTTGGATATAGTAGATTTTTTTTAAAAAAATTAATAAATGTGGTATCTATCCTTTCTCTTATAACTGATTATGATCCATTTCCATATCAATTAGCAAATTATTGCTCCTATCAGATTTGATCAACTATCATAACCTGTTGATTCTTTCTAACATAAGAGATTACATGAATTTCAACAAATTATTTAGATTTGCTAAATCATTAAATTAATTTATCCATTATCACTTTTGATAAGTTACCATAATATGTTGATTCCTTTAATTACATAATTTCACAATTAAGTTGAAATAATTTAATCAAAAAGGAGATGAACTGGCAATTTTCAATTAACACCCAATTTTAAACTTCATGCTTAGATAATAATATCTATCCTACTTTTATAATTACAAAAATTTAGCAATAATACCGGCATCTAATAAACTTAAAGTCTCACACTTAATAACCATCTTTAATCAATTCGCATATAATTAGATACCGTGTCCCTAAAAGACATCACTAAGCAATTTACATATAACAAAAATATTGTATCCTTAAAATACATTACTAATCAATTCGCATATAATAAGATAATGTGACTTGAACATCGCCCAGAACAATCACTAGATAGCTCACATAGGAGATTGGATAAGATGTAAGATGGATCCTTTCCTATTTCCATGATTCCCCATTTCAATTTCAATAATAATTAATTTAAGTAATTCATGTATTTAGGACAGTGACAAGTGTAAACTTCGCGCTCTTCTTCTAAAGCTTCTTACAAATAAAATCGTCCCCTCACTTTTTTTTCACACTACAAATAAAATCGTCGCCTACCAAATTACTCTAATTTTTTTTGTTGGTACGAATTCCAAAGCACTCTCACTCACTTGTCTCTTTCAGTTTCTCTTCTTCTTCTGTTACCCCACTTCACTCAACCACTCCTATTCATTGCTGTTACTAGTAGACTGATCTTTGGGGGTTAATTTCAAGCAATTTTGCTACTTTAAGACTGTAAAAATTCATTCTTTTGCTGTAAAAATTGAAGATTTCAGTGCCCAATTCTCTAAATTGTTTACAAATTATTTGATTTGGGCATTTGGGTTGTGTTTTGCTGTTTTATGTAAGACCCAGAATTATTTTTGCCTATTTTGGTGTCTTCTTTTTAATTTTATTTTAAAAATGTGTTCTTTAAAATGTTTTGCTTAAGGGTAGAAGATTTCATTGCTCAATTATCTGTTTCTTACAGAATTCTTTGATAGAATTGGGATTTTGGTTTGTTTTTATTTTTATTTTACTTCATTTTGTTTTATTTTTTATTTTGATAGAATTGGGTTGTTTTGTTTTGCTACTACAGGTAAGACCTAGTAATAATGTTTGCCTAATTTTGCATATTTTGATGTGTCCTTCATAATGGCTTGCTGAAAGACCAGAAAATTGCATCACCCAATTCACTATTTATATTAATTTGTTTGTTATTTTTTTAAACCTTTTGTTGAGTTCTTTGATTTGGGCATTTGGTTTGCTTTGTTTTGCTATACCAGAATTATTTTTATGTTTATATTTTTAAATAATTTGCTGAAAATCTAGAGAATTGCATTTCCCAATTCTCCTTTTCTCCAAAAGTTTTTGACTTGGGCATTGGGGTTGATTTATGTTTTTTGCTACTAATGTAAGAGACCCATAATTTTTTTTTTTGCCTAATTTTGCTTATTCTAATGTGTCCCCATTTACTAACTTGATGCTATAATCCTAGTTTTATGGATTATTTTGGGTGAATTTTGATGTTTGTTGTATCTGCATTGTAGTGTGTAGGTTTGATGCTTGGAATGCATTCATCTTCAGAGGAAATGGGTCCCACTGAGGGTGCTGTTCTGGCTTTGCTGGATTTCCTGGTTGATCCATTGCTTCCTGCAAGAACAACTTCAAGAGAGACTATAACTCTCTCTCAGGAAGTTTTGGTTGCTAAACAGGTTGATCATCCTTTACTGGCTAATTTTGTTTATTTAGTACTTTTTGGGTTGTTTGTCTGGTGTTTTATTTTTTTTTGTAATTTTGGATGTGATTTCTTTTAATGCTGGTAAAGGGTTTTGATCATCCTCGGAATCAGCATTAGAGCAATAATAATCTCTTGGTTATTAAGGGTCTGTTGTTGAATGGACATGATTAAGAGAAAATTCTCCTCTTTTAAATTTGCAATTTTTTCTTGTTGTTTACTCATGAAGGTGGTGTTGTAGCTAGTCAATTGTTTTGTAGGATTCATATGGATATTCTTCTTTGTAGTTGTTAATTTGAGCCTTGTACATGTAATGCTGTATGACAACCTAATATTCATTAGAAGGATTTGAATCATGGTATAGGTAGATCTCGTAGTGTTCTGCTCTGAGTAATGTCTGTTTGTCTTTAAAGAAAGAAAAGCAAAAGCAACTTTTGAAAATCTGTGGTTAGATTTTGCTACAAGTACATTTTATAAGTAAATCAAGGATTGGTAAAAAGAAGTTGAAGACATCACTCGTGAATTATACTCTGTAGAAGTTTTGATTAAAGAGATTCCGTCTAAATGAATGATATCCTATACTATAAGAAGTATTGAAAAATCTGAATAATGTTATTGATTAGGATGGAGGCTTATAACATGATAAGTTGATAACCTATATTGACTATTAATCAGGCTTGCATATAATTCTTTTCATTATATAATTCAAAAGTTGGGATGTGATGGGGCCTTCCTGATTACTACAAATTTTTGTAGTTAAGTAGTAATCTATATATATTGCGTTTAAAGCTCTCCTGCAAGGCATGGTCACATGATAATAGGATAAGACAAAACCATAATCTGGCTCTTAAATTGATTTATGTTCAATCACTTCAGGCCCTTCTTAATTCTATTGTAGCAAATAGATGAAGCCCCATACTTGTTAAATTGCCAAGATTTGATAAATTCGTATGTTTTGTTGTAAGAGGAAAAAAAAAATTGAATTAAAGCTTGTGCTAATAGGAGCTTCATTTATGGTTGTTTCAAATAAGGTAGGACTTTAATGGTTGACTTAAATTGTTAATTCCAAGCCAACATTCAAAGTAAATATTATGTTTAACTCTTTAAATCGCCAAAAATCTTGGAAAAAAAAGGGGAAACTTTTGGTTCAGTATCAAGTCTGCATTAGTTTTCTTGCACTTTCGCTCTGTTTAAAGCGCTGAGTGTGTTAATTCTGAACTGCAAAAATTGATACTTAACATTCTTAATATTGTGGCTGCAATAATGCCAAAAGTATTGGATGAGTTTTCCAGATGAAATTATTAATTTAAAGTATAGTTTGGGCCTCATTTATAACAAAATGAAAAAAAAAAAAAGAAACCTGTTTTTATAATTCTCATGTACATTCTATTGCATTCTGCAATTTAACAAAGTTCGCAAATGGTTGTTAAAGTGATTAAAGTAATTCATGATGGATGATTATTACTTAGATGTTTTTGGCTTGTATATCTTGTGGAACAAATTTCTTTCTCTGTACCAATGATTCTGTACATTAATTTGGAAGCCAACATCTTAGATAATCAGACTTTTAGTATCTATAATAAGTCTCATTTGGTGACTACAGTAATTAACTTTGTCCTCATGGATGAGTTGACATAATATTTTTGAGTATTGGCATTATGGTTGTTACTGTATTCAAGATTTCCGTGCGGATAATTTGGTTGCTTAAATGATACTACTTTCTGTTTCTTGACTTCAAGTGATCAGACGCCGGGAGTGAAGTTAAGAGTACTTCAGAGTGTGTATGCATGCATACACACAGAATAATAAGAGAAGAAAACCCCTCCCTCTCAGTCTATTCCCTTTTTTGGTAGTTGGGAAATGAAGGCTGTCATTATGCAGCTTAAAATAGATTGTCTAGTTAGATACTTTATATGAATAATTGAATAGTCTAAGATCGACATATGAGTACATGTATTAGTATCAGTACTGAATTTTATATGGTTTCTGTTTTTGCTAATTGCCATATTTAATGCTATCATAGGTGCATGCAGTAGTAGTGCTGTACAATTACCACCACAGAATACAACATCCAGATCTCAAATTTTTGGATTTTCAGTCTTTCTGCAAGCTGGCTGTGGTTCTGAAACCAAGTCTGCAATTATACTTTAAGCTCATGCAAAGGACAGATGCTGAGCTGGAACATATAGATGAACATCTTTCATTGACAGAGAAAGCGATCATGAATGCTTGTGACATTTCCAAAAGTTTAGATGCATCTAGCAACTACCCGATCATTGAAGGTTGGCCTGTTGCCAAAGTTGCTGTTTTCTTAATTGATTACAGAAAAGAAAACTGCTATTTGTTCCATGGTTCCATCACACAGGGAGTATGGTCAACAATCGAAAAAGAGGTTAATGGTCCTAGTCAAGGATCAGAAGCTGTAAATAAAAAGAAACGAGTCATTAAAAAGGCTTCGAAAGAGAATCAAACTGCTGATGTTATTGGTCTTCAGCAGCTTGCCTACTTAGCTGTCAAAGAAACATGTGGTACGCTATTATGTTTGCATGGCTTTTCATTTAAGAAAATTGTATGATATATTTTTTTTTCTTGGTGTTGGACTGTTTGGTGTGTTTGTCTGATTCCTGTGTTAGCGACTCTATCTTGCTTTAAAAAGTATATCTCTTTATCATATATACTTCCTTTTGAAATTTTGGACCTTTTGAAGGTTACATGCTGGTTTAGTCAAGTGTATATATCAGGGGGTAGGTTTTTCCTTCATGATTAGTGGTTTCATTTATATTCATCTTAAATATACTATACCAGCTTTCTTATAGATTTCCAGCCTTTTCTTGTTACTACATGGGCCAACCTAGTAGCATCTTTTTCTGTATTATCTTTTAAATTCTTATGTAGTTATGTTGTCATTCGTTTGCACGAGGAACAGGTATTAATCAGTGTGATCTTAAAATCTTGGAGACCCACTTGGTATATTCTACAAGCAAACCAAAGACAGCTGTTCGCTTATTTATAATGCAATGCACGCAAACCAATCAGCACGCGAATCTGGTTCCAATAAATGATGTCATGGACAGGTTTGGCCCTAGTTCTTAACATTTCTTTTTGTGGTTTTCTGCTAGCTATTTCTGTGGGGAAAAGGTAATGCAATATGGGATTCAATATGTGAGCAAAATTGGAAATTGTACAGATTATGGTCTCAGTTCGCATAGCTCAGATATGGGATAAATCATTTAGTCGAATGGTAGAAGAAATTCTTATTCCTTACTATGTATCAATGTATCATTGGGCAAGATGTTTAACAATAGATGATGATCTTTGTGTTTCTCTGGGTTACCTTGGAAGAAGAATTCAGAGAGCTTCAATGATGGGTGTATGAAGTTGAATATAGGGAAAGCCTAGGTAGGGAGGAATAACTATTATGCTACTAAAGTTCCTCATTTGTAATATCAGGTTCTTGGAGACTGGTAGAACTCGTAGAAGAGAGGTCTTATTGAAAATACCATTGGTGTTTGTCCTGATATCATACATTTTCAAAAGACTAAGCTTGAGCCTATTGAAATTGGTCATGTGACTCATACCAATCAATAGGAGTCCAGATTTAAAGACTGATGTTGTCTTCCTCATTTTTGTGCCGAGCAGTTTTTTGACTCTTGTCAAGTTGCCATAATGGGATATGAGTGTCATAATCTTGGAATCTTGAAGATGCTAGCAAAGTTTATGCTCTGTGTGTGACTCATTTCTGACGTGGAAGGGTTAACTGACCATTCACCTCTATTGTGATACTCAATCCCATCATTTTATTCAATTTTTTTGTTGGTAGAGTGCAAAGAATTGACTGGTATTTGTTCCTCTCCTTGGGTGATAAGAGTGGACTTGAAAGTTGAAACATATTTAGTTTATTAGTTGTCCCTCTTTGGGATTCCTCTTTAGGGCTTGAAGCAATCATTATATATAAGTTATGACATGTATATCCTGAAAACACCGTTAATAAAGAATCACATCTTTTATAAGATGAAGTTCTAGTGCCTGTTAATTCGTGTGGGAACTACTATTCTAGTTTACATATTTTGGGGTGCTAGTGTCAACAAATCCCCCGGGCTCTAAAACTGCTTGCTAATATTTGACTTAGTGCAGTAAGAGAATTTATGGGTCGGTATAGCTAATTTCTTCAAGATGCTATGATTTGGAGTAGGGGAATAAAGTAACCTTAATATACTACTTCCACTTTTGAGCAGTGATTTTGTTGTTGATGCAGCTTGCAAGGTCCATTGGTTAGAAAAGATTCCATCAGTTGGATATTTACACCTGTTGTCGAATATTTTCACTTGTTGCCATTTGCCGATAAAGTGTCAGATTGCCTCACAAGGTATGCTTTTTAATTCCTTAAGTCAGCATTTGTGAATTGTGATGACATTATGAATGATTATCCAGAAACTCCTTTTTTGGCGGTTTTAAGCAATATATGTTTTCTGATGTATAAAATGTGGGTCTGGGGAAATATGCTCGAATGGACAGGTGGCGGAAACATTAATGTTTAGGTGGTAACTGTTTGTGTAGCTTTTCCTTGTAATGTTAGTTTGCTCCCTATTTTTAAACTTTAATTTCAAATAATTTTATTTATTTATTTAATTTTTTGTTTTTTTGGTTAAACAAATAATTGATTTACTTAATGATTTTGTGTAGTGCTAAAATATCTCTTTTGGAGAGTAATGGCTTTGTTGACTCCCTTCGAAACCTAGTAATTTTTGATATCGAGTGCTTAAGATCAAGTAATCTCTTAAAATAATTGAGGGTGTTAGATGCCTTGAGTTTTTTGGGAGTCTGGGATGGAGACTGTAGGACTTCCGACTCTATTTTTATATAGGTGACACACTCTCGTACATCATTTTACACTCATAAATAGGTGAGGAGAAATTTTGGTTTGTTTACCTTTATTTTTTTCCCCCTTTTGTTTTAATTTTTATCAAATATGGGAAAACTCACATTTAGCAAACTGAATGTTGGTTTGTGTGAGTCATTTTTTTGATGGGGTAGGAATATTCAGTTTATCGTTGTCTCATTGAACATCATACTTAATATTTGTTATAATTGTATATATGTTTGTAAAAGAAATTCCTTTGCATGATAGTAGGGTAATGTCCCAAAATTCATCAGAACATGTTGAAGTGGCTAAGGATGATGGAACTTGCAACATAAGTCCGGAACAACTATCCAATCCTTCACGTATGCCCCAAAATTCTTCACAACATGTCGAAGCGGCAAAGGATGATGGGAATTGCAAAAGTTTTCACATGAGGCCGGAACAACCATCAAATGCTTCACACACGCCCCAAAAATCTTCACCACATGTTGAAGCAGCAAAGGATGACGGAAGTTGCAAAAGTTTACACTCAAGGCCGGAACAACTATCAAATCCTTCACGCATTCCCCAAAATTCTTCACGACATGTTGAAGTGCCAAAGGATGATATAAATTGCAAAAGTGTTCACATAAGGCCGGAACAACTATCAAATCTTTCAAACCATATTGCAGCAAATGAAATTGAAAATCGCTCTGGCTCTCCTTCAATGCTGGAAACACTCCTGAGCAATTCTGCAAAAAATGGCACCATCCTTCAGGTAAATAAGGAACCATTCCTGATCACCTCTGAACAAAATTGTACTATCTTACAGGAGAAACCACTCTTGAGCATTCCTGAATTGCAAGAGGTTAGAAATGGAAATAGCAATCACTTGGAAGAGGGAACTGTTCCAAATGTCGATAACTGTCATACAGAGGAACCCCGACACCCTGAAGTAGCAGAAGTGGTAAAAAACAATAGTTCTCGCCGAAAATGGGTACCTGCTGAACCTGTTGTGTATAGGAAAAGAAATAAATCGCAAAAGAACAACAACTCCGATAAGATATCAGGTAGCAAGATTATCGATGCTTCTACAGATTTTCCTAGGCTGGCACAAGAGCAGAGCGCAGCTACTCCTATATCCCATAAGAAGGACATTTTAGCTCAAGAGACTGATCAAACTGCATTGGCTGCAGGTGCTATTGTTGTGGTAAAGTCCATAGAAATTGCTTCTAAATCCCTTTTTCAATTTGATGTATTTTGTGAATCTGTTTTGGCAAGTGCATCTTTAGTTTTCTAATCAGTCCTGGTGTACCTTGAGTTCATTTATAATATGTGGTTAACTACTAATGAGAAATATTTCTGGCTTGGGGTCATAGAAACACTTTTCTCTTATGCTGGGCACAGTAGTTAACAGTTTAGCACATGTCAAAATTGGTGGCCAATCCTTGCCATAATTTACTCACCTCATGCTTGCTATTTTACTTCATGTAGACTGTAAAATAAAGGTAGGTCCTTTTTATAGAAAAACCATGGCAAGTATTATGTGATATAGTTAGCTGCTTTATCTGTATTTTCTTTGAACCTTTTTGTTTCATCTACTATCTAACAATCTTATATGGACTTTGCAGGCAGATTTTCCTGTTACATCTTCCCATGAATGTGATGTTGAAAAGGATTTATCTGATAACAGGGTTGCTGATACTGTAATGTCAGATCCAGATGAAAAAGACGACCATGCCCTTGTTCCCTTAGATACTGACTTTAAGCATCTCCGCAAATTACAGCTCACTATTGCTTCAAAGGAGAAATTGCTATCACATACTGCACTAAATGTCCTTTTAAGGAAGAGAGAGCAATTGGTATGTCCACACTGTGTATTTTTTGTGAGATTAATAACTATGTGATGAAACTTAGACCCCAGTGCCTGACCTTGCTTCACAAAATGTGTGGGAATAATAAAATTTGATTGACTTCCTTCTTGGTTCACCAAGTTATTCGATGTTCTTGAATCTTGATGTGTTTACTGTGGCTGCAGTCTTATGTTCAAAACTCACTTGTGTTGAGAACTTTGTGAATTATGGACCCATCTTACATTTGTGCTTCCTGTCTCTGAAAGTCTAAATTCTGATTTAAGCTATGTGTTTTGTTTTTTTCCTTTCCATATATTAGGTGCATGAATGTATATGTTTTACTATCGTGAAGATAGAATGGCTAACAATAGAATCGTAGTTGCTTTCTGAAACCCAAGTCCTGTGTGAAAGATATGCTGGCACACTCTTGATGAGTCCAATATTGCGTTGGAAACCAATTTGATAATTAAACCCAACAGGCGAATTCAGAAGAAGGGACTGATCATCCTGATGTAAAAATGTTTCACTCTGCTTGAGCTTCTTCTAAAAAATAATATAAACTTGGTAAATAATTATGTTATGAGATTGCTATACAGATACTTCTTTTTCATACAGTGTTAATGTATACCTTTAAAGTTTAAAGGCTTGAATTTAGACTAAGAATTAATAGTGCTCTAAGCTTACATAAATATAGCCAAGCCATAACCCCTCTGCTTGTATTGCTGCAAGCATCCAGCTCTATGTCAAAGCAAAGTTATGCATTAAAGAAAGCTTGTCATTCACATTTATGCCTGCTGTGAGAGACTAAGGCCTTGGTATTTCCCCTCTGCAAAATACAAGTATTAGGAAAATCATGGCCTATAAGTTCTGATAAGGACATTACACTTCCTGTAGTATACATTTCTTTTTCTTTAATTTGTCTTTATCTCTCGTCTTTTCTTTCTCCCCTTGCATAGACTATTGGAAATATGTATATATCTAAAGCTAACCTTCAAGGAAATAGTTACAGTCAGTAACTACAAGATTAAGCCGCTAACCATCAGCCTGAGACTTTTGGTTGAATTAATTCTCATTTTGTCTTTATTGTTCTGATAATTTGATGACTATCCTCTACAATTTATTAAAATACTGCAAGAAGCTATCTTGTTGCACTACCGATTTGGTGTTTTAATGTCTTGTCTTTATGTTGTAGTCCCTGCAGATTCGCAATAATGAAGATGAGATGGCTTTGTGTGAGAGAAGCATCCAAGCTATTTTAAATGGTATGATTCTATCGTTTTGTTGATAAATGCATGTAGTTTCTAACATAACCAGTTACAATTTCAGTAGACTGGTGAAATTTCCATTCAAATAGCTAAAGTCTCTTTCATCAAATTTTAATTTGCGCATTGCATTATACTGATCTCATATCCGTAGACATCATTAGTGTTTAAGTAGTGTTACCACTAGCGAGGCGTTTGTTACAATTTTGAACAATTTCCATAGAGCTTACTTTTTCTGTAACCAACAAAATTATGTACACCCTCTAGTTGAATGATTCAATGGTACAAAACATTGATTATCAGATTAAATACTATATGTATATGATTGAAGATATAAAAGAAAAGATTTTACAAATCTTAGAACTTGCAACAATTTTCTGACTCAGAAGCACAGGGACTTTCCCTTGTTGATTTCTTTTAGAGTACCTAAAACTTCTGCATCTTTTTTATAATTGGGCTTTATCTTAGTGTAATGAAATAGTACGTCTTAGAATATGCCCGCATCTTGTTCAACTAGTACATTTTTGGTCCAACACAAATCGTTAACTGTTGATTTCATTTCCTTGTATATTACTTTGGTTGGTAATCCTGCTTGTATTCAGATTTTTCTAAGATGTAGATCCCCCATAGTTGCATTTTCTTACTCTTGATTTTGAGTACTAACTCCATTTCATATTATGTGCAACAATTACTAAAAATGGTTGCTACACATTATTATGTGCAACAAATGTTTTCTTTCCCATTTTTAGTTGTCTATTCTCTTATTTCTCTCCGCCTCTCTCCTCATCACATGCATTTCTTTCTTTCTTTCCATTCAACACTCACAAATAAAATTTTTCTAGGAGTCCGTGCAAGCTCATTTGTTGCACATAATATGAAACAAAGGTAGTAGAAAATTTGAAACAGAAAATCAATTGGGTAAGGCCCTTCGATTTCTATTTGATTCACTTTCTTCTTAATGCTTCAGCAGGTAGTGAAGATGATTTAGCTGTGAAATTAGACTCCATTTTGGAGGGTTGTAACGAGATATGTATGAAATCTTCTGGGGCAGCTGGGGACAAAAAAGCTCTGCATCTTGAAGACCAAGACTTGCCTCCAGTAGCAAGAAGGAAACGACTTTCTGAGGCCGACGTCTTTGCACTAAATCCCAGTCAAGTAAGTTTTCACTTTTAAAAATTCTATCATGATGCCTCTCATCTTGTGGTTTCTGTGCTTTTCCTCAGATATATTAGTAATCTTCTTAGTTATCAAGTTATTTAAAGAACGTGAACAAAAGAGTACGAGTAGGGGACAGAAAGCAATATATTTTTCTTAAAACCACAATCCTTGTAGTTCATATTATTATGTCTTCCCTTTTTCCAATTTGTTTCTCTAGCATAAACTTGGGATGATGGTCTCGAAAGTTCTGTCAATGTATCTGTCAAAGTCTAATCCACTTTCCCTAGTCGATCCTGTTGACTTTCATTGGCCTCTGTAATTAAAATAGCCATAGACCCTAACCAATGAAACCACTAAGAAAACTTAGAAGATAAATGTAGGCATAATACTCTGTCTTAGTAAGCCTCGAACAATAGGTTACCATGTAGGAGTGCCATCTAAAACACGCATTTCTTTCAGCATCAAAAGGATCAATCAAACTCCCATTTACAAATTATTGAGTTAATTCACTATTTACTGCTTGTTCCAATTGGCAATTTGTATACCAAACTTTTGCAACATATGCTTCAGTAAAAAGGGAAATCCCATTCAACTACTCAAGGTCAGAAGTATCATTATCATAAATACGTTCCCCTCTACTGGAAGCAGGTAATGTGTAACCTGTAAAACAATTAATCACCTTAACAAACCTAGAATTATGTTTTGGCAATAATTAGTTTTAGTGAAAAAATAATTCTATTGTAATGGATATTATTACATACTGGATCTTTCTTTGATTTTGTTATCCTCTTATCTGAATTATTGAAGCTTTATCAATTTTTTTACTTGTATTATATTTTCACAAAGCAGGAGTTGGATCGTATATGTAATACAAACTATTGGATGTTACCTACTTACAGCTTATCAGGATCCGAAGGTTTGTTTATGCTATACAACAAGATATGTTGCTTCTCATTTTAAAATTTGTGCTGTATACTTCTGGTTGGTGTCGCAAATTCCGTATGGCATTATTTGTGTATTATCTAAACTTGATTTTTTTTTTCTTTTTTTCTTTTGTAAGATGTGATACCCTTCTGGCCTTCTGGTCACTTCACTAATTTATTGACAATTAACTTGAACATCAGTTATAAATTCATAATCTCAAAAATACAGAATAGGTATATTTGCCTTAGGAGCTATGTTTTTAGGCTTCAAATAAAACAAACACACTGGAGTATATGGTGTCTATCTACTTAGCATCTCAAAATGGTGTGGACTGTGGAGGAAGTCCAGAATAATCATCTTTATATTGAAGAAATTGAAGTTCAGTTTCATTTCCATGTACCTCCATGATTTTATTTTCTTGAATGCTTTAATTTAGTTAGCTATTGCAGTTTCCACGAAATATGGAACAAATAATATAGCTCATTAGACTGTCAATAAGCTATTACTTGAAAATTGCAGTCATGGTCATAGTTGTGTGTATGCAAACATGATGAAAAAAATGATTAGAAATATTTATACAGTATGAAAAACATCGAATGCAAAGGAATGAAAGGAAGGTGTAAAAATTCATGAGGATTAGGGGATTCTTTTTTTTTTTTGTTGGTTGGGGGGGGGGGGGTAGTATGAGCCGGTGGAGACTGGAGAGTAAGAATCTTCAACGAACTGGAATTTGAATGTATGTGTTTTTTATTCTCCTGCTGAATTCTTGCCTTCTCTTGTATAGGTGGCTTCCTGTCTACTGTTACCGTGAAGGGGGTTGATTTTGAGTGTTCATCTGAAGGAACAATGCATACAAATCCTCATGAAGCGAGGAACTCAGCTGCATCAAACATTTTGGCTAAATTGCGGAGTATGGTAGCTGAGTCATAGATCATCAAGGCAAAATTTACCTGGAAGTAAGCATGTTGGTAGAAATGAGCAACTCAGTGCTTCTTTTTATTACATCTATTTGAAATTTATCAGCTGAAATACCAGTTTAGAAGTGCAGAGGAGACCACATTGTAAAGTTTATGTATATCTTTAGACCTTTAAATCCTTAGATTATAACAGTGAATTTTGCTAGATCTTAGAGTTTCATATGTTGATGCAGAAATCCCGGCTGAGAAGTCTGGAAAACTGTCCGAAAATGGTAGAATGAATAATCTTTTGTAGTGGGTGATGAATTTAGGCTCACTATTGCATGTTAGTTCAGTAACTTGACATATATTGCTGCATCAGCTAATAAATTGATCTTTGATTTCATATTTCATCCAAGCGAGGCACGAGTTTGGAAGATTTTATACTCGTCTTTGTAAACCATTGGTCATTAGGGTCCTTGTCTGGACTAGTTATTGATTAGGTTGTTAGGATTTAGGAGCCAAATTCGAGAAATCACTCTACTAACAAGGTTGGTTTTTATTTTCGAAAATAAATTTACACAACTATTAATAGTCTCTTTATGGACCTGTGTAAATTTACATTTACATGCAATACGTATCAATTGAATGTCCTTTAAATCTTAGTCTGCTGTACTGCAGTTCTTTTTTACGAGAGCTATATCTTATCTCGAAACCCCCCATTAGCAAAGTCTATATTAGAAAATTTTATTTCTTAGTTAAGAGTAGTTCAAATTCAAGGAAAGAGAACAACAATAGACTATAACATCGTAAAATCCAAAGAGATATCATTACAACAAGTTCACCACAATCATGATTATCCTTATATTTCTTCCGTTTTTTTAGTTCATGCCATTTGATTTTTACACTATTCACACATTATACTTTGACCCGCTTTTGTGATTTATAAATAAGATCAAACATAGTTGAATTGTTTCGAAGTATATTTTATTAATATCCACTTTTTATAATTTTACAATAATTGGAGATATTAATTGTTAAAAATATGTGATGACGTGTGTTAATAGAAATGTGTCAACTAAAAACATAGAGGAAGTTTACTACTACTCCGTAGTAAATTTATAACCAAAAAACTACTTTGTAAACGCATCCTAACAATAAATGTTCGAGATTGACAGCATAAAAAATCAACGCTTATGAATAGTGTTATATCAACTATATTCCTCAAAATGTCTATTTACCTAAATGCCCCTATTTATTCATGCGAATCACCTGTGTGACATATTTTTTTTAAGTTTAACTAAATGATTATGAGTATAGGAGTGCAATTAGGCGCATAGTTGCTATTTGTTTTTGATGCATATTGGAGAGTTAATCGGTAAATTCACTTAATTTTTGTGTTTTTTTATTATTATTTCTTATTGCTACAGTGGTATATTTAATGTATTATTATATGTGTAGTGGTATGTTTAATATACTATTATACATGTATTTTATACTACTAGAATATAAGTTAATTTAGTAGTACTATGTATAGCTATTATGGGTAACAGTAGAAAAGAAAATTCACTACTCTTTTGTCTTACACAAAGTCTTATATGTGGCTGGTCAAACCGTATGGCATAGGTTACTTCATTTTTGTAACAGGGGTTACTTGATCAGTGTTAAAGGGGTTACTTCCTCAGTGCTATGGGGTTACTCGGTTAATGTTATAGGGGTTACTCAGTTAGTATTACATGGGTTACTTGGTCAGTTTATATGGGTTACAACTATGCGCCAATACTTAACCTGAATATAGTGATATGCTAACTTTTTTCCGAAAACATAGTGATATGCTAACTATATCCCTTAAAATGTCTATTTACTTCTGTTTTCCTCTTTTCAATTTATTTCTGTAAAAAAAAAAATCTATTTTTTTTCTACGTTTTAAAAAGTTTAAAATAATTCTTGAAATTTGAGTATTATTAGCAGGGTAGGGATGGAAGAGGAAGGGATACATCAACCTAAAAAATATCACGGGTTCCAACCAAATACACCTTTTTTGTGTTATCGTTTACGATTAAACAAGAGAAACTACCGTTTAAAAAAAAAAAACTACTGAATTTTCACGCATTCATTTGTCCAAAACTTTCCACGCATTGTATAAAATCAAGAAGGAAATATGTAAAGAATTGTATAATCCGGAGAAGTTTATAATTCACTATCTCCGCTTGATAAATGGAAAAACTGAATTTGCTATATCATGTTGTGATATTACGCCTAAATTTGCTATAAATTTTTTTTTATATAATTTGTTAATATATAAATAATATAATTTGTTTCATGTTGAATTATTGATTAACCCCATTAATAAAAAAAAAAAAATACTAGATCCGTTACTTATAATTTGTATAAAAATGCGCAGCTAGTTGCTTGTCGAAAAACCCAAGTAAATTCCTTTGCTGTCAGATCGAAAAATATGGTACCCTGAAAAAATTGATGTTGTTCATCAAATACATTTGTCGATTTCCAAATCGATTGAAAGAAGAAACTGGGATGAGTTGAGTGAGATGTATGGTCAGTCTAATGCCCCAGAATGTTACATGCTTCAGAAAGAGTTGAATGACTTGAAACAACATGAGTGTTTCTGATTCTTATGGTAAGCTTCAGAGTTATTGGGATAAAATTGGTAGTCTTGAGGGATTTCCAAAATGCACATGTGGGGCTTTTAATAAGTGTTCATGTAGTATGCTCAAGAAACTTATTGAGAGAGATGAAAAGAACAAGGTGATCGATTTTCTCATGGGACTGAATCAGGGATATGAGAATCAAAAACAGAACATTATAGGCATGGATCCATTGGTTTTGCAGGTTGAGAGAAGGAAATTTCTGGTTTCATGGGATCAACGGTGGAAGCTAGTTCCTTGGCAGTGGGAAAGCAACAAATGAGCTATCCTCAGCAAAGAAGCAACTCTGGTAATAACAACTATCAGAGAAGAGAAACAAAGGAGGAGAAAAGCAATAAATGGTGTGATCACTGCAGGATGAGTGGTCATACCATAGATGATTCTATATGAGAACTGAAACGTCGCTTTATCTGCAATATGATTAAGGTACTGTACTATTAGTTACTCGACTGTAAAGGTAAAGGAGATGGTCATGCTAATGATTGCTGGATGCAGAAGTCTTCTCTCTTGGAGGTGGATTATTTGCTTCCTGGAGTATCTGATCACTCGTGTTATGGGTAAAAATACCCATGACACGTGGACCAATGGCGTTACGACATATGGCAAGGCAAGAAGCACCAATAAGACCAGTGAGATGCTGACACGTGGCAGCACATTGTTGGTTGGATGAAAATGGATGGATGAAGGAATACAAGCCCATCAACCCAACAGGTGCAACGCACAGATTTGCGACACTTGGCACGATCCTGAAGCCAGCTCAATCATGAGCACATATCCCAAAAACCTATAAATAGGCCTCATTTACTCTCATTTGGGGGCAGAATTTCACATACAATAGAAGCTAGATTTCTCTCTCTAGAGCTTGTATTTCTCTCTCTAGATTCCTTCAGTTGTGGAGTATTCTTGAAATATAAAGGAATATTCTGATTAGTATTACAAGTTTTGTAGCATTGTATTTGAGCCTTCCTAATTAATAATATAAATCCATTTTACCCCGAAACATTTGGCGCCGTCTGTGGGGAAGGCACTATACAATGGCAGCACACGTCCCATATGGAGCGAAGATACTTCATAGGGCCTCTACTGCGCCTCTGATGAGGCAGAAGATGAGACCCCCTCCCTAGAGGAGGACAGGCCACCCAGGCGGGAGATTCTCAAAAGGAAACTCAGGCTGCTGCCCTGCCCCCTCTCCTGACCAAGGCCCAACTCAAGGATTTCATGTCTGAATTCAGGCAGTCTCTGGTCTCCCAGGTGAAGGACTTGGTTGCCAAGTCCACCCCTACTCACAAGGGACAGGGTCAGACCAAGCGAGGATGGGGCAGCCAAGAAGGCAAGCCTCAAGAGCCCCAAGAAGAATTTTGCTAAAGCAACAAAGAAGTCACCTACGATAGATTGGAAGAAGATGACTGAGAAAACCAAGTCTAACACCGTACCTATAGTGCCACGAAGGGAGGTTTCCCAGACCTTTTTGGATGCTAGGGAGTATCTAAGGGCCAAGAGGCAAGAGAGAGAGCGCATTGAGTTGTCTGATACAGCCTCTACTCCTGTCATGACAGACCCTACCTTCAATCAGAGCTCTCATCATCAGACTCATCATTCTGGCCAGTACCGCACACCTACTCCAAAGGTGAAGCAACAGCCCCATTGCATGGAAGTGGTCGGACCTCAGCAGCTTCCACTTTAGCAGCTTGAGGGTGTTCCCCCTTTCCAACAGCTGAACAATCAGTTTGTAAGGATGAATGTGGGATGGAAATCACCCTTCTCCTTGGCCATCGTAACCTCCCCTACATAAAAGCATAGGTAATATATATTAAGACACTTAAGGTAATTGCTGCTTCACAGCGTTGATAGAAGCCTAAGTAACTTTGGGCTCACATTTACTATTTCAAGCATAGGGATTGCTGGACTGCTCCTGTTCCCAAGAAATGTTCTTGGGTCTTAAAGAAAATCCTGAAATGTAGGAATGTGGTGAACTCTGTTGGTGGATGGTCTAGGTTGCAGCATGGTGCTAAAATGAGCTTGAAACGCTGCAGCAGTTTGCGTCCAATGGAACAGTACCACCAGAACAGAGTAAGGTGCCTCCGGTGCCGGACACTTGTGCTCAGGTTGGTCTCGGCTTTTTTCAGGTAATAAACTCAACAGTCCTCGAAGGGAGCTTCTCTTTCTTTTATTTCGCCTGAAATGCGTGATGGATGTTCAGTTGCTAAGCTTACTAAGTTGATAAGTTGTCTGAAGTATGGGCTAGAGCTTGAATCATGTATGTTGTTGGTGATACCCCGTCTATTGGTGCAATTATGCGTTATATTGCTGCAGAATGGAGTCATGTTGCTCAACCTAGGGTCTTTTTACATGATGCTGGTTATTCCTGGTTCATTTTGCTAGTACTGATGATAGGGCTGAGGTCTTTCTTATATGGAGGCCCTCATTCATTTAACAGTAAACCTATAATTGTTAAACAATGGACTCCGGATTTTTCTTTTAACAAGGAGGTTTTACATGTTTTTCACGTTGTCGAATGAGCTTTACATGTTTTTCTCTTTGTTTTTTTTTTTCTTTATCTTTGCTAATGTAAATCCATTCTTTCACAAGTTCTTGATATAACTCCTTAGGTAGTTTATAAACCTGTAGAATAACATATAAATGTGTTGGAAGAATTTAATGTACACAATTCATATTTTCAATCGAATTTGATGTATATATGATTACCGAAGAATAATATAGTTGAAATATGAATTTTGCATGCTAAATACTATTTTGAATTTTGAAATTTTTTATTTTTTTTATTTCTTAGTTACAATGTAAACGATTGAGATTTTGTTAAGCATTGAAACACTATACGCCTGAATTTCAGAATTTGAAGAAGAGATGATTATTCTCCATTAAAATTTTAGTCGAGAAATGATGGAAAGGTAATGTTCTTAAACTTATCTACTGGTATCTACTGAAATAGATTGATTAAACTACAAATCTGATTTCATCAATAAATAAAATCCCAAAGTTAATTAATTTCACCCTCATCCCCATTAATTTTCTCTTTCCTCCTTAAACCCTAGTCTTATGGTGGCTTCGTGTTAAGAGCTATGAGTTCGACGGTGGTAGGTTTCAGATCGTGGGTTCGTCGGTGGTTTCAGAACATAGGTTCGTTGGTGGTTTGATCGTGGGTTGTAGATTCATATCGTGGGCGTTGTTGGTGGTAGGTTGACGGGCTCACATCAGTGGGTTCAGATCGGTGGGTTCGTGGTTGGTGGCTCGTGGGTGGTTTATTCCAAAACTGTAGGTTAGCTAGGGTCGGTGGGTTTGGTGGGTTGCTGCGGCTCGTGAGTTCGGTGGATTGATGTAGCTTGTGGGTTCTTGGGTGCGGTGGGTCAACAGGGTTCGATGGTGCTAGGTTGTTTTGGTGATGCTGGGTGGTGGTGGTTTCGGTGCTACTGGGTGGTGTTAGTGGTGGTGGGTTCTTTAGTTTAATTTTGGTTGAATTTTTTTATTTTTTTTTTTCTTCTTTTTCTTTCTTTCTTACTTATTTTGAGTTGGATTAATATTAATACTTCGTTATGCCCTTATTTTTCACTCTGCTTAAACTATTTTGCCTAAAACTCCGAAAACTACTCTTTGTTGCCAGTAATAAGAACTATAACAGAGAATCACTCTCCCATTTTCTCTTTCTTTCTCTCTCCTCTCATTTCTGGTTTTTCACAGCAAAACACAAATTCCAGAAATGGCAGCGATTTCTTCTCACTCTTCTTCACTCTGCTTCGACTCTTCTTCTCTCTCCTCCAAAACTTCCTCTTTCTCCGGCAACCCTCTTCGCCGTTTCTCCGCCACCTTCGCCTCGTCGTCTCCGATTAGTCGCTGGAAAATCAGTTGTCAGACTTCTTCTCTTGCTGCCTCTCCTGCATCTGTTGATGCTCAAGGTGATTTTTTTGTGCTTTTGCTGTGATTATTTTGTAATTTGTGAAATGGGATTGAAACCCTTTTTTGTCTGTCTTTTTGGTGAAGCACATTTGTGGGGTTCTTTAGTTTTTTGCCCTGTTTAGGGAGTCGTAAAGGGTAATGATGTAGACGGGATTTAATCGTTGTTTGGTTTTGGATATCGGGTATGCGGCTAAGATTTTGATCAACTAAGCTATATGTCATCCACATTTTGTGTCCTTTTATCTTGGTTGAAGAATTGTATTATACTACCTCCATTTTGAAATAGTTGCATCATTGTGACTTTTTGTATTAATCATATACTTTGTATTAACTTTGAACCTTCTTTTTCACTAATGAATTAAATAATAAATCTTATTATATCATAGAATTTAAGTTTTTTCTCAATGTTTATTTTGTAAATTTCATAGTAGTGTAATGTTAAATTATCAATGTACAAAGTTGTGCGTTGACAAACGTGATAATTAAAATAGCGTATCTATTTCCATATGGATGAAGTGTTGATTATGAGTGGAAAATTGTTAGGTCTTTGAGCAAATCTAAGAATTTACTTAACTACATTGACAGATTTTTGACAGTTGGTTTGTTAAGTGAAATTGTAAGTGATGATTGCTGAGTTATATTTCTGAAATTAAATGATAACTAGGATATTGTTGTTAAATGCAATTAGAAATGCTGGTTCGTATCTCTAAACTGATTGAGTAGCTGTTATTTAGCTGAGCTTAATGGTCTCTGTGTCCTTTGAAAATTTGCATTGAATTTTTGTCTTGTTTATCTATAATGTGTGATATAATGTATGATCCGAATGCAATTCTGCTTTTTCTTCCTTTCTTTTCTTTGGGGCTTTTTTTCCCTGTTTTGTGTTTGTACTTGGATACCATTTCTAAAACTTATCCGTTTTCTTGTGGTTTGGTAAGTCCTTATTTGACTCAAAAGCTGTTATTTCTTGATGCAAGTCAAGTTGTTTCATTGAATATATACAAATTGTATGCACATCTGTAATATCTTTCAAATATATTATTGTGCTCGGTTCTGGGTTGTCAATTTATGACTTTCTATTGATTGTCCATCTCCTGCAAGTTACTTTTGTTTCTATATTTGATTGGTTGTCTACTTCATTTTGAATTCTGTGGGTTTGATGCCAACTGCTTTAGAGCCATACCTTATTCATTCTGTTTCATTTACAGCAAAAACAGCCAAAAAGGATTTTCTGCACATAACTGATTATGACAAGGCTACAATTTTGAAGATCTTAGACCGCGCAATCGAGGTTAAGGCTCTACTCAAATCAGGTGATAGGTCATATCAGCCATTCAAAGGGAAGAGTATGGCTATGATATTTGCAAAGCCATCCATGAGAACAAGAGTATCGTTTGAGACAGGTTTTTTCTTGTTGGGAGGTCATGCAATATACTTGGGACCAGATGACATTCAAATGGGAAAGCGAGAAGAAACTCGAGATGTTGCTCGTGTACTCTCCCGCTATAATGACATCATTATGGCCCGTGTTTTTGCACATCAGGTACGCTGGTGAGTTTCCGTGATGGTCTCATCAAGATTGCTAAAATTAGCAAAATTCCTTTCGTACCTTTTACCTGATGTTCTGTGTGCTCTGTAAATACATTTAATAATCTAAAATATTTCGGGCAATTAATAATGCTGTAAAGATATTAGCATGGAAAGAAAACTATTACAACAGCTACTTCTTCAAATAAGCTGTGCCAATCGTTTTAATCTTGTAAGAAAAGTTTGATTAATATTTTGCTATCATTGGAGAGTATCGTTCTTCTGCGACAATTGACTAACCTATCTTTGTATGTTAACTCTATGTTCCTAGAAAAAGAGTATTTTCATCTAGTTTTGAGTCAGTGGTTGTGTTTGTTTATACACCTGGAAAATTTAAAAGAGGATAAAGTTTGGTCTAAAAGCTAGATCTATTATTTTTCTTAGAAGGTTAAGTTTAGAAGAGTGAGGTATGCTCTTCTAGTAGTTTAATCTTTGGCTAATCCAAAATAAACATATAAGCACTATTACCAGTACAAGCCCCAGTGTAAAATAACTCTATTAGTGACAGAGGTTTGCATTTCTCATAACATATACTCCTTATATAATTTAACTCTTTCAAGTGATATTATGAGGAAAAGAAATGTAGAGTGTCCACATACAGCAGATTGAAACAATTTAAGTTGAACTTATTAGAAAAAAAAGTTGTCTTTCCACCCTTTCGCTGTTTGATTGCTCTTTCCATCTAGACTTGCAGTAAAGCTGCTATGTGATTGAAGTAATGATTATTTTTTTGGTCACAGGATATTATTGACCTAGCTAAGTATGCAACCGTACCTGTGGTCAATGGCTTGACGGATTACAACCACCCTTGTCAAATAATGGCCGATGCTCTGACTATGATTGAACACATTGGTAGCATAGAAGGAACAAAGGTGAGACTTCTGTTTGTGGCATCAAGAGTGCTATATCTACCTTCTCACATTTCTAGATGGGTCCTACCAAGGCAGGCTGTTATATCTGTGTTATACACTAGTGACTAGCCTTATATTTCATATCTCGCAGCAATTTTTTCTGCATATATTCTGATCAGCTGAGTTGTGGATAATTACTGTGTTTGACCAGGTCGTTTATGTTGGAGATGGGAACAATATTGTGCATTCTTGGTTGCTATTGGCAGAAATTATCCCTTTCCATTTTGTCTGTGCCTGCCCAAAGGGATTTGAACCTGATCAGAAGACGGTGCAAAAGGCTCAACAGGCTGGCATCAGCAAAATTGAAATAACAAATGATCCCAAAGAAGCTGTTATTGGAGCAGATGTAGTTTACTCAGATGTTTGGGCAAGTATGGGACAGAAGGAAGAAGCCGAACATCGTAGAAAAGTTTTCCAAGGATTTCAGGTGAATGCAGATGATATAATGTTATCCATCTTTTTTATTGCGTGGTTGATTATGTTATATTGCATTGATTTACACATCTTGCCTTGCTACTTGATTTTGGCATTGCTCTGTTCTTGTTCGTTTAATTCGATTCGGTCTTGTAAAGTGGTAAAAGGACAATAAAATTTACATGATGCTTTTGTTATTTCCACTAGGTGGACGAGGCTCTTATGAAATTAGCTGGACCAAAGGCTTACTTCATGCACTGTTTGCCAGCTGAGAGAGGAGTAGAAGTTACTGATGGGGTCATTGAGGCTCCCAACTCAATTGTTTTCCCTCAAGCTGAGAACCGCATGCATGCTCAAAATGCTATAATGCTACACGTGCTTGATGCCTGAAGACATTTTTAGAGCTTTTGCTGCATTGGTAGTCTGATCATCTGATGTCTTTTAGCGGTGTAAGGTAGAACTTGTAGATTCAGATTGTTCTGCATGTTACGTATTTGCAAAGGAGGGATTAAAGATTTGCTTAAAATAGCCGTACTCCCATCTAAAAGTTGTGACAGAATTTTCAGGTGGAATGACATGAGAAGAGAAGAAACCATTTATTTCCTAAAACTAATACTACGTAATCTTTCTCCACTATTTTTGATCATTTGTCTCATATACAAGTAGTAGTCACTGTCTTGCTGGTCTACTGATCAGTAAGATTGTGTTCGGAGCTTCCCTATGTGTTCTTTTTTGGGTTAGCAGTATGGCTATGCTCCCGAGTGTTATGTGACCGAAATTGTCAAATTGATATAAATAGGAACTGCTTGTATAAGACTTTTCTGTCAATGTGTTAGTTTATGCATTTTCTAAATAAACAATTCTGCAGATATTCAAACCTAATTGCTGCTAAATTTTACTGCATATGCATCACATTCGAAATTCTTATATGTGATAAATTACGACAGAAAGAGGATGAAAACTTCCCTAACTACTTAGATGCCCACTAAGAAGGCTCAAGGTCCATATTCATCTCATTAGAGGCGATTTGAAGGAGCCTCCTATGTTAGTTGATGTTTATACTTTCCATCTCCCGGCGCCATCAGTACGTTCCAATCTTTTTCCGACTTTAACAATATAACAAGAAGTATAAATCTTGTGCAGCTTTGTTGTAATTCCTACTCATCAGGAATACAGACGCAAATTAGGAAAATGGACACAATAATACTGTCAAAAACAAAACATATTTCTGTACTTAGTTACATTCATGTTTTTCCCTTCTGAGTTTTCAATACAGGTACTTAAATCATTGCACCACGTTGCTTTGTTTTGTTGATGCAAGAGCTCATCTGCAAGGAAGAATCCTATTCTTATCAATCATCATCGATACCTTCGAATGTTCTCTACAAGAAAAAAGAACAAAATGCTGTTATAAAAGGGAGCTGCTTCAGTATTTTCTGGTGCAGGTGCTAACAACTAACAAGACAAAAGTATTGTACCTCTTATTACTCCAAACAAAACTTAGCTATCTGTAAAGGAATAGAATATATGACAGTGATCACTGATGGAGACCATGTAATTCTAAAGAGAATGTATGCCAGTATAGTCGATTAGTCGACTGGGAAACTTCAGTATCTTTAAGGAGAAGCTTAGTGGTTAGATTCCTCGAGTTATATTGGTTCTGCTTAAAGATGAAGGTATTAGCTTTCGTCACTCATCTACATCTTAAGGCTATGTTGTCACACGTACACACAAGACATGAAAAATCAGCATCGTCGAAGAAATGCTAAAGTATATCCTAGTCTAGCTCATGAGATTAGTCAGCATCTACAGTTGTGTGCATATGTTACTTCTTCCATAATCCTATCATTGGTTTGGGCAGAACTACGTCGACATTTGATAAGTGACAGAAAGAGCACCTTGTCTTGGAATTATGCTATGAAAGCACCTTTAATATGAATCTTCGCACAAACTAGTATATATAACAACAGATCTCCTTTCGAGCACCAAATATCACATGGCTTAAGAATTAGGATCTGTTTCGACATGCATGCTTTCTCCACAGTTTTCTTCTGCACAAGCAAAACAAATTAGTATGGTTAGAAATGGATAATCTGCATCCTGAGGCTCAACTTTGTACGGAAATCTCCCGCGTTGAGCCTCAGGATGCAGATGATCTGTTGCTTACCAACAAAATCAGTAAAAGTAATAATACCAACAGTCCATCACAATCTGTGAACCCTGGCTATTGTGATCTATAAGCAAGGTATTGTATCGACGTGTATGATTAATACTCCCTCTGTCGCTATTTTTTGACTCATGTAAAACATTATGTATACATCTTTGGCCAATACTGTATGTATACATCTATTTTATTAAAGTTTAAAGTTTGTAGCTCATGCACTTTGCAACAATATATACAGGTAGTAAATTTTGGATCATAACAGTAAGTTGCTCCTTAAATCACGTTCACAAAAAAAAACTATCTTACCATTATAATTCTGTGCATTTACACCGTACAAAACTCGTTATTAAAATCTGAAAGGAATTGGAACAAATAATATATTTATGTAAAGTGGAAATTAATACAGAGTATGTTTTAGTTAACAAAATCATAAGTTGATATAAGAATTATAACAAAATAGCTTGCTCAAGATAACAAACTCAAGAAGATACATGGGAAGTTTAATGATAACTAGGAGATTTAGGACAGTATGTATGATACATGGAGGCACTTGAAGCGCCATGCTAATACACTCCTTGTGCAATATCCATCCATGGGAAACAACGACACGAGTAATGGGAGGCTAACTCTACATACCTGTAAAATCGATCAAGATGGAGAGGAATTATCAATTATGTAAGTATGAATATCGATGCAAGTATTGTTATTTGGATAAAAAAAATTGGAGTTGAACTCTAGTGGTGTCCCTTGGATTTGGTTTTACTATTATGACAAATTCGGCAGAGATTTAAGAGCAACTCCAACAGCAAGCTAATTACCAAATTAGCTTGTCATATTTAGATTTTTCAGCTTTATTTTTTAAATAATAAGTATTTTATTAGAGACAATTAATTTCTAAGCTAATTAGCTTAGCTAAGCTAATTTGCTTGGCATTAGCTTGGCCTAGCTAATTATTAAACTATCCTCCAATGGCTTGACTATTAGCTTGAAAATTATTAAAATTGTAAGCTAGTCCCGCAACCATTGGAGTTGCTCTTACATACTGATGATATAATCATGTCTTGCCTTGACGGAAGGTATTATCCAAGAAAAGAGGAGCGGCAGCAACAACAACAACAACAACAACAATAACGTTTATCAAATATCAATACATATTAAACCAGTGACAAGACAACGTGTTTTCTGTGCGATTGGCTACATCGTTTGACCGTTTGTAAAATTGTAAAAGAACAAAATAACCCCTGAAAACTCTAAGTGAGTAACCCCTATAACACACCCCTATAACATCATGATGGCTGACAACAAGCTAGCCACATATAAGAATTAACACTAAGCAAATAACAAACACGGCAACATCATAAATCTAAACCACAAAACAAAGAACCAAAGAAACGAATGCGAATTGATGTATGACTGAATATCACATTGATCCAACAATAACCCAACAAGATATATAAAACTAGATTCATAACAAGATTACATTTTGATACGATCATAAACTCTAACATGCAAGGTATAACTACAACCCAAATAAAGCATTAAATGTGTATATGAAAGTTTACCCCTCTAAAAGCCATAGTTGCAAAGGTTGCTGCGAGAAGAGGGATTTTCTGTACAAGATTCAAATTTAAAGGGAAGAAATGAGGGAAAATATCAGAACTTGACACAAATATAATGGTTTTATGTTTTAAAGTACAAGATTCAAAATTGGCACAAACACAAGTTTGCCTCCTTGGAAGCTCATCCTCGACGGTCTCAGAAAAGGGAGGCTAAAAAATACATATCTTCACTGTCCAGTGCCTTCTTTCGTAGTCATCTATTTTCAGTGATCATTTTACATCCAAACTTACTGTCTAAAGCTCCATCAGGGCGTCATAACCAGTAGTACAAAAGAAAGGGTAATAGCGCCTGCATAGAGAGAGAGAGAGAGTGAGAGAGAGAGAGACCAATGGCCTGTAAGCTGGATTGTGCATTGAACGCTCTACCTGTGTAACTCTTATATTTTCCATGCAGAAAAAATTAAGATCCCGACTTTGTACAATATCTAGTTTAAATAACCTACCAATAGAACCAGAAAAAAGGGGGAGGGGAGGGGGAAAAAAAGCCGAGATCAAAAGTTGGTCTCATCCTGAGAGAACTTTGACAAAAATTGGAGAACCTTGGCTTTGGGATTCTCAGAACCTGCAGCGGATTTTGTCTCAAAAACACCCTTTATAATACGGGTATACAGCCTTTCAAGCTGTGGAATACCATATGCTTCAGTGTGCTTCAAAAATTGTTGCTTGATCACTTCCACTTGGCTGCTGGAAGTATCTCCGTCTTCCATATTCACATCATCTTCAGGACATCTTCCACATCTAAGTTCCTCTAATTCCATGGGAGTCTCAGATTCATTACAATTTGCAGTTGAGGTCTCTGGTCCTGTGCGGGTGGTAAACTTAGCTTGAGCCTCTTCGGATGATGGTGAAGGCAATGATTCTAGGTGTTCGGCTTTGTCTTCATCAGCTGCAACTGAAATTTTCCAAACACAAACCAAGATTTAGGGAAGGATTCTACAAGTATCAGAGATTTTCATGCTCAAACCTTGAGTGCATCACAAAGATAAACTAAAAGATATAGGAGTTTCAAGAACTTAGGGAAGAAAAGTCTAGCAAAAAATCCTTAAACTGAAAGAAATTTGCTTTGATATCTTTAGCTAAAAGTATTAACACTACTGATGAAAATTCATCTTGCCCTGTGAATGCTATCCAAATTTACAAAATCATCCAATTAATTTTTCATAACTTTATCATATCTTTAAACTAAAAATTCAAGCATAACCAGACAGGTCCAGAAGCAGTCGCTGGCACGAGGTCCGTAGAAGCATTTGAAATTTTTTTTTTTTTGGTTTGTGCAATTGGTGCGTATGTTTGCAACAACACATGTATGGGCAGGGAACTCTTATATCATCACAACTTTCAAACATTTTAAGCAAAATCCAAAATGTCCCTGGAAGTGTGTCCAGAATCACAGACCACCAGCAAACATATATACTAGCCAAATTTACAATATCATCAAAGTATGAGTCTGCCAAATATTACTACTTTGTAATATATATGAAAGATTTCAGAAGCATGGTATTGCCTTTCAAAGATATTAAATAAAAAGTAGACTCCAAACTTAAAAATCAGCCACAAGATTACAAATTTTTTTCAATACTGCAGTATATTTAGATGTCCACCAATAGCCCAAATTTAGTTGATACAATGACCTTTTCAAAAAGCAGGAATGAAGGATCATACCACAACATTGCCTTTCACAGAAGTAGACTCCAAACTAATAAATAGGCTACAAGATGACAAGTTGACAACGTCTAAAACATACTTGCCAAGATCACATTTATTATTTTCAATATAAAAAGTCTGAATGGATTTGAGACTGCAGTTCTGCTTAAGTTTCATTTAGATGTCCACCAATAGCCCAGATTTAGTTCATACTAAAACCTTATCAGAAAGCAGGGGTGAAGGATATACCACAACATAAAACCCAAGCAAAGGGAATTAAGGCTTGTACCTGTGGAGATAGTGTCAACATTCTTCTTTGGTCTTTTTAATGCTTCGTAACTTTGATCTAAGTTAACATCTGGCTGGACATGACGGAGCCGAGCACTTGCTCTAGTCACAGTTAATGTTTGAACAACGGGATTTTGCTGAAGAGCAGAGCCTCCATAACCATCAGGCATTTGACTAGGGCCTCCTTGAGCAGCAATCTTGTCACAGAATGCCACAAGTGCAGGATCTATCTGAGAGAGCATTCCTTGCACCTAAAGAGCATACCAACAACAAACAACATATAATTAATCAACAAAATCCCAAATCAAAATTCAGATACAAGGTAACCACATCAGAGAATATAGTGACACAGATAAAAAAAAGAGAACATACTGCATCTCGAAGCTCATGTGCTCTGCTAACAATCCTAGCTCCATTATAATCGTCTCCGTTGTATGCCTGATGATGATAAACATAATAAAAAATACAATCAATAAAAAAAAAAAAAAAAAACCCATAAAAGTTCCTTTTAAACCAAGAAATTAAGTGGTTAGCACAAACATGACATATGTAAATCAAAATTAATGAGTCAGTTGGAACTCCGAAGTACACAAAAAAAAAAAAAAAAAAAAAAAAAAAAACACTCAACCTTTGATCCCCCCCCCCCCCTCCCTCCCCTCCCCTCCTCAATCAGGACAAGGGAAAAAAGGAAGGAAATGAAGATGAAAAAGACTTAACAATGCAGTGAGGGTACATAAGTAAGAGGATTTTTAGGTGACTCTTACCATGTATCATTTGATATAAAGCCAGCTCACAATCTCACAATAATAGCAAGATTTATCAAGTTTAAAATTTTATAGAGATTTGAGGTTGAAATTAATTGGCAAGTACCTGAAATGACTAAATATATCATGATCAAGGAGCAAAAATTTCCCTTATTTTGGTCTGCTTCCTAGTAATATGACCCATTTCAAAACTGCATCCTTTTCTACTGTTAATAAAATAACTCTCACTATCCTTTTTTTTCTTCTTTCCCATTCCCAATAACAGTACAAGTTGTCATGAACTCACTCACTGATAGGTCTCACAACTGCCTTCGCTGTGAATTTCACCACCATTACAACCTGCATAGATCTGAGAGAACAGGTATAACAGCAATCATGGTTTCTGAAGAAAGAACGACAGTGAGAGAGATATGAGAGGAAGTCGGGGAAGGAAACTGTACACTACCACCAATAACAAATAAGATGGAGTGATGATAATGCTGGTTAATGCCACTCATTCTATGACAGTGATCACAGTGCAGAACAACTCTAATGGTAGTTGGCCAATGGATTGAGGTATGACCGTATGATAATGATGATGATGACTAAGAGAGTGGCGAAGATGCGAAAAGTTACCTTAAGAGTGAACCAAGGAAATACAGTACCCAGCAAGGAAACACAGTAACCTCATATGCCCCAATCATCATTATCCTCAACGATTACTCAAAAAAAAAAATAATAAAATAAAAAATCATTATCCTCAACGAGTCAATGGCCTCAAATCCACCCTCTCAATTCCACCAGATATTTACTCCTATTATCCTCTCATTTACCCCCAATCCAGGTATCCCTTCTTAACAAAAGTTACACTTTCTGGCTGTTATCTCCATCTTGCTTCTCATTCAATAAATTCACCTAATAATTGTGAAACGTCTTCTACAATTGCAATTTATGAAGAAGATAATAATTGATACCAAATTATTGCTATGACTGTCTGGTAATCTGGTTGGCTTCTAGATAATGAGCTTTTAAATTATTAGTGGAAGAGAGTCCTCTTTTCAGACTAATAGCAGCCCTCAGCCCCAACAGTTTCTTACTTCTAATGCCCAGACCGTTTATAAAAGATATACAATTCAGTTCCAGGTGCAATCAATTTCAAGTATTATTCCGGATTAAGGTATTTCACTAGTAGGAAATATAAGATGGCTATGTCTCATTAGAATATCTCAAGTGAAATTAAGGAATGTAAAGATAATATTGCAATCAGCTCAGCATTATAAAGGCAATGTCCCATTGGCATATTTCAAACAATAATAGTAAGAGTTGAGAAACTTGTAATAGGCAATGACAATGGGTGGATCAGCATAGAATGCAACATTAGGGGAAAAATATAGGATTTTAGCTGAATAAGCTACACACCTTTGCATTGTGTAATATCAGTTCAACATCGTGCAGAAAATCAAAACTTTTTATGTATCGGCCAGAATCTACACGTTGAAGCAATGTAGCCATGTCCATAGGATTTTGGATGATGGAGCGATAATTTGGAGCATCCTCATCTGTAACTGGATAATGGAAGGCACTAAAACGTTTATCATATAAGATCCTGCACAAAATTGTAATCAATAACAATTAATCAGTGCCAGATTTAATACATTGAAATCCAAAACACAGACATAACAAGGTCTCCCTACTGTCTTTATCAAAACATACAAGATTTCTGGAAACAGAACATGCAGCATGTGTCAGCATGAGAACATTATACTGGAAATAAAAACATTTGTGTACATCGAATAGTTTGGAGAAAGAGGTTGAAGGTATAAACCAAAGAAAATGAGTTGTACATGAAATGGTACATAAATATATGCCCATGAAGGAGGCAAGTCAAACCACTAGCCTAAGTACAATTCCTTCAACCAATTGGCAACAGAAAAAATTATTCAACAACTCATAAGGTGGTTTCTTCATCTATTTACCTCCAACGTGGAACAACAAACTTGAACAAATATATATGGCGGTCACTAATTATCCTGACATATGAATCCTTCTGTTACTTCAGCATAATGGCAAATTAAAACCCCTAGCATGATTAAAGAACCAAAACTAACAAAACAAGACAATCTAGATTTTGATACCACACATCAAAATCATGAAGATATAGTTCTATGCCATGCCCGTGATAGAGGAGAATTAGAGCCACTTACAAGACAAAATGATTTTCTACCTAAAACATATGCCAATGAGTAGAGTTACTCCCTAAGGATATAAGATGGGATTTTTACCCCTCTACTCCAATGAGGACAATTCACATCAGTAGTCATAGGCTTGCAAAGTTGGACTTGAGAAAAGGAAAACTCACCTATTGCACACATCTCTAAGACACATCCTCAGTCTACGAAGTGCATGCTGTTCTGCTTCTACCTTAGCTTTTAACTCAGAGATCTTTGGGCCACTAGCAACCTTAGGAGCTTTAGGGAGCTCAGGAAGTGACGTAGATGTCTTGGGTGTTTTTGTATTAGCTTCAGATGGTACCGACAAAGATGCTTCAATTAGTCGATCAAAGAACAAAGACAGATCTTCATTTGATGGTCCATCCACTTTGTAGCTGGAAAGAAAACCAAAGGAATTCAAAATCATTTGAATCTACAAATTTTGACAAACATACCAGGCTAAATACAATATTAGAAAAAAAAAATTACAAGAATCACATTATGACACTATTAAGATTTTTGCAATTAGAGGTTCTGAAGTGATCATATTAATGATTGCCTTTTGAGAAACATCCAAATTCAAGATAGTTCACAGCATGAGTATTGTAGCTCTAACCCAAAAAAAAAAAAAAAGCAGTTCAATTTGTGTACAATTTTTTTAAAAAACCTTAGCATACTATCAAAGCTGAACTAGAAGGAGCACATAGTAGGTAGTAGGAAGTATACATGCTACGTTCAGAAAATATTCGATGCCGTTCGTCCACATCAGGGGGTAGATCTGAGGTTGTTCCGAGTAACAATATAGGTAGCTCAGATGGCAATTCTTCTAGCAGAGTGAGTAGGACCGCTCTTAGCTGATCATGTGCCTGACAAACAATATGACTGAGTCAAAAGAGTATCATGAAACTAGGAATTTCAAACACCTATAATTAATGCCCCATAAAATGAAGTAAATTAAGCATGCAGAGCTATAATATAATCTGCTTGCACGTGTGTGCAGCGCGTAACAGCTTAAAGGTACAAGATTATCTACACATGCAAACTGAGAGAAAGACCTATAGATTGTGAACTTACATTTTCCCACCAAAGATCATAATGAGGCAAATATAGAATAGATGGTGTAGTCCTTCGTGCTTCACTAATTATATGTACCAAAGCCTCTTCAGGTGTCTTTGCACTAGGGTCTGACAGCAGAGATGGAAGCCCAAGAGAGTGAACAGGAAACTTCTCCATCTCATGTAATATAGCAGGTCCTAGATGATCCTGTACAACTAAAGAAGTGAGTGAACTCAGCTTTAATTCATACATTACTGATTATTACATATTTCAAAATTGCTAAAGAGAATTACCATCCCAACACCATCGTTTCCACATAACAGAAACCGAGGCCTGTAAACCAGTGGAATAGCAGAGCCGTAGGAGAGCATTGATAATTTTGTCAATTCAGATGAAATAGCGGAAGCAGGGAATATATCTGATATGTGTACCATGGCCTTTTGGAGGTGTCTTTGCAGGCATGGAGCGACAACAACTGATAAAGGCCTCGAATGAACTATGGAGCCTCTATGAGCAGCAGGGGTAATTGTTGACATAGCATCAAAAAAATGATATTTTTCTACCCTAACTGATTCAACATCTATCAGAAATTTGTCATCACTGGTGTACACCTGAGGATATTTTTCACGAAATGCACGAATGGCTGCTTCAGTGCAGAGTGCTTTTAAATCAGCCCCACAATAACCCACACAACTTGCTGCAAGTTCTGTCCTTAGTTCCCTGGTTGGAGGGTGCATCCACTTGCGTGTGTGAATATCTAAGATTTCAGCCCGGGCATCACAACCAGGCAAGGGAAAGTTAAACTCGCGATCAAATCGACCAGGTCGACGCAAGGCCCCATCAATAGCATCAATTCTGTTTGTAGCTCCGATCAAGACAACTTGTCCACGAGAATCGAGGCCATCCATCAGAGCAAGCAAAGTTGAAACTATAGAATTGTGGATTTGCTCCTGTTTGCTTGACCTCACTGGAGCAAGCCCATCTATCTCATCAAAGAAAATGATAGATGGTTGATTCCTTTGGGCTTCTTCGAAAAGAAGTTTCAACTGTCGTTCGGCTTCTCCAACCCATTTGCTGAGAACATCAGCTCCCTTACGCATGTAAAAGCTCACTTTCTGACCAGCTTTTGAAGCAGCACAAGCTAATGCTCGTGCAATTAGAGTTTTCCCAGTTCCTGGGGGTCCACACAATAGGACACCTCTAGGTGGGGTAATACTATAGCTTGCAAAAAAATCCGGGTAAAGCAAGGGAAAGAAGACCATTTCCTTTAACGCATCAATGTATTCTGAAAGCCCACCTATCTCATCGAAACTCACACTATCATCAACTTGCAAAGGCTGAATATCTGCTCCTCCCTTTGAACTCGGACCGGCAGTCTGAACTCCAGGTGTCAAAGAAGTAAAGGAATCAGCTTGGTGACCCCAACCAGATGCAGCAACATTCAACCCCCATGCAGTTGCCCCATGCATATCTAGCCCTCCCATGAGCCAAGGAGGCCCAGCTCTACTTCCACTCCGAGCCCAAGGAATTGCTGGTCCTTGGTCCAACTCATCCACAAGAAGAGAGTCATCAGAGTCATCAATCCTACTAAAACGATGACGCTTATGGACTCTAGTGCCACCCCTTCCCACAACCCTATTGACCTTGTTTCCCATCCCATGATGCAACACTCTCCGAGGAGATCTTGGTCTATGTTTACCCTCCTCCAAAGACATCCTGCGGACCTCTGCACGATTTCGAAGATCATAGCGCCTTCGCCCATCCTGCTCTTCTTCACCTTCATCATCATCACCATCTTCTTCTCTTTCATCCTCCTCTTCACCCTCCCCACCCTCTTCAGCTTCACCTTCACCTTCATCATCACCCTCAACTTCATCATCATTATCATCACCATCATTCCCATTCTCTATTTCATCTTGATCATCTTTTTCACCTGAGCTACCTTCTACATCATCAAATGCAATTCGCCTCCCATTTGATTTGGAATTACGAGGACGCAGACCTTCCCGTCGCGGTGTGGATTTAGTTTCAATAACTTTTCTGCGTTTAGGAGTTGATAATACATCCAGAGCAGCACTGTTATCAATCCGGCTTCTAGTACTGTATTTTCTAGGTTCCTGTAAAGAACGAACGGAAAAGATCATTAATTTGCAAGATAAATCATGTCCAATTGAGCATGAAAATGGAGCTGAAGCTCAAATTTTAAACTCAAAAATACGCTTACTAGTTAACTATAAGCTTTACCATTAAGTCTTCATCTGAACCAGAGCTATCTGTATAATCTCCCAAATTAACAGATACTCTCCTCTGTCTGGTTGAGCGCCGAAGGTTGGTTGCATCCAGCTGAAAAGAAAGGACCAGCATTAGATCAAATTGACAAAAGGCATAATACATCATCAAGCTTCTTGATTATACATACATAGTCGGGTCACCTGATGGGGAAAAAAATGTCTCAAATGCACCTCAAAAAAGCATTCATCATACATAACTCAGCATAACCTAATCACTTATCATTACCACAATATTAAGTAGCATATCAAAGCACACAATAACAGTTAATAAAGATCACGGAGGGATGATATTCAGAGAGCACAAAGTCTGAAGCTACAGCAGCTGTACCTCTTATACTTCTATAATCAAGACTGATAAACATTATAAGCCCCCTCCCACAACAGCCATACATGTGATACATATACTTCTATTTTTACTCCTGCGAATATGAGACAGATGAAGTATGATATCAGCCCATTACTATATATAAAGTTAATCTCATAGCATACACCAGGGCTTAGGCTGTAATGAACCATTTTAGGAAGTTCCTTAACTCTTGCCTCTATGGTAAAATTCCAGAATCATGTCATGACAACACCCCCAACATACAAGAACCTTTGCAGGTTTACAAATTTTAGAGCACCAACACGGAAATTTCCCGTTGCATGTCAGGTAATATGGTAAGAGGCGGATTTATGTATTGTAAAGTGCTTCCTGTGTGTGGAACAGGCATCTAATCATTCTTCAACCCATTAATTTAGCCAATAAGACCTTGACTATAAAGGCTAAACACACACACATGATGCTTGGACAGTTCCCAAAGTCCCAGCTCACCATAAACTAACTACATCTCAACAATTTATATAGGTATTACTTCTAAATGTGCTTGAATAAGGAGTGGGAAGTGGCTCAGCTACACTAAAGAGATCAGCAGTAAGCAAGATGATGGTGGGAAGTGTGAAAAGAAACATCTAGTTCAGAGGATACAGTTTTGAGTACTCTTTGATGTTTGGTGTCCTAAATGCTATAATTATTACCAGGTAGTTGGAGATTTTCTCATCTTCAGTTTTGTGTTGCAATGTTTTCAATTGATATCTACATAGTATAATGGATTTTCAATACAAAGGTATGATTAAGCACACTAATTGTTGCCCTTAGCATTACAGAAATAGTTTCACTTTTCTTCCCTTTACCACTACAATCATACTATTAACTTTTTTTTCCCAATACTTTTGTCCTGTAAGATGAATTAGGGCCCTAACAGAGGAAGATTTAGATTAGAGTCCCAGATTTCACTAATGAGAGAGGAAATATTTATGATGAGTATGAGAAGCTTAATATAATGTGCCTACTTGCATATTTTCAAACTCGAGCTAACAAAGAGCTCTTGTTGCCAGTGACAATAAGGCCCTACTAGAAAAAATTGAAAAGCCAGCTTAAAGTAGAAATACAGCCATTAGCTGAAAACCTGCTAGCTGATGAACAAGTGGATTGATTGTATTAGATGTGGTCGGGTATTATTTGAAAGCCTAGCTGAAAAACGAGCACACTTTAAAGGAAATTGGATGTAATAAAATATCAAATTATCCCTTCATTAGATATTGCTTACACCATTTTCCATCCCCAAAAGATTGTCCCCATTGGCCCACGGGGACCAAAACTTCACTTTCACAAAGATACTTTAGGTCCCACCAATTTCTCTCTCATCATTTCCACTCAATAAAGTAAGATATGGCTTTGGGGAAAAAAAATTAGGGACGGAGGGAGTATATTCTCTCTTCATAAACTAAACAAGTCTTATGCCTCATAGTCTAGTGTTTCTCCACTCTTACCTCCATCCCCTCTTCTCCTTAGTCTCGACTTTACTCCTATTCGCTACACCTGTTGTTACTTAAGAAAGCTCATAGCCTCAAACTTACACACTAACAACAATTAAAGATACTAAACTCATATTTACAAGAAAACAGTTATTAGTAAGCTAAACCCAAATGATACCAATAAAAGAGCCTCCAAACCAAACCAAACCAACGATAACTAAAAACAATCCTTGAACCGCAACAGCCAATAAAAACACGAAATGTACCATTTCCTAACAAAAATCTCCACATATTCACCCTCTTCACAGTTCAACCTAACAACATATGTCACTACAGCAACGGATTCCACGATAACACACCATTACTCGAACAATAAACATACATTAACCAAAAATCCAAACCTCCCCATTCCCTAACCCCAACTAATCACACCCACAAACAATTGACTGTATCTCATTCAACCTAAACATCACATACTAAGTTCCATAACACATTAAAACGCCTAAAATCAAAATATTAACCAAGCAAATCAAAAATCCAAACCTCCCCATTCCCTAACCCCAACTAAACACACCCACAAACAATTAGTTGTAACTCATTCAACCTAAACATAACATACTAAGTTCCAAAACATAAAAACACATAAAATCAAAAAATTAACCAAGAAAATCAAAATAACAGGGATAAAGTTAGACAAAGCATACATTAGAGATAGACTTGGAAGAGTTATGAATGGGACGGCGACCACCCGGCTTCAAATACTTGGCAATGTGAGCAGCAGCAGTCCTAGTTTTCACCTTCTTCCTGTTCTTCCGACGATACCCCGGCGAGTTCTTGAAGTAAAATGTATTTCTCATCACCGGCTTTCGAACCCGACTACTGGTTCGTTTCTCCATTCCATTGCTGTTATTGTTATCATTGTTATTGTTATTGTCATTGCTAACAGAAGCGACGACTCCATTTTCATCTCCATTGTTGGATCGCTTCGAATGCATAACTCAAAAAATGCAGCAATTTCAGAGTGTTCTGCTCGCCGGAATTCGGAGCGGAACGTTTTGGGAGGGATTAATCGACATGCATGTTTGAGATTGGGGAAGAAATTGGAAACCCTAGATCGAATTAGGGGAGATAGTTGGACTGTTTGGGGAAGAATTTGGGTTTAAAAATTGGGGGTTTTTGAGGAGAGAGAAAGTGGAGGAGAGAGAAAGAAGGGAGAGTGACAAATGTGAAGAAGAAAGTGGGGAAATGAAATTAGTTTGGGTTTTTGAAGGCTTCTTCCGATGTTCTGATATTATAGGGAGGGAAGAGAAAGGGGGGAAACAGGGTGAGAGGTTTTTTTTCTCTTTTTTCTTTTTTGATTTTCATCAGTTACGTTTTGTTCTCTCTATCTTATTTTTGTTAAATTAAAATTATTTTGATTAAAATTAATTATTTTTAAACTAAAATGTACTCCTAATTATTTAATTTAATTTTTTTTTTTGAGGAAGTTCACAAAAATTTTTTCCTTAACTTAATTAAATTTGTCGTAAACTTATTTTTGATGAATTGAAGTGCGAACAAATTTTAAATTAATACTCTCTTCGTCCGTCCTCTTTTGATAGTCACTTTTGGTATAAAATCATGGAAATTAATAACATAAATAAGAGGTAACAAAAGTACATTGAAAAAGTAAATTTACATTGGGTATGCAAAAAAGTAGAGGGAGAAAGTAATCAAAGTACATGGAAAAACAAAATTTACAAAGTTAAATTTGCACAAATACTTTTGCAAATGAGAGAGAATTTAATAAAGTGAAATGAGTAGTGCCTCGATTGGCTTATCTCATACTCTCATGTAAGACGGTTTGCTTTGATTACGTACAATATAGTATATTATACTCCGTAGAAAAAATCAAAATGCATGAGCATAGTTTATTTTCAATGGTTATTTGTTAAATAATTTAGAATTCAAAATTAAGTTGGGATCGGCAACATGGGAATTCTGATCGTATTTGTGTTTAGTTTTATGTTGATTGTGAGTTGCTCACTTAGGGCCTGTTCTCTTACGTTGAAATTCAGTTCATTTTAGTTCAGTTCAGCTTCTAATTTCCTTCTCTTATAAAATATTCATTGCAGTTCGGTTCAGTTCAATTCAGTTCAGTTCAGTCAATGAGAACAGACCCTTAATACATCAAAAGATATTTTTAAAGTGCGATGATTGCATAATATGCTTAAAATAGTAGAGTTTGTTATATACAACCGGATGTACCGTATACCCGGGTTATTTGCTCATTAATTTTTGCTCATATATAAAGGTGTACGGTACACCCTGGTGAACACAACAGGCTCTCATAAATATATATATACAGGTTTATTCGAGCTTTTTAAAAAAAAAAATAAAAAGGACTTATTTGTGTAATTAACAGACATGTCGGTATTAGGATGAATATTAGATTATTAGCGTAAAGCATGTGCACAATAACTACTCAATTATCTATACAAGCTAAGAGTAATGGGTGCGTGTGCAATATAAGTAATTTATCAAGCTCGATTCTCTCTCTTTTATTTTTCCACAATATTATTTTCTTAATTCTAAATAAAACAATATTAATGGGTTTAAAAATTGTTGATTAAATATAATTAAAAAATATGTTGGTGATATCATGTAGGCTAAATAATAAGTTTGACTTCCCTAAAAAAAGAATCAAAAAAGAAAAAGATGGAAGTTTTTTTTTTTTTTTGAACTAAGATGGTAGTTTTTTTTTAATTTTTTAGAGCCCTTTCCCTAAATAATGTTGGGAAATTATCTAATTCCCAAATTACAGCTACTCTTTTTTTAATTCAATTCCCATTATACTGTCCACGTCAGCTAAGGAAAACAAACCGGTTTTTTTTTTTCTCAGTCCAGCAACAAACCGCTAAGTAGCGGTTTTAATTCTGTAAACCGCTACTTCAAGTAGCGGTTTTCCTCAAAACACCGCTACTTGAAGTAGCGGTTTATGGGTTTGTTTTGTAAGTTTTTCTTTAAATACAAAATATCTGTAAATCAGTCAAAATTAAACCTTCAAGTACTTGAATAGTTGTATCCCCAAGTTCCATAAACCTTTGATAATCGGTGCAATTTGGCGTGCAATCGGTGTCGGCAATCACAAATCCTTTGATATATCCTCGTTTCTGGTTATATTCTCACAACAATCATTGTCGGCAAACAACCGTAGGAAGGCGTCGATGGTGGCGAAAACGGCTTCCAGCGCGAGGGATTGCTGCGTTGGAAGACTACTTGAGGAGTGTCGTTCGAATTTTTTTTTTTCTTTTTGGATGAATTTGCTGAATTACTTTACAATGGAAGGGGAGAAAGTGATTTTATTAAAAAATTAATTAGTAAATACAAACCGCTACTTCAAGTAGCGGTTTCTAACATGTAAACCGCTACTTGAAGTAGCGGTTTTCAGTAGCACACCGCTACTTGAAGTAGCGGTTTTCTAATAAACCTATTTTTTAAAAAAATTCCCACTGAACCGGTGACGTGGACGGTATGGTGGGAATTAAAAAAAGACTAGCTGTAATTTGGGAATTAGATCATTTCCCAACATTATTTAGGGAAAGGGCTCAATTTTGTAAGGATGGTAGTGTTTTTTTATGTTTTTTAAAAAAAAAAAAAAAAAAACCAAAAGGGGTATTTTGGGAAAATAAAATTTATCACCTAAAACCCCTTTCACTTTATATGTCTTTTGTACAAAGTAAAATTTAAGATTTTTATACTTATCTTATATATAATTTAAGAGTTATTTTGCAACACTTAACTACATCACTCCAAAACCCCAACTCTTAATTCTCATGCATTTTTTTTTTGGAAAATAACTTCCAAATAACTCCTACAACTCCAAATAATTAACTTAAAACAAAACTATAACTTCCTTCCAAAAAGAATATATAACTTCCACTTATACTAATTTTTTTTCCCTAAACATACATATGTCCCATGCATTGGCATGGGTACATTCTAGTAGGATTATAATTTAAAAGTTTTTTTTTTTTTTTTTTTTTTTTTTTTTTACAACACTTCACCACCATCATCCAAAACCCCAATACTCAAATCCAATGCATTTCAAATCATTTTCTAAAAAGTTACAAATAACTACCTTGCCCACTATAACTACCAACACTTCACATTGATAACTACCAAATATATTGTGAGAAAGATTAACCATAGGTCTTAAGATTATAGATGTAACACCCCAATAATTCTCTCTTTAAACCTGTGAGGACCCTGAACAATATTCAAGAGAATTACTGGCGTGCTACCGCCACATGTTCAAACGTTAAGGCTTTATCATAAAATAGCAGCGGAAAAACTAAATCAGTTATAAATAAGTTTCAAAACCAACGAATAAAACCAAATTAAGTCATACAACTTGATACTAATTAAATTACTTTCAAACAATAAAATCAAAATCCATAAATCAATAATTATAATTATACAAATTAATAAAACAAAGGAGAGAGAAAATAAGACTAACCTTTTTGTGTGAGAAATTTTTTGGGGATTAATGGGGTATTTATAGGAGAGTATGTTGTAGGGTAAGTAAGAAGATTGGGCCTCATAAAATTATTGGGTCAATTAGGTAAATGAAATGGACTAGGCTTTGTTTGATCATGAATTGTAGAACATAGGTTCATAAAATAGTTTGTGCTAAAATAATTTTTGACCAATATTAATAATTTGAAACTTTTGTAATTAAATTCCGGAAAAGTACAAATAAATATTATAAATAAAATAAAATTTCATTTATAAAATATTTAAAAATACAGGGGATTACACTAGATGACATCATAATTTTCTACACATACTTTTACCGGGTGTACAATTATTAATGTACATCCATTATAAAGATAGGCTAAAGTGATCAAAAGTTACTCCTGAAATGAATAAAAGTTAGGAAAAATTGAGTTTATAAATCCCAACTTTGGGCGATTTACTATGAAAAATCTCAACTATGCATTATCCCTAAAAAATCCTAACTTTGATACCTATTTGCTTTTAAAGATCCCAATAGGTCACCAAACCTATTACTTTAGATTACAATCCACGTGTCAACACGGGATTGGTAAAAAAATAATTAAAAAAAAACCAAAAAAATTAAAACAACAGCCCCCATGGAAAACACCCTACCCGCACCCCACCCGCCGGATTATCGTCCCTCACCCCCGATAACCCCCTCCCCATCGCCGGAATCCGATAACCAACCATCTCTCACCCTCGTGAAATCTACCCACTAACCCCCTAACCCGAAAAACACCCCTCCCCTAACCCCCACCTTCGAAAATGCCCCCTTCCCCTCCCCCAACCATGGGTCGATTTCATGAGTGGGGGAAGGGAGGGGGGCGATTTCGAGGGCGGGGGTTTTGGGTGGAGGGTTTCGCGAGGGTGGGGGAGGGTTTTTCGCAGGATTCCGGCGACAGGGAGGGATTATCGAGGGTGGGGGAAGGGTGGGCGTCGTTTTCCGGCGACGGGGGAGGGTATTCGGGGATGGGGAGCGATTTTCAGCGGGGTGGGGTGGGGTGTTTTCCGGGATGGGGGTGGGGGCTGGGTTTTTTTTTTTTTTTTGAACAAATCAAATTTTTAAAAAAAACAATTAATTTTATTTTTTAGACCACTAAAATTCTGACAAGTGGCAATTTTTTTTTTAATAGAAAAAATGAGTTAACCTTCTCTTCAGGTAACCGATCATCTTGGATCTTTAAAAGAAGATGGGTATCAAAGTTGGGATTTTTGAGAGATAATGCATAGTTGGGATTTTTCATAGTAAACCGCCCAAAGTTGGGATTTATAAACTCAATTTTTCCTAAAAGTTATTCCAATATGCATAAAAGCAACCCATTACAAATAAAAATTATCCACGCGAATCACATTTTAAATGACTAAAAATCAATTATTAGTGATTGAATGTAATTAAAGTACCATTATAAAACTTTTCTGCAATCCCCCGTATTTTTAAATATTTTATAAATAAAATTTTATTTTATTTATAATATTTATTTGTACTTTTCCGGAATTTAATTACAAAAGTTTCAAATTATTAATATTGGTCAAAAATTATTTTAGCACAAACTATTTTATGAACCTATGTTCTACAATTCATGATCATACAAACAAAGCCTAGTCCATTTCATTTACCTAATTGGCCCAATAATTTTATGAGGCACAATCTTCTTACTTACCTTATAGTATTCTCTCCTATAAATATCCCATTAATCCCCAAAAATTTCCCACACAAAAAGGTTAGTCTTAATTTTTCTCTCCTTTGTTTTATTAATTTGTATAATTATAATTATTGATTTATGGATTTTGATTTTATTGTTTGAAAGTAATTTAATTAGTATCAAATTGTATTTTGATGATTAAACTTTATAATTTCAGATTTTATAAGTGTCATATTTTTCAGAGTTTGTAAATTTTATAACCTAGGGTTTTTAATTATTGAAAATCATGATTTTAGGGTTTTTATGAACAATTGATTTAGGGCTTTTATAGTAATGATGTTTTGAAATTTTGGTGATTTATAACTAATGATTAGTTTAACTTAATTCTAGATTATTTTGAACATGTAAATTCGTGTTTTGATTTTTTTTAGATTTTCGTTCATTAATATTAATCCCGTTTAAATCCCAGTCAGGTTCTGAAATCATCCGATTTTGACAAAAGAGTAGTGTTTTTTCATGTGGAAACAACGTTTCAACAAAGACTCACTACATTTGGTAGTGATCACCACCCTATTGTGGTCAAATTCAACCTCTAAATATGATTCTCGGGCAGTTTTTGATTTTTACGAAGTTTTTTTATACCTAAAATATTATCCTTGAGTTTGATTAATAAAATTAATTTTGTTTAAAGTTAATTAAGCATAAATATATGTTTTATTGAAGTTTTAAGTGCTGAAAATAGTTTCTAAGTACTACTTTTGATGTTTTATAAAGAGGGTTTAATCACCCATTAAAAAGGAAGATTATTAGGGGTTTTTAAATAATTTTAAGATTTTTATTAAACTTTAAACTTGCTGTAATTTCATGTATAATGATGTATTTTAAGGTTTTTATGAAGGAAATATAAAGAACTATATATAAGCCTATAATTTTAACTAAAGGGAAGGTTTTAAAGTGTTGTTTAATTGATTGGATTTTGAAGGTTTTAAAGTAAGTTTGTATTGCTGTAAATTTGATTGATTGGGTATTGATTGAGATGTTATTATTTGGTTTAGGAGAGGAGTTTATTGAAGGTGATTTCTAGTTAGTAAAGTGGCATACCAATTCGTTTGCTCAAGGTACGTACAAGTTACGAAACCTTGCTTGTAGGTGCATGTTTAAGGACGGATCGAGAACTTAGTATCATGTATAGGATTGAGTGGGTTAAATTGTTTGGTTATACATTGTGAATTTCAAATGATGTGCACTAGTTTATAATGCAAGTATTATTTGTGCTTTAATTATGCAAGGTGCGCTTAAAGGCAACGCTATGTGATTGGTGTAAAGATCAAATTATTACTCATTCATGATTTTGTAAACATGATGAGTAAAGGAGAAATTCAAGTCTTGTAAGACGAGGTTAAGGTTTTGGGGAGCCTTACGCACTCAAGGTGTTTATACACCGAGGTAGTAATGGAATCATTAATAAATGTTGTTTGTCACTAATAAATCAAGAATCTAAATTGAGAATTTGCCATGTTTGATTGAATTGTTTTTGGGATGTTTGTATTGAAATGTATATGAGTCATCACTAAGTCTAAACCTGTAAATCACGTAAAGTGCAAGATGGATGAGCAATAAAACTCTGGATTGGTGCACTTCTGGAGTAATGACAATCAGGGGTTGGGGTACACGGGGTATTAGCCGTGTACTTTTATCGAGGCTGTCTGTTCTACGAGTCTCAAATTTCAAATATTTTTTTAAAACTAGGAGTTAGACGAGATCTCATACTAACTACGGTCACGGAGTCGCGCCCGTGGTCGTTGGATGTTTATTGATGTTTCCGAAAGGAGGCATGGGGTTTTTCTTTTATTGATGTTCCAAATGGAGCATGGGTTGGACAACCTTGTCTATTGCGTAATCCAAAGAATAAAAATAATGATTTACCTATTATTAATTAATGGAGTCTTAGTAATATAAATAGTTGAGTCGTGTGTTGAGTTTATAATTTAATGATGTATGATGATTGATTATTAGTAGCATGTTATGGATTTCTTATATGTTTCGCAGCTTGTATGTACTCAGCTTTGCTGATTGCGTGCTTTTGTGTACTGTGTGTCTTTCTTTGGTCATGGCCTTCGCCTTTCAATGACCCTGTGACGATCCAACTTTTACACTTGTAATATTGGGGAGCAGATTAACCACAGGTTCTTACATACGCATCATTCACATCAGGGTTGTGGGATTTTGAGTAGAGAGTTGGTTATTATTCGCAGTTTATTTCTTTTCATAAGTTTGAATTTATTTAAACTATGGTTTTATTTATTTATTACTTTTGTGGGGTTTTGAATAAGGGCCTTAAGGGTTCCAAGATGTAAGATTTAATTTGGTTTTGGTTGTTGGTTTTGAAACTTATTTATACTTGATTTAGTTTTCCGCTGCTATTTTTTGAAAAAGCCTTAACGTTTGAACACGTGGCGGTAGCACGCCAGTAATTCTCTTGGATTTTGTTCAGGGTATTTACAGGTTTTAAGAGAGAATTATTGGGGTGTTACATTTTCTTGTTGTCTATTTATATAAAAAATTGTATTATATTTAAAGTTATCCAAAAAAAGGCAAAAAATTATCCTTAAATAAGTTAAAAGTTACTCTTATACCGTTTGATGTACACTAATATTAGTGTAAATCGGGTGTATATAAAAGTTTTTCAATTTTCTAATTTTGTGATGTTAAGACAAGACTTTATTATTTTTAATCATTTATGAAGTTTGGTCTAAATAAAATCTGAAGTGCAGTTTTGAAAATTCAAGACTCAACTTCAGACTCAATTTAACACTCAGTTAATATTTTTTTTTTAAAATACTATAATAATTTAATTTATATGTAAAAAAAATTAGTATGTCAATTGAAGAGATGAATAATTAAATTTAATCTAAAAAGCTGATATGGCAATGGATTGAAGTCTTAAGATGGAGACTGCGCTAATCTTGCTCTAATACACTCTAGTACTATATAAATATTACTGAAAAGAATGACTTCTAAACCAATTTTTGCAACTTAATTTTTTTTAGCTAAACTAATGTTGGGTATGTTATTTATGAACCTATCATACTAAATATCACATGAGTTTTATTCGAAGCGGATTTTGTATCTATTCTATTTATCTATTTACTATCAATAAAACAAAACATTGCGGACATCATCAACCCGCAAATTATCTATTCCACCCATCCATCCTCAAATTATCTTACGTGGCATATTTACATCAATTTTTTTTTCTTCAATTTTATGTGTGATGTCATCAATCATTATAAATGATTATTATTTAATTTTAAACATTAATGCATCAATGTCTATTTAAAATTCAATTAATCAAGTTTCTCTCCTAAACTACAGTTTCACAAAGCTAATTTACTTTATGTTTGAGCATGGTTTCAATTTTTTTTCCTTTCGTTATTTGTCAAAAAAAATTTATATTTAATTCTAATCTTCATATACAAAATATAAATTACAAAAAAGTTAAATTCTAACCGTAATCGTGCATCGCAAGGAGATAACCTAGTTTTCCTCATAAGCAAGTTAATTTTGTAGATAAAAAATAAAGAAGATGTTGATTGAAGTATTCTTTACTTTTACCTCAAATTAAAATTAAATTAGGTTTAAAAAAAAATTAAAATTAAATCATTTGTCATAAAAATTTCCAAACTTCATATTCAAATTCTTGCAAACAAGGTCTATCATTGAGGGACGTAAATATATCAACAATAATGTTTATTCATAAGAATATCATTTTGAGTGGTAGGTTTTTACCTTCTAAGTAGATAAAGTTGATGAAATTGTTTATAATTAGATTACAAAATTTATTTTTCCAAGGAATATTGCCCTTTATTTTGGTCTTAAGATTGTCATAAACTTCTCCATTCAAAGTTAAGCCAATTTCTCTAAAACTTCTTTCATTTAACATGGTATTACAACCCTCTAAAAGTAAGATATTTTTTTTTCGATCCTTAGTTTATTTATCAAATTAATTTCAAATTTTCACAAAGTGTGTAATACGGCTTTAATAATTTTCTCTGTTTTCTTGTGTTAACGGAGTAGTTTAATATGAGAATCTTCTACCTTCTAATAATTATAGTTGTGTCCTACGAGTAATTGGCAATCACTAATATTATGATTGGGTATAAGGTATTCATTCAACATAGACAGTCATAATATTTAGTTTTATGAACCTCCTATCATAGTTTAATGAACCTATAGGGTCACACTCGAATACGAGTGGTATTTTACATACCTACAAAGATTTAATAATCGTAATGCAATTAGGGCTGATTTCTTAAAGTTCTTGCTTATACATTGAAAGCTAGTCATGTTTGCTTTTCACACAAGGAGCAATTTTATTGTCAATGAAACTTCTAGATTCATGCTACAAGGGTATATTTCACCCTATTATATTACTAGTTCAAGTTAAACATTGAATGTTTGATGTTGCGTTGATATGTTTGATGTCGCGTTAATTTCCTAGACCACCGTCCTAGATTTTCACCCGAAACACAGCCCACCTCCCATTTGCACCCAATTTGAGTCTTCAACACCTTTCGACTAATTACTAACACCTATTGCACATTTGCACCAACCCGGTGATGCATAACTCCTCAACTGCGGATGTGGTTACTAGAATTTCCTCCTCTGATCCACGAACAACCAAGTCTGAAAAAAAAAAAACAGCAAAGCAAACTATATACAAATCCTAAATTATTACATCAATATTTTTTTTTTAATAAAAGATACATTCTGCTGATTACGGTTGCAAGTTAAAACACCAATTTAGGTGTCTCAACATGGTTCTATACTTTTATCACAACTCAACCAACCAAAAATTTTTATATTTCAACTTGTATACTATATAACATAACTTTCTATTACAAAGAATGAAAAAATTAACCACTTATGGTAAACTTACAAAGAAATGGAGATTATAAAAGGAAAAAAAATGGAATTATTATACTATTACATACATGAAATACAGAGTTAACCTGTTCAATTTAGCATCCAGCAGCTTTCAAAAACTTGTCATAGGGGCTTGCAGGTGGTAACCGAAAAGATTGATAACCATACTCCAATGAGCAAGGATACAACTGATCATGGCGTTGGATCATTTCTTTGCCTATCGAATCTGGAATAGGTTCCTCCTCCATAGGCTGATCAACAATAAAAGGAATAAGTCAAGTCCAAATGAAAGGGCTAGTCTGATGAAATTTGGTAGTAGAATTACTAGATCACTAGAATGTATCAAGGTTCCAAATAATTATATGGTAGACTAAACCTGTCATGTCTTTTCTTTTTTCTTACCTTATTTTTTATTTTTATTTATTTGTTTATAATCTAAGGGGTGGAGGGGGGAAGACAACAATGGCATGGAACCCTACTCGGCTACCAGCAAAAACCGGATTTAAGACCCATGATCTCCCTTGACAAAGGGGTTTCCTTCCCAAGTTCCCAAATACTATTAAAGAGGGTTCTGACCCAATCAAAGGAAGGATGATCGATACTTGGCATTGTCAGAAAGAGAAAACACTACATGTTATCTTACCCTGTCCATGATTGTGGGCCTCTTCATCTCAGTATCATCAGCAAGAACAATAGCTTTGGTTTCCTGTTGCTGCTTGAAACTTTGGAGCACTGACATCTTCTGTTGCTTACCAGTCACAAGGGCCTCACATTGGTTTCTCACTTGGTCATACGATATGAGGGTGGTGGAGGAAGGCAAGTTAGCCACTTGTTGAGCTGTTTCCAACACCTGTTTAATACAGAAAGATGAGACCATGAAGGACTAAAGGTATCAAGAAACTGATAGCAAGTCGCTTTCTGGTAGCATTGCATAGGCTGAATTGAAATTTTACTTTAAGATGAATCATTGGATTCACCAGATTTATCGATATTTTGCCTACCAGGAGCAGCAAATATTTGAAACGCAACAAATAAAGGAAAACTTTTCTCGATATATAAAAAAACTTAAGTTTGAAAAACCAAACACCAACAAAAAGCAAAAGATAGTGTAAGGTTTCCTTAACCCCCTTCATCAGACTAAGACCATAAGGTTGTAGCACAAAACCTAGACATTTCTAGAATGAATCAACAGGTATAACATAGCATAGATGGAAACTGAACTCACCGACTCGAGAAGCTGATTCACATTTAGAATATCAAGTGCATTGGAGGAACTGGATGTCTTACGACCAGATTGGCTTTGGCTTCCACTAGCATCAGGTAAGGCTTCGTCAAACAATGAAGTGCCCACCTGAGTACAAATTCAACATGGTTGAAAAAAGTTCTGATCTTCAGCCTAACAAAGGGAAGATACACAAGACATAACACACAGAAATCTAACCTCGTCAAAAGATTGAAAGTCTAGCTGTGCAAGTGGGAAGCTTTGTTGTGGTGTCTCCATGAATAATGGAGCACCCAAAGGATATGACTCATCTGGTGAAAATCCCTGCAAAAGTTGTTTCTTTATGCTAGATAATTCATCCTGCATAAAACAAGCACGCAAAGTATGAAGAGTTGGTTTAAATACTGTATGAGGAATTTGTCACATTCTCTCAACTTCATAATGTATCAAATATTTGGGAGCCTATACAATAAATCACTTGATTACACGGCCAAATATAGACTATATACGACATATATTTTCAAGCTCACCCAGCCAAACATAAAACCATTGTAGTATAAAGACTCGTCAAGAATAAAAGTTGGTCCTGATTCATTTAGATCAAGAAAATGGGATTTCTTAAATGTAAGAAGGGTCAATGCCCTTCCTAAATAAACTTCCATGTGTACTCTTACCCGGCCAATCAATCTGGTTGGCTAAATCGTTTTTGATAAATTCCAGTTCTTCCATGCAACATTTTCCCAAACTACCTTTGATCATTTCTCTCATTATTACCTTCTAAAGACCTTTGTTCAACACAAAAATTTCCACATTAATAGATATATTCAATTTAACTCATTCATCTCAACCTGTTAGATTAAAACATTTTAGTACATGAAGTTGCTAAAGGCATGTCACTTTCAAGTACTGGGTAGAATATTGTCCCACATACAAACAAAAATAATTAGCTGCTAAAACAACGTACCAGGCACCGAATGTGCAAGCTAAGGAAGGCTTTGTAATAACCATTAAAATGGAATATAGTAATTACTGATGAAGAGATCAGTGCAGGTATGATGCTGAAGTAAACGAAGGAATAGATCAAGTAAAGGTAGAAAGCTCTATCCTGGATGAAACATTGAGGAAAATGAGTGTTGAAGAGTGTGGATTACTCATCAAACGAACATGGAAAGAAGATGCAGAAGTCTCATATTTCTTAAGCTCATGTTTTTGATTTGAAATGTACTGGGATCTGCCAATAGGATGAATGGAGCATTCCCCCCACCCCACCCCCCCACCCCCTCACTAAGTTATATATGTTGTTTTTTAGTTGAGAGAGGAGAGAGATTGGGAAGGAAAGGTAGGCCATAAGGTTCACACTAGGGCAATAACACAATAAGGGCTTTGCTCTTAAATATTCTGTATATGTTGGCTACAAGAGGAGACCGCATATGTCCCTTCACTAGCACCTTTGTTAAACATTTAGCTTGTTTCTTCTAGGTTTACACAGGTGAGAGAAGTAAACATATATGCTAAGAGTCAAAACAATCTTAATTCATGTTGTTTAATTCTTCACTTTAAGAATCGAATCTTAAACGAGAAACATTCTTAAAATCTCTGTTAAATGAATAGGGGCTTAAGTCTTTAAATACCATTAAACTACAGGGTAACAGATCATAGTGTGAAAAGCTAGGTTTCACTAGAAACTGATTGGATGCAGGCCAATTACCTCTGATAACTCCTTGAATTTGGAAATCAAGTGAGATAAAACAGTTTCTTTCAACTGTTGTTCATCTGATTCTACAGCTGAAAGAGATTTTAATGCAGCAAATTCATCTTCATCTGATCCATAGGTCCTTCCACCATCAACTAGTTTCTGGATGACTGCTTCGAGTCTGATATTGTCAACCAACTCCAGATAAGGATCAACCTGCCATGAAAAAAAAAAATTAGCCATCAATATTAACATTGGGATGTATTATGAAGGCTAACATGTAACAGAGAAAAAGCAATCCTCTGCAGATCAATCTTGAGTGGGGCATATTACAGTTATATTTGTCAAAGATGATTTAACAATAGGGATCAGCTCCGGAAGATTGCCTGCTCTTGCTGAAAATATAAGCATGCTCGATGCCATGGTGAAGAGAGATCTTCTTCGAGATGGTTGTAGACCTCCTTCAATAAGCAAACATACAGTTAAAAGGGATGCACATATAAAATCTCTAATATATAAGCAGAAAATCAGCATAGCTCCAGAATTTGAAGACTTTAACCCTAAAAGACTCAAAAGAACTGGACAACTATTTCTCTCGGACACTGATGTTCAGTATTATTCACCAATTACATCAATTCTCTAAAGATCCTGGTGAAGCAAAGATTAGTAATAATGAAAAAATAAACACCTAATACCTATTATGAATTGACTTCCAAAAGTCAACTTTGTTGAATATCATCCCTATATCTCACTAATTGTATAAACAAACAAGTGCTTTATATAGTGGTCATATAAGTTTCAAAAGAGAAGTCACGGGATCCAAAAAAAAAGGCATTTATAGTAGTTATTAGAACCCACTCGCTGAGGTAATATTTCTGTCATTTGACCATGTTTCCTTTTAAAAAGTGCAAGGCTGCCCATTAGGAAAGTCCAAAGGGCTAAGATATTCCGTTTTGTATGTTCATGGGATGCAGCATATGAGCAGAAGTAGTAGTGCTGGACACTGCAATATCCAACAACATTAAGCTTGATTATAATATGGGTTTTGAGCAGTGGTTTCTGCCTGATATAAAACTAATGAAGAACAAATGCAACCCTATTTTTTTCTTCTGGGAGAGAAAGACCAAAGGCAATTATATTTGTCAGGTTGGGGGCACCCTGATAGGCAAGAAGAAACTGCTTATAATAATCTCTGAACAAATACTAAAATGTAGGAAAAAGAGACAAATTTCAGACGTCAAGCGAATGTTTTAAATGGTTTCAAGCTGAAATATTTCTGTCAATAGCTGAGGAACAAAAGTGAAAGCAGATGAGAAAGAGTACCTTCTTGATCAAGGGATATGCTCCTCAGAGAAAATGCTAACTGGAAACACCTAACCAGAGCCACATGACTGGAAGTCTGTCATATTAAGTCAAGTTATGCAAGTGAAGAAGATAAACTCGGGTATACGCAAGGCTAATGGAACATTTACGAAGCACAACGAAATAGTCAGTACTCAGTAGCAAAGCAGAAAGAAAATTCAAACCTTGGTCCGGGTCAGTAGCAAAGCAATACTGTAAGTGTGAGCCATTGCTTCAAAATTGAAAGGAATATTTTCTCTACAAGTTGCCTGAACCCAGATAGAGGAAAGCAAGAGACTGACTTGATGACTACTCAGTCTAAGTGAAGCAAGCTCCTGGAAACCACAAAAAATGGTTAAAATAAATTACATGCATTTAAGCAAGAGCGAAAACAGAAGAAAACTATGCATAACCTTTTATCCTCACCATATTTCCATTGGTCATAGCACTCTTAAAACTGTAAGAGTTACTATGTGATCGACAAACTTGAGACTGATTTACATCATTCCATCTCTGGCTGTCTTCCAATGTGTCCATAGATTGTACTTTCTCTTCACTTTCCTCAGGAATGGAGTTACTTCCACCTTTTGCTTCCAATTTTGGAAGAATGGATGAAGGCCCAAAACCGTTTAGCAAAGCCAGCTCTTTTAGGTCTGACCAAGGGCAAATCAAAGAGGGCATAAGCACAGAGGCCAATATGCGGTGTGCCCCGATTCGAGTTTCATTATCTGTATGGCTCATGGCTAAAAGCAGTTGGTGAAATAAAGCATCAGGAAAGGTCTGAAAATTAAGCAAATAGGCCAGATGTTAAATATGGTTCGAAATTATAGCATGCCGTAAGTATTCAAATTTTATTTTTTTTTTTTAAAAAAAAAAAACACACACACACACACATTTCACCTTTTTGTGATAAGATATATTGGGTAGGGAAGATACTATCCGAGCAGTGCGATAAACAGAGAAGATCGTTGTTCTGGCAACAATGTTGCTATTTGGAACATTCTCAAGCACTACGGCCATCATATCAAGAATTGGCCCAACATCTCCAACCTGTTAATACCATTTCATACATTTCCAAGTTAGAACCTAAAGAAAAAAAAAAAAAGACATAGAATAGTAGTTATCTGAAAAATAAAATCCATTAAGTTCATGCTTAATCTCCCTACCTACCCTTGTTCTCCACCCCAGCCCATACGAAAAAATAGTAACAATAAAATAAAGAAAGTATAACAAAGGGTATGGGGGAGAAAAGGAATATTAACATACTAATTTTTTTAATAGATTTAGGCATGCTCTAAATAAAAAAATGCAAATCAATAAGTACACATTTCTTTATGTGATTTTTAGAGGAATTCACAGTGTAACATTTGTAGGATCCAAACTTAAATTGCACCTTGCATGTTAAAGAAAAATGAGAAGGGAAGATTATATAACAAACCTTACTTGACAGCTGCGAGATACATTTTTCTAATGCTGACTGAAGATCTGCATTTAACTTCTCTGCGCCACTTCCAGAGCTAGATACGTCTACTGAATATTGCATGCATTTGCGTAGATGCTTTATTAGGTCAGTCAATGCACCTGTTAGTGAAACTGAAGCTTGTTGCTTAACATACTGTGCAAGTTGCCTGATGACATGAATGATACTGATCTGTTTAAGAGGCTGCTTGGCAACATTTTTATGATCCAAGTGCTTCACCAAGATTGATAATAATAAATGAGAGTTTTCCGCAGCTGCAGAAAAGTATTTAATAAAAATAAGAAAGACTAGCCAAATCCAGGATAGTAACACATCACTGGACTATGATAGTATTATGTATAATCAAGTGACAAGCATTAAAGTTAACCTGAATCTTCCAACACCACTTGCATATACATCAAGACAGAAAAGGCAAGCCCCCTCTCGGGACACCAGCAGTCTTCTGAATCAAAAATATGGAAAAAGGGTTCAAGTACACGCCTGACAGTTGTAGCTTCCTTCGCTAAGCCAGCCATATTATACAAGCAGACCTTAGCCCAATAAGAAGGACTTTTTGAAGCATTCCTACAAAAAGAGACAAAACAGAAGTTTTCTAAAAATCAAGACTAGCTCAATAAAATATACAAGAATGAGCTGAATGACACAGGCGTCGATGTGTCATCATACATTGGTAGTTCTAATTGTTGTTTAATGTTGTGAAGGTCCACTGAAGAAGTGACATCTTTGCAAATGTTTACAGTTGACAGCCTATTATCATCTGTGTTTGTTGATACTCGGCTACATTGATCTGGGCTTTCACAAATTACTCCATCCAGCTTGCCATTCAAAAGCATAATTTGGGTATCCGCAAAATTATCTAAAGTTGCCGATATGATCTAACCATTTATCAAAATAAGATAAAGGAATCAGACTAAACAGAAAATTAAGCCCAAAGATTATTTATAATATATAATTATATCACAGATGCCTCCTTACTTTGTCAAATTCCATGGGAATGTGGGACTGTTCACCCATGAATTGCACCTATATACAGAACAGTTTAAAAAAAAAAAAAAAAAGAAAAGAAAAAAAAGTCAGCGAATTATTGCACAAGTATAATTGCAATGACACCTAAGAATAGATTAGTTAACAAGAGAGCATCTTTAAGCTATTGTAACATCTCTGGACTGAATTATTCAGTAGAAGATGAGGCAGGAATAGATGAAGAAGATCAGAATGCTCTTGGAAAAGTCAAGGGAGACATTACCATTGAGGAAAGCGCTTGCAATCCAGCTGCCCGCAGGCAAAAAGATCTATCATCATTCCCTACTTCTTGAGCTAGTTGACAAAGTTTGGGAACAAGACCTTCTATGTTGAACATATATGTGCTCTCCACCTACAGAAACTTAAGAATGTCAACATCCTCATCCTGGGTAAGTCTTATCCAAAAAGATGGTTACCTTAAAAAACATAATCAATATTAGGAGTGTACGTATCATTCCTTCATATTGCGTAGGATATAAACTCTTAAAACGTTACATCATTTGTCACTGATCACATCTATAACCATTCATCTGACTCTTCACTAGTGCATAAATGCCAATGTACACGTGTTAATGTTGGTGTAGATATCACAAGAGGAATTATCGAGCACAACTACTAACATGATTATCACAAATTCACAATACCTCTGGAAGCTGGATGAATTTATTTTAAAAAAAAAATCAAGTGCAAAATACTAAAAATTCTCAATATCGGACAGCTATGAACAAGATGAGAAGTGTCTTCTTGTCCTAATTAGTTGTGAATTAGGTCAGTCAACTGTCTTCTTGTTAGGAACAAAATGCCACCTTGTGTTTACAGGATCAATGCATCAAATATGTACCCCATCCTACTGACTATCTTCCTCCACAAGCCCAATCAGAAGGGTTGGTTTAATCACATGGTATGGTATGGTTTGGATAGTAAAAACTAGTTCCTTACCTGGACATTTAAGAAGTCGACAAGGGCATTGCAAGCCAATATTTGCATTTCCTCTTGGCTCGTTTGATCTAGAAGAGTTCGAATGATTCCTAATAAACTGCTCGCAAACAATGGCCTGCAAGAAATTGAGGTGCCAACATAAGACGTATGTTCAAAAGGACTAACAATAGTGGATTTAAACATACTGATGACCTTGTGAACTTCATACTCAAGAAACAAAGCAGGAAAAAGCAATAAAATTGTATTGAATTGAATCATCTCAAGACAACCAAAAAGTACTGAGATACTTTTTTGTTGTTCATGTCTTCATATAGCAAGATAAAGTTGACAGCAACCATATATTATGAGGGGTCACTATGAAAATTTTTTATCACCCTGAAAAACAATACAGGAATCACAACCCCCCCCCCCCCTTCTCCTTGGAGGGTTTTTTTTTTCAAGGCTCCTTTCTGGATCTATATATGACTTCAAACAGGCAGAGTAAATAATAAAATGAAAGGCCAAACTGTATCAGTTAAAAACTTATATTAATGTAAAATAAAATAAAAACAAACAAACAAAGATAAGTCATACTCACATCTGCTCCTTACATGAAGATATAAATTTCCTGTACACGCACAGAACAACCTTTGCTGATCCAACATTCCCATTTCGTAAATCCTTGTAAAATCGTTGTTCTAGGTATTCCGTTATCTACAGATTAAAAAAAAATGTATAGGATGAGATGAAAAGTTTCAGTAAGCCCGCAGGTCTAATTGTTCAATATTTCATTGAAGTCAAACGACAAATAGAATAAAGAGCATAATACAATTCCAACCCTTCATGATCAGCAATTTGAAGACATAAGAAATTCATTTATAGATGACCATCATCATCATTATCATTATCATCATCATAAACAAGTAACACTTTTCAGATTAAAGTAAGAGATATTTTTATGACGACAAAGAGGGATAAAAAAAAACAAAGCCCCTGCCACCCAAGGTCAGAATGTAACTCAAATGTGCTTCTTTTATGAGCCTTATGTCATAATCATAGAACACTTGCTAACAAATATGGCAGTAAACTGAAGAGCAGATAAATGCTAAATCCAAGTAATACTCATAAACATCTAAAGATTTTCATACCATTTCAAGAACATTTCAATCATATAAGTCATATCTCAATCTACAGCTAGATGAAAAGGAGCAAAAATCATAAATTTTCATTAAAGCATTTGGTTTCCTGCTTTTTATGTGTGTTATATTTAACTAATTTTGATTTATCCGAACTTATATGAAATTTTCTAAGCTTGTATGTAAAAACTTATTGGAACTTCTTTTGTCTATTACACATTTTGCGGGGACTTATTACTCCCTCTGTGTTTTAATAAGTGTTACAGTTTGACCGGCACATAGTTTTAGGCAATTTAATTGACTTAAATAAAATAAGAGATAAGTGGGGGTAGTTGGAGTATTAAAAATTATAAAAGAACGATAGTGGGGTACTGGGGTTATTTGTTTAGTGAAAAGTAATGAATGTGAGAGGAAAAATATAATAAAAAAAAGTAATAGTGGATTTAGAAGGGGACCATGAGAGGAGATAGAGATTATATTTAAATATAGTTTTTTGCCAAAAAAAAGAAAGTGTAACACTTTTTAAAATACAGCCGGATTTAGTAAGTGTAACACTTATTAAAACACGGAGCCACGGAGGGAGTATGTCCAAATAAGTAAGTATAAGTTGATGAGACCACGCTGATCACTTACTCTTAAGCACCCTCTTAATTCTCCACTCTCTTTTCATCTCTTTTTCTCTATTATATTTACAAGCTAAGATAATATATTTTGGCTTCCCGAAGCAAAATATGACAATTCATTTTGGACAAATTTTAGGCACAATGGCCATGTCAACACTTGGACACAATCCCGTAACAACAACAACAACAACAATATCTCATAATAAAAACAAGGGTTGGCTAATATGAATCATCATAAGGAACCGTCCGAAAAGTAAAAAGAGCATAGCAAGATAATCGATTGAATAAAAGTTGGGAAAAAAAAAAGGCGAATAAAATGTCCAATAAGGGAAAAAAAATTGCCGAAGCCACAATGTGATGAGGACCCCATTTTCTCTAAAAGAAATTATTTATCACATCAATTTTGTTTCCTCACAATTCCTACACTTTCTCTTACCTATTTTTCTCTAATGACTAATTAAACTTATATTTCATAACTTTTGGCTCACCCCTATAACAGTTTTCTGAATGTATGTGCCAATATTGTGTAAAAGATAAAACTAGATAATAGGGAGTATGTCATAAATGAACAACACACAAAGTAAGATTCATATATTGGTAACATGTGGTGGAAACTTATTGCCTTATTGGTAAAGGTAGAACTGTGATATAGGGACTACAAGATATAATGCAAGCCAAAACGTATACTGTGTGTCCGAGATGATGAAAATATTCAATTAGCTGAGATACCTTGTCCCAAAAAAAAAAACAAAAAAAAAAAAAAAAAAAAAAAAAAAAAAAAAAAACAAAATTCACCTTAGGAACTCTTAGCGGATTCTTTGATACATATTCACAAAGCTTCCCAATCTTTCTGTCATTTGGCTCAATATCCTGTGGAATGAAGCAATATGAAACTCATGATGTTTCAAGGCAATCAACAAAATCCACACAGGAAAAGTAGTCTAAAGATTTTCCCCACATTTTCTAGCAAACCAGCTCTACTTTTATACACTGTTTAATTAAGCAAAAGATAACAAATTAAAAAACTGATAATTAAAATTGTGTGGATCTTAGCATGAAATTTTGCACCTGAAATTATAAAATTCATATCAATTGCCCAAAGCAATGTATCTCTAATTGCAAACATTGTCATAATGTCATGTTTCTTCAAAGTATCAATTGTACCCACATCTCTACATAGGCTTTTGCTTAGAGAGCGAGATTATCAAATTCATATATCACCTTATGGCTTGTGCTACTTATGTTGATAAGACTCTCCAACTAAAATTTCCATCAGCTTTCGCAGTATCCCATATTCCCATTGGCATATAAAAGCAAAAACATAAATTTATTTTTTATGATCATGGGAAAGTAGGAATTGCAGCTATGATCACTAATTAACACAACCAGCCAAACAGAAACTTAACAAAATCCACTGAATCAGTCGCACAAACAACAGTTCTGAAGTCAGAAGCTAAGAAAAAGCTGCAAACTTTCACCTGATTTTTAGGAAATATTTCTGCAAGGAGCTTCTTATATCTTTTCACTGGTTGTCTTGACCTCGCTCGCAGCGACGGACAGAAAATGCAGATGCTACCACAGACAGGAAGAGCCCGTCTGGACATAACCCCCATTTTCAACTACCAGATTCAAACCCTCCTAGTTCTTCATAATTCAACATCAAAAATACAATCATTTAGAGCATAATCAAGCATTGACCCACTTGATCAAATACTACAATTAACGCAAAAGCTACGCAATTTAGCATAATGCTGCAAGTTCATCAATTGGGTTCAATAAATAATCAACATCCCAGATAAAATTCATCAATTTGACCAATTGAGTACTCTCAAATTCTGTTAAAAACAAACAAAGTATACAAAATTCAGCAAAAAACAACACGAATTAAACAAACCCCACCTAAAAATTTGCCTGAAATTTGACAAAGTTTCAACCTTTGATCGCCTCTGAACAGATTAAACCTATAGCAGAGTGAACAAATTAAAACAATTCCAAAATTTCATCATATAATATAATCATTTAAACCATTAATTCATTCAAAATCAAAATCATTTAAAATAAAATACATCCCAAATAAAATAAAAATTCACAAAAATTTCAATATTACCTGAAGTTGTAGCCAGTGGGGGAGGGAGGCTACAGCCTACAGATCCCCCAGGCACCTCTTTCTGTCTTATTCCGCTGTCTCTCTCTTACATGTAGATTTAATAATTATTATTTAACAGTTTGGCAAATTTTATTTAATTTATAAAAATGAAATAATTTGTCAAAATTAACAGAAATATTAATAATAATAATTCTAAACTGACGTGCTGTTGACGGAAACGGTCACAGCTCTAAATCAAATTAAATGCAAGATCTTTGAAGAAGAGTGGGACCCATTAAGAGTCATTTAATGTGGTTGGTTGATTGGTTGATAATGTGGTGGGGTGACAAGATTAGAAAGGTGACAGACAGTGAAATTAGCAAAAGAACGTTATTAATTTTTTTGTACTTATTTTTTTTTTTTTTGCTGAGTGAAGTTTGCATGGCGAAAAGGGAGATAAAATGATGGGAAAGTGGCCCAACCAACCCGGGAATTAAGGGGACTGAATTTTTTTTGTAATTGGTGGAAAGACGAAATTGCCCCTTTTGTAGAACTGTCTATTTTATTGACCTTTTTAATTAAAGTGATTAAGAAAAGATAAAGTAAAAAACATTGGATTAAGACACCCTCGATTGAGGGGAGTGTGGTGGGTAGTGCGGTGTATAATCCCTATATATGCTATCATACTATAAGGAGCATGTATATTGATTTGTATCCCATGTGAATTAGTTTGTTAGGTTGCTTGTTCCAACTTGATTATCGGTTTGTTTAACAAGTGTTCATCCATGACATACATGAAGATTTAGTTTTTAGAATTTTTAGTAGTCGGATATGCAAGTTTGATTTTAGAAAATGTGTAATTTCGAATTGAAAATTCAAATAAAAGTGAATAAATTGATGATAATTTAAATAGTCAGAAGATGAGTATATATCAACTATATATCAGCTCTTTACAAAATAAGTAACATTTATAACAGGGGACAATAAACCTAGAGGAAAGGTCTAATACTTCCTTCGTTTTATTTTTTCATTGCAATGTAAGAATTTCCACACTTGCCAATACATATTTTACATAAGAATTTACTTAGAGTCTTATTCATATTTACTAAACTGAGCTGAACTGAACTGATTGGAGCTGAACTAGACTGAACTGAATTGAATAGAGCTAAAATGAATATTTTATGAGAGAAGGAAATTACGAGCTAAACTGAACTGATTAAAACTAAATTGAAATGAAATGAAATTAAGCTGAAGTGAACAAGTCCTTAATGCGCAATTACAAAATATTGATATTTTTTTAATGTTCTTTTAAGTTTGCTACTTTGCTCCATACAGTAAAAGAAATAAGAGAGATCACTATTTTACTCTCACAAACTTTTGATTTGGATCTTTTAGCCCCATCAATTCTCTCTTTTGCAAGTACTAACTTACATTCTTCAACATTGCCTTGCCTCCTCTAAATAAAGCGAGCTTGTGGTTGTGGGACAATATTATTACAACGTGTACAATCACAAACTTCCCAATTCATAATGTAATCACCTATATTATTACGAAAATATAAGATGAAACACTCACTAAGTCACCACAAACTTTGATAAGACGGGTCACCCAACATAAAGACATACACAATCATTGAAGAACAACAATTTTTAAAACCAACTGCCATTATTAAAGAGTAACAGAGCTTGACGGATGGAGCAACTGATTATGTCTAAACACTATTTCTTATTAATTTACAATCTTTTATACAATATTATAAAAGTTTCTAATCATAATTGACAAGGTATGACAAAAAAAATAAAAATAAATAAATAAATAAAAAATAAATAAATAAAAACTGTAGTAGCTTAAATATTGCCAAGTTCATGAGAAGTTTAGGCATAGAAAACAATGATGTATAAATGGGTAAGGAATTTGATGGTAAGTTTATGATCAAATACCTGTGTCTGTGTACCACTATATTTGAGGAAACAAAAAGGTACTCAATATAATATTCACAGGACAACAGTCATTTTCATAACGGAAATAACATTAGTTAACACTGAAAGACTTGCAACAAAATTCCTTCTTACCTCTTGCATTTCATAAGAATAGTTTAATAGGTTAGAATATAATTAAGATGTCATAAATTCATATCATAATCCAATTGATTAGACTATTCACTATATATTAACTAGCAGCGCCAACCCAAGTGACAAGGACAAGGGGACACTTAAAAATATTTCGGTTCAATTATAAAACACCTAAACAAACTAACCCATAAATCCACCTCCGGACATATTTGGCTGGGTCCCCTGCGATGGTACTTGTCCCTGGGGAACCAACTGAGGTCGACCGGGACCTTGCATATAACCTTGACCCATTCCAGCACCAACCATTTGCTGCGGTTGAGATTGTTGTTGTAGCTGCTGAAGTTGTTGCTGCTGTTGTAACTGAGGTATTTGTTGCTGTTGCTGAAGCTGTGGAATTTGTTGTTGTTGCTGAAGCTGTGGAATTTGCTGTTGTAACTGAGGTATTTGTTGCTGTTGCTGAAGCTGTGGAATTTGTTGTTGTTGCTGAAGCTGTGGAATTTGCTGTTGTTGAAGTTGCGGGATTTGCTGTTGTTGCTGCAGATGTTGCATGTTTTGTTGCTGTGGTATATGTTGAAGCTGTGATTGCTGCATCTGGGGAAGCTGCTGCTGTTGTTGCAGCTGTTGCATAGTTTGGTGCTGTTGCATATGTTGAAGTTGTTGAGGCTGCAGCTGAGAGTGTGGTTGCTGCTGCTGTTGTTGTTGAGATTGCTGCTGCTGCATCTGCTGATTTTGCTGTTGCATCTGCTGATTTTGCTGCTGCTGGTGCTGCAACTGCTGATTTTGTTGCTGCTGGTGCTGCAACTGCTGCTGCTGACTTGGTATTTGAGGTTTAAAAATCACCATATCCTAATTTACACAGTGGTTTAAAAATAAAAATAAAAAGAAAGAAAGAAAAAAGGCACAAAACTTGTTAGGAAAATAATTTGAGGACTATTCAGTTCTGTTGCAAAGCTAACAAACCATACAAGGCAAAATTTAAAATAACCATGCAAGTTGCATAAGAAAACTCAGTATAATTGTCCCAAAACATTCTAATTTTTTTTTTTCTTTTTTGAAAGCCATATAAAAATGGGGCTATATTATTAGATCATTAGAAGCAACATTCATACTATTTTCCAGAATATCATTCACCCAAATTTGTTGACTGATTTCTACGGTGACCCTTATATTGAAAAGCAATGAATGTGAGGAAAGAAATAATAATAATAATAATAATAATAATAATAATAATAATAATAATAATAATAATAATAATAATAAAATAGTAGTGGGTTTGGGTGAAGGCCATGAAAGGATAAATATATTAAAATAGCTTTTCACCAAAAAAAAAAAAAGAAAAAAAAAAAGAGAAGTGTAACACTAATTAAAATAAGGCCGCATCTGGTAAGTATAACACTTATTAAAACACGGAGGGACCAAGGGAGTATAAAGAGCAACTAACATTAGAAAACCTGTTATAGTAAGCTGCTAAATCTAGATACACTGAAGCTGGGCGCAAATTTTGCCTTTGACCGGATTGTGTTGAATGTGGAATGTGGACGATTGAATGGATTGATACATATAGTGGAATCACAATTGGGATTCTAATCTCTAATTTTCAGCGAGAGAAGCAAACTCACGCAGGTCTATCAACTTTTTTTATAGATTAGTATCTATTAAGTACATGAGATCCTAAAAGTGTGTTTTGTAATCCAACTAAAAATAGAATTCATACAAAACCCAACACTAATCAAATAAGGGTTAGTTGAATTTCTTGAATTTTATGACATGAGAATCATCATCTACCGCCTTGTCATATATACTACTCCCTCCATCCCTTTATTACATGCCTATTTCTCATTTTGCACGGGAATTAAGAAGTTAAAGATTCCTTAAAACTAATAATTGGGAGTATAAATATGCATGTGGGGTTAAAGAGAGATGGAGAGAGAGAAAAAGTGTTTGGGAATTAGAAGAGAGAAATTATTGGAAATTGATATTAAAGTACAAAAAAGAGAAGAAAAAAAAAGTGACAAATCATCAAAAAGAGAATAATATTGTAAAAAAGTACGATCTATAAATAGAACAGGCATTTAATTTTGGTCACCCAAAAAAGGATACAGGCATGTAATAAAGGGACGGAGGGAGTATTCAACAAGTTGTCGGTCAATATCCTCATAAGGCTGCCGGTTAATTTTCATGCTAAACAAGTTTTGTTAATCACAGAGTAAAACCGCCACCTCAGATAGCGTTATTAAGCAAAACCGCCACCTCAAATAGCAGTTTACCCATTTTCACCGCAAAAATTACACTTCTGTCTCTATGAAACAAGTTTGTTTCACAACGATAAACTTGTATTTTCTCATATCCTCATTTTGTATCTGAAGGCAACCAACCTTGTCTCTTCATTCTGTGGTGAATTGGTAGCACTAAGAGGTTGAAACGCTAAATCAATTACTAGTTCTTCATCAATTCCCCAAAATTTTGAAGGTGCCAGAATTTTTTGGCTTTTTATGATAAATCACCATGTCACCCAGTTCGCTTCCTAGGGCAGCAAAGGGATTTTCCAACGACCCTACACCACTTATGAAGGACGTTGGGAAGCCTGGAATGATAAGTCTCTTTTCTATATTAGTTCTAATAAATGACAAATGTCTTAGATGAAAACTTCTTTTTTTTTTGGTGTAAGCTGGAAAATACAAGATCTTTTAATGTTGCTAATTTACAATTATGCCATTAGTGACATAAATTAATTACATTTAGATGAATATCACCCAACAATCAAGATGTATTGTGAGATAAATATTTGCTCATATTTAAGTGCCTGCGCCTACACTTATGACATGACTTTACTAACACTAAAATCCTTATAAATTATAATAGTTGATCATCGTCACATTCACCTTATTTCCCAATTAAGAACATTTTGGTTAACACGACTACACAAGCATAAAACATAAGTATGGTAATAAAAGTTTCCTGGGACCCTTGTTTACATGATACCTTCTCCATCCTCTAATAGTAAACCTCATTTCTTTAGGGCACAATTAGGAAGAGTAATCTTACTGTAAGGAGAGGGAAAACAAGTGAATGGAGATAGTGGCTAATTTGATGTTGAGGAGGAAAAAAAAGAGGATGATAAGATAATGGGTAAATATTTTTAGAGGGAAAAGGTAAATGGTATTAAAGATAATGGGTGAAGTTGAACGGAAAAGATTTGTGACTAAAAGTAGTGGAACCAGCCCCAAAAAAGAGATTAACTACGCTATTTGGGGGAATCCCCAATTCCCACTACACAAATTTTACAAATGGGTACACTATTAAAGAAAGGAGGGAGTATTTTGCAGATAGACGGAACATAAAGGAACTAATGAAGCCCAATCAATCTCTGCCGAACACACTTTGAATGATCATCCAAGCAAATTGCTGATATTGAACTTTTGAAATGAACTTATAAATAAGCAAATAAAGTACAGAGCAAAAATAAAATATCTTACCCCAGGAAAAAGCATTCCTATTAAGCGGCAGGCTTTATCAGAAACGGACAGCAGCAGCGTCTGTGTAGGCAGCTGGATAACTGCACACTGAAAGTTCAAACACGAGCAAAAAAAAAAAAAGTAATCTTCAATCTAACTGTAGTAAAGCATCTAAAACATCAGAAGTTTATTGCTTCCCTTAGACGTACAGGAAGAGAACAACATGTGACTCACAAGAAGCATCCACATTCAAAAAGTTCAATAATAAACACGCCAGTAAATTATGCACTTGCCTCAATGTTCACAAAATCACATCAATAAATAACAACTTCAGGAATGAACAACATATCTAAAGACACATTTTACTTCCAGATCACCAGGCATCAATATACAGTAAATTCAATTCCCCTTTATTCAACAGCATATTAAATCTTTTTTTTCCCATCTTCCCCCCCCCCCCCCCGCCCCCCCCCCCCCCCCCCCCCCCCTCTTCCCATCTTTTTCCTAATCAAGCTATGAATGTGCCAGAAACAATAACTAAGATTAGGATACACAGGTATGACATCAGAAGTCACAAAGAACTATCCAACAACTCACAAGCTTCTTTTCTTGTAGCTGAGCAAGAAATCCATGCTGATTCATCGCCCTGAAAACAAGAAAATCTGCTTTGCCAACATATTGCCTGGAAGTGAAAAGGGACAAAACACAAGATATCAGATGACTAACATCAACATTCATGTTGAACAGTTGAGCTCTCTAGTCCTTCAAAGAAACACATATATGCATGTCAAGAGCGTCAAAGATACAGGAAAAAACAAACACCAATGTCAATATGGCAGTAAGCCCGGAAGGAATGTGTTACTTGTTATTCATGTGATCTTGAGAAATAAGACGGACTATTTGCATAGTTGGCGGCCAGTTTGCTGCAAGTCTGTGCAAGAGTAACAGAAAGTTAGTAAGGCCAATAAATGGTATATTACCCACTTCCCATTTTTTTTATGGATTTTGGTAGGAAGGAGACAAGGTAAGGTGTGAACAAAATGGATCCAACTAAGGTTTATAAGTGGTGAATGCAGATAGTGTCATTCATATTCCCCGCCAACTAGCGATAAATACAAACAATACAAATAGAAGAAATACATAAAACCTTAACAGAAAGTCAATAGCAACAGAACCTATAGTACTAAAGACAATGCCACCAGAGGAAAAAAAAAAATTTACAGAAGAGGGCTTAAATATACAGCACCATATCTTATACAGCACCATATCTGCTCACTCATCCACTTTCTCTTCCTCCACGTCTTTAACACATTACTCCTTTCCAGTTCTCTCATACATTTCTGGTTCTCAATTTCACTGATTCATTTATTTCACTCATTCTTTTTTCTGCTCTTTTATTCCTCCTATGTAATCCTGATTCTCTCTGCTCAATCTTCTTCCTGCCAAGATTTTCATTCACTTGTATGATATCTGTTCTTATAAATTCTGAACCAGTATTATAAGAATCCTTACATTTCAAACTTTCTCAGACAAGAATACAGTGCGGCTTCAATGTTTCCTAGTGACAATAAAAAAAAATTAAGTTCTCTGCGACTCTGCTGAAAATAATCAAGCAATATACTCGGTAATTAAGAATACAGTAGTGCATTAAAGCAACTTTTAAGGTTCCTCATTACAATTCTCGCTGCTCATTGATTTTTTGTTCCTATTAGGTGTCTAATTTAATGTTCTCCGCTATCATGATTAACGCTTCCTAGTGTATTATTGCAACTTTAAGAGACTCCTCACTAAATTTTAGTTCACAGACAAATCACTAATTAGATTGTGAGTAGTTGTTGAAGGTGTATGCCTCTATCCACGTGCCACAACCTTACTGCTCCCTGCACTTTTGAGCAACAATCCACAAGCTTGTCAAGCATACATTCTAAATTTCTAGTGCACCACTTTTGCACAAAAAGAATCACCGTCAAAAAGAATAAAAACCATCATAAAGCAGAGTGGCATAACTCAGCTAAGCATCAACATCTACTTACTAAATATCCAAGAATTTGACCTCAGAATAGCTGCAAAACACAGCTGAGCAGCTACATAAACTTTAATAATGTAGCAATTTTCAAGGGAGCTTCAAGCACATAAATGAGCAGCCAAGACAAACAAAAATTATTAACACAAGGAAACAGATTTACTTACGTCTCTGAGGCTGATGCATTCCTGTACCCCTGCATAAAGAATAACAATTATATTAAAAACTTCCAGGTGTTATTTATTACTTTATCTAATAAATAAAGTAAACAACATTATTGATCTTAATTAAGAACTAACAAACTTAAATTACATATTTCAAAAAGTACCTCTAATCTAGTAATAAATACAGGTTGTCCCTGTCTCTGTCCGGACAAGTTTCCCTGTAATTGTCAGTAACAAAATTCAGAAATAATACTACCATGCAGAGGGCTCATCTCCTCAAAGACGGTAAGACACTGATTGAAATTTACACACAAATAATATTAAGAAATTGAACAAAGAAACCTCTCGGTATGAATTCCACTGAGTTGCTGAGGTATCAAAAGGTTCATATGTACAAATATTTACACTTAACTACCCAGTGCCTATTGGATATTATCAAGCTTATGCCTAACTGGCCTAAAACTCTAAAAGAATATTTCAAGCACAAATGTCAAAGAATAAACTTGACCATAAGGCATAAGCCACTACAAATTCTTCTGTTTCCCTAAAGCAATACTAAACATGTTCTCATGGTTTTAAAAAACATTGACCTAAAAAAAAAAAAAAAAAAAGGCAAAGCAAATTTGCACTTCAACTTTTAAAAGTGCTTCCGGCTTTCATCTAGCATTATATATGGCTAAAAAGTAAAATTTTGAGAACCTCATTTCTCCATTGACACTGTTGATTATGTTCAAACACCTCAGATATGTAATAATATGAAGATTTACGATAAATGAGAGGCCACTAAGAGATAATTTGTACAACAAACTAGAACCAATAAATACATATATTCACATAGAAAGTAAGCACACTGATATTTACCTCCCAAACTTTAACATATTTGGATTGTGAAGACTGTAAAGAAGCCGTAGCTTGTTGAGACATCGGCATATTAGCTGCTGAATTGTTAACTCCAATAGATTGCATTCCTGGCTGTACCTGCTGAGGCATTCCTGGAGTTGGCATCATAGAGCCAGTACCGGATGGTGCACCAGTTGAACCAAGATTTGACATCATGTTTGGATTCATATTAGTCCCACTCTGTGTGATAGCTGAAACATTTCCCTGACCAATCCCAGATACAGGTTGACCCATCGTATTAGTTACATTCCCTTGGAGATTAGTCAATGGCTGAGATATGCCTAGGTTAGAATTTCCAGAGACATTTGAAGTTGCAGTAGAAAATGAACCGAGGGCTGAGTTCTGTAAAGGCTGAGAAGCTCCTGCAATGCTTCCCGACCCAGTTACAGTAGAGATGCCGGACTGTCCAGAAGACAACACAGTTTGAGAAGGCGGCACATTCGATATCATACCATTAGATATCATGTTTGACATGTGCATACCAATAGTATTCCCACCCATTGAAGGCAACCCTAGAGAAGTTCCTCCAGCAAGGGCTACTCGTGCTTGAGAGATATTGTTTAGTATGGCACCCACAGGACGTACGGGCTGAGAAATGCTACTGCTAATAATTGGCTTAAGATCTGGAACATTTTCATTGGTTGTAGTCGCCTCCTGTGACACAGAAGGAGGTGAAGATGCCTGTAAGCTAGGAACACTTTGTGCAGCAGCACGAGGAATGGAAGGCATATGAGGTATAGCAGGTCCTGATGTCATGGATGTCACTGTACTTGGCTCCTGAAATAGCATTAATGATAACAGGTTCAGCAACAAAATTAAAAACAAATAAATAAATAAAACAGTTGACAAGTCAGACACATAAGGCAGAATACAGAAGGCTTACGATTTTGACAGTTGCTTGCGGAACGTTTCCCGCAGACACGGATGGTCTATTCATGATATATCCATTCACTGAAAGAAAATTAAATATAATGTTTTAGTAAATGGATAACAGAAATGTAACAGCACAAGATCTATGATAACATTAGCATATCAAGTTATCAGCCATCAAGTCCCCACAATCACAATATTCCCCAAAATTTGCAATAATAAGATGAGTGACAAATTCCCCAAAATTTGCAATAGGAGGCATCCCAAGATCCTAATATTCCATTAGGTGAACAAATGCAGGATCTCATTGATAACCTACTAGATCTGGTCAAGCAAGAAATGATGCATCATGTAGCTTGCAGTTGAAAAGAGAGAGCCTGCAAATTTTGAATTTTATTTTCCTATCTTAATCAAAATCTTTTTCTCCAAGTGAAAGCACATTGATAAAATTAGCCTCCAGTTATGTAATTAATGACTAAGTTTTACTTCTTGGCGTGTAAAAACATAGCACGGCAGATATTGATTATAACATAAAAGCAAATCTGCCTAATCAATATTTCACAATTTCAATTTTCAAACAGAAACTTCATTTCAAGGACAATTAAGAAAACCCATATCAGATTATCAGCATCCGAATTGAATCATTACATCATCCTCAATCCCTCATGAGAGGATGGCTGTATCACTGTCAAACACTCAACCAGACTTAAAAGTATCCGTCATTGCAACATCTAACCCTTAACTACCCAACAGCTCTTCATCCTGCTTTCCTCCTCTTCTTGGCATAAGCTAGAACAGCTTGCAAAATCGTACTTCCTTTCCTAAACGCATCTTTTGCTAGAATCTTCACCTTATCTGATGCCTAACCCTCTAAAAATATTCCTTGCGAGGATTTTGTATTCTAATTTCCAAATCCAATCAGCTAGGAAAGCTAACGAAAATTCTATCAAAAAAGGCTAACAAAATAAATAAATAAGTTCTAGGTATGGAGAAAAATCATTGTTTTTTATGTCATCATCTAAAACTTTCTAGGTATTACATTGAAAAAAAAAAAAAAAAACAAGTGAGTTCTAGGTAGCGCCTATTCATGTCATCATGTACCTATAGCTTTAAATGAGTACCAAGAACAAAATTTAAGCGAGTTAAAGGAGTTGTGAAAACGCTTAGTTGACTGAAAAACAAAAAACAAAACAAACAAATAATCTCCGAAAACCTCCTCAATCATTCATACATATCATAGAAATATACAGAAAAAAAATGGTGAGAAACAGAAGCACTAAAAGTGGTTGGTGATGCCATGTGAAGGAACATTGGAAGTCTGAAGGGATGCTTTCCAGCGAAAGAGTGGTGATCATGCTTTGGAAAGGAAGTGAAAAGTGATGAATTTCATGAAAAAATATTCTTTCCTTCCCAATATCAATATAAGCAAATAAGATTAACTTGTATCAAAGATAAAATTGTAACTACATCTGCTTTCAATTTTTTTTCTACCATTTTCCATTTAAGGCTGCATTTTTTTTCCCCTTCTACGCACTTAAATTTATTCCATTTTCGGTAAACTATCTTTACCATCATACCCCTCTTGCCCCAAATTAATTACACCTTTCCACACATTCTCTCTCTTAATCTTATCTTATACCCACCACCCTTCCACACACACAAACACACTCTTGGCTTATCTTATATTCACACTCATTTTTGCACCCTCACTCTAACTATCTCTTACACACTTTTTTTTAAAAAAATGTTTTCTTAAACTTCGTAATTAAAGTGAAGTGAGGCAAACAAAAAAAAAACAAAAGTAATACATTTTATCAGACGCCAAGTTATTTTTCTAGAAAGAATTTTAGTGATTAGGTTCAGGTTTCATTGCAAAAACCATACAAGTTTCGGGTGCCAATCTTCTCCAACTGAAAGTCAAAGGGCTCAATCACACACTTGGTGAAATCTAGGGGGATCACCACTTTGTTGGACACTATATCAATTAGTAATGGTTAGCAAATCAACAATTCAAGGACCTAGCCTGCCAACAAATTTCATTTAACCACCTGGTGGCACAGAAGGAGGGGCTGAGCCAGGAGGTGAGGTTGTGGCAGGATTTTGACTTTGAGCCAATCCCGACCGACTTAAAGCAGCAAGAGCCTCCATGAAGCTATCTGAAATCTGAACAGAGTAGTGAGGTTGTTTAACATCAACAGCTGGATCAGCCGCCATCTGGTTACGCTTACCCTACGACAACACATCAATTATTATGTTAATTGAAAATGCAATTGTAAAGTTTTATTTTAACTGCACATTCAGCAGAAAAACTTAAATAAGAATAGGAAAACTACATTTAGGAGTTTAGGAACAAGCAGGAGAATTTAAACAATCTGATCAAAAAATGAGAAGCTACTGGTCTTCTTTCTTATTCACACAAATTTATATAAATGCCAATTTGCATACAAACAAAATCGGGGCATAAGTTTTGAATTTCTAGTAAAAAAAAGGTTGGGGTGTTTTGATATCCCAGCAAGGAAAAGGCTAATAGCCTAATACTAACAAAAACAAAATCTAGTATCTTGTTACTTTTCTCAAACGTTTCTGTTGTATCATGATTAGACATAAGGCATGCCAAGCTGCAGCAATCTGCTTAGTTTGTGGACCTTGACAGTGGTTCAGCTAAAAATATACTCACTTTCTTGTTTTTTCAGTGGGCACGAGAGACATCAAAGGGATGAACAAGTTCAGTCCTGTGACAGATACATAGTGATGTTTGGCAATTCCCCAGTTAGCTAGAATTTCTAGCAGCTAGATGGGAAAAATTAGAACGAAGGTACAAGAAGTCAGGACGTGAAGGGAAAAAATTGGTTTCCCAGCACCAAATTTAGATAGATGTGAAGAAATTTAAAAGAAAGCAAGGTGGTATGGAAGGGAAAGGCTTCGTTATAAAGTTCCGTTTTGCTTTCATCAAACTGATGACATTTCTGAAGGCCCCTTTCCAGTCATGCTTGTTAGGCACTAAGGCATGTCAGTCAACAAAACCTAGAAATGGTTGCTTCCTTCCCAATCCTTTTCCCCAAAACCGAACTTTTATAATTTCTCTCTCTCCTTTAACCATCTCAGATCAACAAAACCTGGCATGTCTTGCAGTCCTACAAAATAGTATCCTGGTTTGTCAACATCACATGTTACCATTAGCTCTAAAAATTAAACCAAAGTCCCTGAAATACTCAGCCACTTTGAAATTTCAGGGTTTCTAATTTTCTGACGCAGTTGCAATCAACACCAACTTTGCAGGCAATGCGGATGGTTTGCAGCGGTCATAACCTAATACCATAATCTGATAAGCTCCAAAACCTTTACAAGTCTCAATACAATGAGTCAATGATACAATTGAGGTTTGATACACCGCTTCAACCTTTTGACAAGTTCTTACTTTCTGGACAAATTAAAAAAAGTACCCCCCCCCCGGGCGGCAATGCGGATGGTTAAGCCCTCCTTACAAATAATAGAAATGGCAAACATTAGTCAAGAAAAGTATAACAACACAAGGCAGATTTTAAACAAAGGAAAAGTATCCCCCCCCCAACACACACACACACACAAATATCTACACACTAGAGCCCTCCTTACAAGTAAGGAAGTAACTGAAATGGCAAACATAAGTCATGAAAAGAATTATGCAAATGCAAAATCTAGACAAAGACAAAAGTATCCTTCACTGTAATTGAGCTACAGAAAAGTGTTGCTTACTGCGTTATATAATGCTTTAAGCTTAGGTAGCGGTTTTGGACAAATCACAGACAACGAGACAGAACACTGCATGCAGAAACCAAGGTCAGGCTGCTACACGTAAAAAGAAAAACAAAAGGTTAAATTCATATAAAGAAATGCAGCTAAATCCCAGTACCAGACCAAACCATTTAGACACAGTCTCAGCATCATATAAAAGATTCTCGGCTTGAGCTTCACCACTTTCACCCTGCTCAGGATTTTCAATTGCTGGTCGATATACTGGTGTTGGCAAGGAATAAGGGTTACTGGCAGAAACAAGAACACAATGTCTTTTTCCATCCAAATTCTGTTCAGCCCGATATCCATTTTGAGGGATAGCAAACATCTAACAAGCAAACAAACAAGTCAGCATCTAGCAGGCCTCTCTCTAGAGATAAATGCCAATCAACAGAACATATCTTTGTATAAGACATAATTTGGCATTACTTTAATGAAAGGTACAAGGAAATGCAACAACTAAAGGTTGTTTATGATTTCAATAGATAGAATAACAATTCCTCCATCAATCTCATAATATAACAAGGTTAGTAAGGAAGAAGATTGACCTGTACATAAAGGGTAGGTTAGGGAGAAAGGGGAGGGGGGTAAACAGCTCAAGAAGGTAACCAGGTAATCTTTATGTAATTTATGCTAAGTATACAGACAAGGAAGAAAAAAAGCCTCAATAGTCAATAGGAGCACGTTCCAGCAAAAATCAACCTTTTGGATAATATTTCCTTCGTTTTCTTTTACAATACTCACTTTCCTATTTTGGTTTTTTTTATTTATTTATTTACTCACAACATACTATTTTATAATTGTCACTTTCATACCTTAATTTTTTCTCTCTCCTAAATTAAATACAACCCTGGGTTTCTGTGAAAGGAGAAGTGTGTACATTTAAAAAAAAAAATTAAAAAAAGAAAGAAAAAGAGAGAGAGAGAGAGAGAGAGGTGCATAAAAAAAACATAGCAGGAGCCAGATCTTATAAAATTAAATATGAATCTTAGATTTTAAGTAAGGCCACAAAATAGGCAAGGGACATTTACATAATACAAAAATAGAAGCCAATGACTCCCAAACATAGACAGGATCAGTACAAAATACTGTTTTCATTAGCTAGCTAACAAGTTACAGTATCTTACATAATTATTCTTTACAAGTTACTTATCCACCTAGATTTTCCACAATGATATCAGCAAAGTATATTTCAGCAATTTCCAACCAAAGAAAGGTTGGGATGAATCAAATTATGGTAAGCAACATGCATCAGGCCTCCTTTATAACCCAAGAGCAGAAAAAAAAACTAGCGAGGCAAAACATTGACTTGGATGTAGCAGCAAATAAAACAAAACCAGAACAAGAAGCATAAATACTAACTTAAGAGAAAGTAAAGATATAGCAATAGCAACAACTAAAATGCAGTGAAATTGAACCATGAGCACTTAGATAATCAAAATCCAGACCATTAAAGCCTCGGCAAGGCCTTCAGCAGTTGCAACGTCGTTCCACCCGCCGCCACAAAATGTTATGGAAGACAACCAGCTTAAAAAATTATCCATGTCTCTTGTCCAACCACTTCTTTGAACCAAGGAACCTGTTGAAAATTTTCAAACATCAATTTCATCTTTGAACAAAAAAATCTAATTTAATTGAGACATCAAAATCAAACTGAAATATGTGACCACAAATAATTTTATACACTGCACCACAAGAGAGAAAATGAGGCCTGCATAGATTACAGGAGTTAATAACTAACACATCAACACCTTAAAAGCAACAAGATAATAGTAACCCTGGCCCCGTGAAGTAAAGTCATGTGAAACCTACATATTCAAGCATCAAATTTTTTTTAAGAGTGTCTTTAACTCTCTAAGTGTTTTTTCTTACTGTTTCTTTTTCTCTCTGCTCTCCTTTTTACACAATTGGTATAAAATTATTTAATGTCACATAAATTGAGTTATGTTGGAGGATAATTATGAAGCAACTAACAGAAGACTCAAAAAGTCAAAAACGTAACAAGTGTCTAATGGGCTATACATTTTATTAGAAATACAGAATAATGATCCTCTTCCTAGCAAACAGAAGGCAGTGAGAAAAAGAAAAGACTAACATGACAAAAAAATACCCCAAATGAAACAAAGCCAGACACTCAATTACCCATTACTGTAAGGCAACAGCAACTGCACAATAAACTGACTACTCTTTAGAAATTGTGAACAAGTAATTAGTACAACATTGTCTGCCAAGATTTTTGTATGATTTGGCCTGCTGTATAGCAACAGAGATATATATAAACATCAAAAAATTACAGCAGACACCTATCTTGAAAAATAAAAGAATGATGGACTAAACAACTTTCAACATCAATTATTTAACAATTTCATAAAATGCAAAAGAGGGCAGGATTTTAGTGATAGGGTGTGAAGATTTCTTTCTTAGCAAATGGGTCACAATACATCAAAAAGATATAAAATGAAGTTTGACATCGATTTATCTACCTTATGCTAGTGCATAGAAAAAGCTATTACTCCCAATATCACTGATTATCTATTACACTTTCCTTTTTCAACTATCTCAGATGAAATTTTACACTTTGAATATCGGGAAAGGCCAAACTATTATTTTAAAACATCTCTCTTTTCACCAGTAAGGTTAGGACCTTACTCTCTCTCACATTTAATGATGAATACCAGCACGTCTACTTTTTCAAGAAAATAATACCCACTATCTTCTTCAATCAATTTTCTAACACAAAAGGCAATTGATAGTCAAACAACAGCGTGCCAATACTAATTTGGCATGAGTATCAAAACTATTTAAGCAAATTTTAGAACTACAACCTAGCTGATACAGTAAATTCTCCTTAAGATTAAGATACTAATTTATTTAAAATTTGTTTCCTAAATGGTTAAATTTACCCTCTTCCTCTTTTCAATCACCAAATTCCCTAAGAATACTCCAAAATTGCTTTTGAGAATTAAAGATTCACTTTGCATTTGCCAACAAAATTCTAGTATTTCTATACTTTCATGTGTGCATGTCACTTCCACATTACATCAATAATTCAATCCCATTAATTTTGTGATTGATCTCTTTAAAAACAAAAAAAACAAAAAAACAAAAAAAGTTGCATTCTCTTTGGTAGTTTGGTGTTACAAAAATAATACCAAAGCCTTAATCCCAAAAAGATAAGAGTTACTAATTTACTACTGTAAGTCTGTAATACTTCCTTTTTTTTTTCTTTTAGTTCTATGATTTATCTTTGGCGGTTTCGCTTCTTTATTTAAGTTATTCTAAAATTACAAATAAACCATGTGATTAGCCAAAAAGTATGGGAGAGAAAATAGCTTATAACAAACCAATAAGGTGTTACAGCAATCAAAAAGGGTGTTGTTCTCATATACAACATTTTAACATAAACACTATATAAAAAAATTTGGTATAACTTAATGTTGGCGTTATACCGGTATAACAGGTTGGGATGGATGTATAGAGAAAAAAGGATTTTAATGAGGATTGGGAAATGCAAAATGATCCTTTCTTCACAAAGGCAAATATGGCGCAATTATAGAGAGAAGGAAAATAAAATAATAAGAAACGAGAGAGAATATACAGAATAGTAAAAATAAAAATAAATTAAAAAAAAAAATTATAAAAAATAAATAAAAATAATAATAATAATAAATAAATAAATAACTCAAAATTTTAGGTAGGTTGTAGAAGTTAACATTTTTTATGGAGAAGCAAAAACATGAAGGCATAATCCAAGAATATGATTTATAGATAATGGACTTAAGTAAGATTCTTGAACACCTACCGGAATAAGGTCCGTGCGTATTAAACACAACCAGGGCAAGCTCAAAAGTCGAACCAGAAACAATTGAAGTAGGCTTCTGTATCTTGCAAAGAAACAAAAACATAGACCCTAAAATTAGGAAGATAAGAAATGGTACAAAAGTTGAACCTGATACAAATTTGAAAAACTAGAATGTATCATCATCAAAACTCCCAAAAAAAAAAAGTCGAAAAGGCACTATAACAGACTAGTTAGGTTAGTAAAAGAAGAAGCACAACAAATGTCAAATTTATTTCGTCTGTTTCGTCGACACAAAAAGTAAATGTACTACATCTCATTATATAATTTCATCAAAAAAAAGCTTAACCATCACTTCTAACTCCAACAGTCTGTCTACTACTGTCAGTCTTGAAAGTCAATATTATCTTTGTTTCTTTGAGAGAATGAATCAAAGATTAAATTATTACCCAAAAAATAATAAATAAATAGAATAAGTTGAAAGGTAACTTTCAATGTATATTTGGAAATTTACAGTATCTACAATCTTCAAGAAACACTTTCCTTTTTCCTTAAGAATTTTAAGTATCTTAATAAAATAATAATAATAACAGCGCATCTTAGAATATTTAATCATCAATGGGAAAGCAAATTCAGGTTCAATTTTAGAATAAAACTGTTTCTAGATATCCAAGATATTGTTTTAGTCCACAAATTACACCCTGCCCCTGTACACTAAGCTGTGATTATCAATGAATTTTCTAAAAGAATAAATTCTCCATCATCAATAATCACTGGTGTAACAACACATCCAGCAAGCCGGACGAGGCCAACCATCAAAAACTAAAGCCCATTTGACATCAAAATACTTCAAAGAAACCAACTTCCCAAACCTTTTTATTCCACCAGACTTCAAGGAAACAAAAGGGAAGCATGCAACTCAGAAATCAGCTAAAATTACAAATTGTAATCAGAAAACCCCCTCCTAAATGATTAACAAAATAAAAATTTGGCACATGCTTGAATGAAGAAGATAACAAAGGCCAAAATTAGAGTAATTTTTAAAAAAAAAAATATTGTGTGAGAAAGAGACAAATAATCAGAAAGCATAAGAAGGAAAAATAACAAACCTGAGTTGTCATATCATTTGAACAAAAAGACCTGCATATGAACCAAAATATTTTAAAAAAATTTCTAGCAATAACACACGCGAAATAATATAAGAAGAAAGAAGCTGGTTCACTGCAGTATTAGTGGGACAGTGAAGCTACACAATAACTCATGATTTCTAGCATAGCAAGGCAGCAAGCTACGCATTATCAATGCATGGTTTGTTGAGTTAAGTCCGGCTACTTTCCAGATTATAGGCTATAAAAACCCACAATACATATACTTTCAACAGAGCACAAGCAAACAAAACCAGCTCAAGTTGAGAAGAGCAAAAGCTTGCACTAAATTGAAGAGTAGTTTCATCTCAGATAAAGCAACAGAATATACAGCCCAATATTGTAAGGGAGTAAATCTAATAACCCTAATCAACCTATCTACATCAAGAAGGGTGAAAACTGCAAATAGGTTGTTCAGGGGTGAGTCAAGTGGCCATTGTTTTGTTCTGTTATAGTAAAATTCAGCAGAGTTCTCTACTGCGATCATGTTCGTACTTAGATATCGTGAGGGACCAAACCATGCTAATTATTGTATACAATCAGCAATTCAATTCACAAACTTTTCAAACACCAAAAATTAGATATTTCAGAATCAAGCACAAAACACCCATTCCTCATACAAGCTAAACAACATTATTTCATTCAATTAGGCCAAAAATATCATCAAAAATAACCTTACTGCATAATCTAGTTTTCTTAATATCACTCAGTATCCACACAATTAAAAATTTAGTAAAAAGAACACAAAGTCACGAATCAAACCGTTTCAAAATCGCAATTCATCCAATTAGCCATCATTAAATCAACCAATAATTACCATAAAATATCATCATGATCATATTCAACAAATCCAAACCGAAATTACACAACTAAAAACGAATAAGAAAAATTCATTCATTCACAACAAAATTGCATCAATTTGACCAAATAATTCATCAAAACAGCATTACTGCATAACTAACAAGAAAGGCAAGCCCTCTTCCCTCTTTGTGAAAAACCCTTACCTTAGAGATGTATAAAATCAAACCGTTTCAAAAATTGCAACTCCTCCCATTCCATCATTACTCAACCAATAATCACCATAGATATCAACATGATCATTTTTAAAAAATCAAAAACCTAAATTACACTCAAACAGAACTAAAAACGAATTAAAAAATTTAAAAAAAAAAAAATCAATAAAAAAACAACAAATTCCATTCAATTTGACCCAAAAAAAAATCATTAAAAATAGCATAACTGCATGAACTAGTCTTCATAATTTCACTCGAAATCCAAACACAGTCAACAATTTAGTAAAACAACACAAATCAAACAGTTAAAAAACCGCGATACATCCAATTAATCATCATTTAATCAACTAATAATTACCACAAACGTCAAGATGATCATTTTCAACAAAAAATCAAAAAACCTAAATTACACTCAAACAAAACTAAAAACAAATTTAAAAAAAAAAAAAAAAAAAAAATCAATTAAACACAACAAAATTCCATTCAATTTGACAAAAAAATGATCAATAACAGCATAATCTAATTTCACTCAAAATCCAAACACAGTCAACAATTTAGTAAAACAACAAAAATCAAACAGTTTCAAAATCGCAATTCATCCAATTAACCACAATTTCATCAACCAACAATCACCACAGACATCATCACAATCCTTTTCAACAAAACAAAAACCTAAATTACACTCAAACAAAACAAAAAACAGAAAAATTCAATCGAGCAACAACAAAGTGAAATAAAAAGCCCTAATTTAGCGAAAAACCTGATGATCTTATCAAGGTAATCGGAAACAATGGTTTTCCAATAAGGACCCATAGCCGCAGTTCCTTCAACAACGAGTATAAGCTGCTTGTCCGCCATTGAAATTCAGCTTAGAGCATGAAGATTTTGGCGGGGTTGAATTGAGGAGAGAGAAATTGATTCAATTGTTTTTTGGTTTGTTTAATTTCAGATGTTTCGTACAAGACCCAGGTTGGTTTCGCTTTATAACAAGTTCCTGGTTTACTTGTAAAGTAGTAAGTTGCAACTTCAGAGGGATGTAGCTTAATACGAAGTTTCTAGTACTCGTAAATTTGAAATTTGTAATGGTCCGTGCTTCGTATATTGGTCCGGAGTAAACCATTACGGCCTTACAGAGTTATAGGAAAAGTAAGGGATTTGTTAAACATCGCCCACAAATTACTACATAAAGCCCACAAAATTCACTTGGTTTCCCAAAATTGCCCTTGACCTAAAAAAAAAAAACACTCACACTCTCATCACTCACACTCTCATTGCTCATCTTCTTTCAACCTCTCTAAAAAAAAAATATTCAAAATAACGGCAATGTCGAGGCGGCAAGGCAAGGAAGTGGCGGCGGCGGCGGAGGGAAGGATGTCCCAAGGTGGAAAGGTATATTTTGTTTAAAAAAAAAATAGGGGAAAACCGCCGTGAACGCGGTGGGGCGCCTTGGCTGGACGCCCAGCCGGCGGTGGTGGCGCCAGATGCAGACGCCGCCACCAGTTGGCTGGCGCCTGGGCTGGACGCCACCGCCACGGTTATGGCGTTTAGTCTAAGCGCCGCAGCCGTGGCAGTGGCGTCCAGCCCAAACGCCAGCCAACTGGTGGCGGCGTCTGCATCTGGCGCCACCACCGCCGGCTGGGCGTCCAGCCAGGGCGCCCCCCCCCCCATTTTTTTTTTTTTTTTTTTAAAAAAAAATTGTTTTTAAATTTTATTTTTTTTTATTTTTTTTTGTAATATAATTTTGAATTGTTTTTATATTTTGTTGTTTATTATTATAAATTTTTTCAATTTCGTTGTATTTTTTCTACGTTTATATTTTGTTTACTATTATTTGTTTGTTTTTAGTGTATTTGATTTGCGATGATGATTATTTATCGTATAAATTTTTGTATGTTTATATATTTTAAAATTTTGTGTAGGGTCGTCATGGTGGGGGGAAGAATATAGAGCTTCTTAGTAGAAGTTATTCAGTGGAGAGGTCGGGGCATAGACATGTCAGATCCCGTGGTATTTCGGCCTCAGTTCGTAGAGAACGGATCCACCGTCGGGATGAGGATGACGATGACGATGATGATGCTGAGGAGGGTGACCAGGAGGAGGGCGCAGATGAGGATGAGGATGTGGACGATGGCAGTGGACCGTATGATGATTACGGTCCATTCAGTCAGAGGGTTGATGACATGTACGAGACGCATATGGTGGAGGTGCGTAAGGGTAGGGGTGGTAGGTTTGTTAGGAGTGAGGTGCCCGGTGGGCCTGTTGACGGGAGTGTGATTCCTAGCTTTCTAGGACACATAGCTGCCCGTATTTGGGAGGACCAGGAGAGGTCTTCAGTTACGGGGTTGTTGAAATGTCATACCCGGGAAAAGACTTGTAGTTTTTTGCGTACATGGGCTGAGGCCTGGCCGGCGGAGAGCGAGATGTTCGAGCGACTGGAGGGCACTGGGGTGAAGCACATTCCTGCCACCATGCACGATAAGATTGACAGTACGCTGATCACGGCTTTCATTGAGCGATGGCAGCCGGATACAAACTCTTTTCACCTTCCGTTCGGTGAGATGACGATCATGTTACATGACGTCGAGGCCATTCTGGGGATTCGTGTTGAGGGTAAACGACTTTGTGCCGTGGCTGATGCGGATCAGGCAGATTCGCTGGCGGAGTTGTTGGCGGTGGACAGGGTTGCACTGTACACCGAGGCGCTAGGTGTTTGGGAACACGGAGGTGTGAAGATCGCATCTGTGTTGCAGCGGTGTTTGTACCCGAGTGCACGTAGGACGCCCGACGCACAGCTGAGTGCTTATGTTTTTCTACTCCTCGGATGTACCTTGTTTCCGGATAAGAGCGGCGGAAACAAGCTCAGGCCACGCGACATCGTAGAGGCGTGTGACCCCGACAGTGTAGGCCAGTTTTCCTGGGGATCGGCTACGTTGGCGTATTTGTATCGCCAACTAGGATTTGCGAGTCGGGCTGACGCGGCAGGTATCACTGGGTGTCTGACTCTATTGCAGACTTGGATATACGAGTATTTTCCTGCATTGCGACCACATCGTGACCCAGTTCCTATTGATGAGGGGATGCCGCGTGCTTGTGCGTGGAGTCCGCGCTCGGAGAAGAAGTCCGTTGACCGCCTCCGATCGATACGGTTATTGCTGGACAGGCTGTCCCCCTTAGAGGTAACGTTTATTTATAGAGTCTACATTTTATTATTTGCACATATTATATTCATGTTATTATATTTTATATGTTGTAATTGTACAGGTGAACTGGATGCCTTTCGGCCCGAACCCTAGTGTTAGGGTACCCAGGACCCTGTACACGGGACTCATTCAGTATCGTGACATCGTCGAAGCGTACATGCCCCAGCGTTGTCTTCGCCAGCTTGGATTTGTCCAAGTTGTCCCTCCTCCCCCGGCGTGCCCGATGAAGGCGGTCCGACCTGCATCGTCGAGGGAGTACGTCGTGGAATGGCCGGATATCATGACCGGGACGTGGGACCAGTTTCCGATGGTGGCTCGATTATGGACAGCGGAGTTGCAGCGGCCGCCCTCTGGGGTTACTCCCATGTGTGACCATTACTACATGGAATGGTTCAACCGGTATTCGCACCCGAGGTTGATCGCTGATCTCGACCACAGCGATGATGATTATGTGCCACCGCCTACTGCCACGGAAGCGGTATGTCTTTTATTATATTTATCGTTGTCTTTTAATTAAGTTTTATTTGTTGTTATTGTATTTCATCTTCTGTTTTTTGTTGTATGCAGTGGATGGGAAAGATAATGCAAGACGTTCAGAAACTCTCTCTTAAGAAGGACAGCATGAGTGCAACAGGGAGAGCTGTTGTTGATAGTCTGGAACAGACCCTTGCGCAGTGGGAGTCGTCGTCGAGGAGGGATTACTGATGGTTATTGTATTTTATTTATAGAGCATTATGTTGGACATTATGTTGTAAAATTGTAACATTTTAGATTGTTCTTTTAGCTTCCAACTTAAACATATTATCAGTGCTGTTTTTTAATTTTGATATAACCGTTCGTGGATCCGCGCAACTTACCCATGCAACATATAGAATGCAGTAAGCAATACAATATAAAATATTAATGTCCTCATTAAAAGAGCAGCGTACAAATAAGATTACAAATAAAGAATGTAAACAAGAAAAACTAAAATGCAGCTAGGGTGTTCCATTCGTGGATCCGGTCATTATATAGCGCATCCCAACCCTCTACGGTCGCTGTGCGAATGTTGTACCACCGAGGTATAATCGGTGGCACCGGAAAATCGGTTGACATGTCTAGTCGGATGAAATGTCTGTATGACGACCCAAGAAACGCAATAGCTAGCTCTCTGACCGGTGTGGTGACAGTCTCACGCGACCGCCAAGGGAGAACCGTGGTACAAGGATAATAAGCTTGACTATGCACTCCCAGGCCGAAATGCATGACTGCGCATTTGTAAATGTTTGCAACGGCAAACAGATCTAGGGGCGCGTCAAAATAATGATTTTCACCGCAAGGTCCACCTCCCCACCGGATACGCCGGAGAGCGCCATCCAAGTCATCTTGGTACACATGACGATAAACATTTCGGTTAGAGGCAATTTTGCTGTACATCAACTCACGCACCAAACCGTAGTTGTCTTCGCCCATTTGAAAAACATCAGCCACGACCCGGAATCCGCAGTTACCATCTCCGATTACATCATTCCACCCTTCCACGTACGACATGATGATCGCAGGTATCCTTTCCTTGTACGGAAACTGATCAACATCGTTTCTTCCTATTCACCAAATAATTAATTATAGACAGTTAAGAAGACAGGAGTAACACTTTAAAACTATGTGCAATAAAAACAACCAAAACGTACCAGTTCTCAGGGGCATATTCACAGACGATGAAGATTGACTACGACTAGATGACGATGTCCGACCACGAGAACGACCACGACCAAGACCACGGATATACTCAAACGCACTCCTGTTCCGCCGTTGTCGACCTCGAGGACGGTCAACTCCTTCGGGTTCCTCATAATCTAAGTTAGACGGGTGGAACATGTCATGAAGCACATGAGTAGCGTCACGAATAATAGAAGGAAGGCTGGAGGACACTCGGTCGTACATCGAACGGAACTGCTCCAACTCTTCCTGTTCACGGTCGGCCGTTTGATTGTCTGCATGCTCACCAATAACAAGCGTCCTCCAGAATGAATGGACCTGATCAACATGTAACGACGCCCTTTCTTCTATAATAACGCGATGAATGGTGCATGCGCAAGGTAATCCATGAGTTACTGAAATAGTACACCCACACCGAGTATACACTTCGTCAGCCAAGTCCCTCACCCTGTTCAGCTCAGTGAGAATCAACCCCAAGCAGTAGTGCGACACACGACCATGGAGAATCTTAAATATAAAATGGCTATACATCGTACCATGTCGTCGTCTGGAGTCCTCTAGAGAGTTCCTGATGTCGTTCTTCTGAGTTTCAATTGACTTGTTCAGTCTAGCGAACAGTGTATCCAAAGCAGCGGTCGATGAATCAATCCAGTCCTTGGTAGCTCTATGAGCGCTCTCAACTCTACATGTTGTAGTGTTCCCAAAATGAAGTACCTGGTTTGTCCAATATTTGACAAACTTTTCCCTATGAGGGACCCATTGATGCATCACATAGTCCACCAGTGCCGGACACCACTGGTACGAATCCCTGAAGTTAGCCAATGCTCGCTCATACGCTTCCTCTGTGGTAGCCTGTAGGATCTTCCGCCACTTACCATTCACCAATCTCTCTGCCATTTCCAAATTCTTCCTGAAAAGGTTGTAGGCTTTCACTTTCACGCAGTTGTTGATGTGCCATGTGCACAATAAGTGGTTCGATTCGGGAAACAGCTCTGCTATGGGGGCAAAGAGACCTCCCTCACAGTCGCTGACGATGGCTGCTGGATGAACATTAGGCCCGATGTAGTTTCTCAGCTTCTCCAAAACCCAATAATAACTTGGAGCCGTCTCATCCCTGATGATTGCATGACCAATCAGATTGTTCTGGTTCGTTGGAGCCATCCCAACCATCTCAACCAGAGGGAACTTGTACTTGTTTGTCTTGTACGTTGAGTCGATCAAAATCACAAATGGCCAAGACTTGATCATATCAGCACAATCAGGATGCACAAGGAAAAGATGAGTCACCTCCGCTGTATCTTCATCAGAATCAAACCA